ATACAAGCCAAAGGATCCCGCTACCACCAACGAACAAGCTGCCACTGCCCCTGTAGCCAAGAAAAAGAAGAAGAAGAAGCATCTTGACTATCACCAGGACAGGCCTGGTTATGCTGCTCTGAAGAAGTCATTCAAGTCTGTTTTCGCCACTGTCACACTTACCACTGGATCAGTCAAGGGGTGCCTGAAACGAGCTACCGATCTCACCCCGGCGAACGTCGACATGGTTGCTCAGAGACTTGATATGGCTGTGTCTATCGTCAATACTGCCAAGCATTTTGTCTACAAGATGCTCGAAATGCGGATCCTTGGAGAGCTACTCTCTAGTTCGCCGCCGACGTCCTTTCTGGAGGATATTCTGGATTCAGACTGGGCAGAGATTGTTATTGGGAATCTGTTGTCGTTTGTTCTCCGAGATTCGACAAAAGCACTAGGACCTACAGCCAACAAGCCAAAGTCGAAGGAAGCACAGGCAGAGGCAGTGTCGATTTTTGCGGCCTTCAAGGGGTTCCATCCGGGATTCAAGGCTGTTAACCCATCCAGCATACCCCTCGGTGTTGTCATCGATGATCTGGCGCCCAAGATCTGTTTGGCTATGAAGTTGCATTACAAGAAGCTCCCACAGACTATACGCACAAAGGTACTAATCGCCCAATTCGTTGATGAAGCGCCATTGATAATTGGAGAGAGTGTATTGCATATTCTAATATTGTGTCTTTTTTTCTTTTTGCAATAAAATAGATGGAGAAGCTGGAGTTCGATCCCGCCCTACTTCCAAAAGTCGAACAGGAGGATGAAGACAAACCTGGTGATGACGGCACTACTCTAGACGATGACGGTACTATTCTAGACGATGATGCCGATGATGAGAACCCCAGGAAAAAGTCGAAAAAAATTGTCTATCAGCCTGGACACATCCGATCATGCTGGAACTATCTCATGGCACTTCCAGCGGCAAACCGACCACGTTTCTGTACCCAGTCCAAGATGGCAGACAGCTTTATCGACATTAGGGAGGAGGGACTGATGCGTATCCTTTGGGGAAGAGATGCAGGTCAAGTCGGATTGATTTGGAGCGGCAGCCCTCATAGCCACGACTGGGCCAACCTACAAGTCAATACGTCATTCGGGAACCTCATCAAGATGCTTTTCATTGGAGATCGAAATACGGTTCGGCTCGCAAACAAACAACAAACAACATACGGGAAACGAAGTGCTACAATGAGTGAACTCAAGGCTGCCCACCCCACCATCTATGACCAAGGACCACTTGCACGACACCTGACAGATCGAATTAACTATTACCGAACCCGACACAATGCATCCATCTCGGCCGGATCGTCGTCGTCGTCCTCAGCATCTGCAGTGCCGCCGCCTTCCAACCCCCCACTATTGCCGACCCCTCCTCACATCCAAGGCGCACAGTCTTCCTTTCGGTATGCATTGAACAATTTCATCCGCACGGACGGCCATCAGCTGCAACTTTTGGCCTATGACCTCACCAAGAGTCGGCAGGCGCCGGGTCGTAAGGAGTTTCTACGACGTATCGAGAACCAGTACCCAACCCGACAGTCGATAATTGAAGCATTCGGTCAAGACTTGGAGTCGGTGGCGGTGATTGGCATCGATCCAGGCGAAGTCGTGAGCGGTGCGTTCTGTGTGCGTCTCGATGACAAAACTGTGGTCAACTTGTTGGTAAAGCGCGCATCACTGTATCAGCCAACACTCGCCTTCAGAGCATGGGAACAGGAATGGAGGCGACAACACCCAGCAGCCGGTCCCGCAGATAATGTCGACGCGAGCCTTTGGACGAGGAAGACGGATGACAAGAACAGGGCAACTTTTCTACCTTCGATGCATGATCTTGAGAATGCGCTCCATTCAACAAAATACGACTCAGAGGACGCCCTCAAATCCGCGCAACGGCAGTATTTCGAGTTGGAGCCGATCATTCATGGATTCTACTCATCGTCGGACTGGAAGAAGGCCGTATACCAACATAGAATGGCAAAGTTGTCAGAGATGGACATGGCGGTGGCAGGCGTGCTCCGACTTGTGAAAGAAGCATTGAAGAGTAACCCAATGGGAGGGCGTAGGGTCCTCTTCGCGTTGGGAAACGCGACTTTTCGGACAGGGTTCAACCTTACATCGGTCCACACGACGTTCTTGCGCAGACTACAGCAGAAGGTAATAATGAGAATGGAGAGAGTAGAAAGAAGATGTACGGGTGGTCGTATCTACTAGTATCGTATGTCCCTTCAATACCATGGCGATCTGGATACACAAGTATATTAATTCATTTGTCCTTTTTAAAATTGATAGAGCTTGGCCCTTGGGTACAAGGTAGCGTTAGTGGATGAATATCTTACATCTACAATGTGCCCAACCTGCGTTTCCATGGGTGAGACGACAAGACTTGCTAAGCCCTCGATGAGAACCTGTGCGTGTGTGAAATGCAGGCGGTGGATTCACCGAGACTTGGTGGGTGCGCACAACATTGCTATCATCGGCAAGCATTACCTTAAGCATCTCGGACGCCCCCCTTCCCTTGCAAGACCGTCGCCGCAAAGCTCATAACCTCTATAGATTGAAACTATAGTTTATTTATCCTAGTCTGTCAATGACTAATGACGGACGAAGGGATACGGACACGTCATTCACGTAATATATACGTAACATTTCCACAAACATGAATTTCTTTGAAGCTTTGCTTTTCCGCGGTTAGTACTCTAATGGCTACGGATTTCAACGCGTGCTTGGCCCGGGGGAACATGTTGGCGGGTACCAGCTCGAATGCTATCAAAGTATGGGTGCATCAAAGCTATGCAACGGCAAGTAAAGGGAGAGGTCAGTACGGCTAGTTTTGTTCAATCCCTTCCTCTCGCAAACGCAAAAGCACCGTTCAGACATACCTCGCTTGGCAGAGATGCGCCGGGCAGGGTCATACTCGATCATCTGTCCCATGAGATCCACCCCCTCGGCACAAAGCGTGGGCAGTGTCTGCTCCAAGGGTTGACGGTGCCACTGTGGGAATGTCGGTTTCCAGTCCTTCAAAGTTGTCACTCCTGGCCAGATCTCATCGTTAGGTGTTCCGCGCAGCCTAAAGATCCTGAACAACTCGTCAATCTCCGAATCGCCTAGCATACGGTTCAACAGGCAACAAGTGTATAAGGTTAATGAAAGCCAGAGAATAGGAAAGTAGCCTTGAACAGATACAACTTCAAGAGGCGGCATACCTGGGAAGAGGGGTTTCTTAAGAACCATCTCAGCGAAGATACATCCAATGCTCCACATGTCAACAGCAGTCGAGTAATGTTTAGAGCCCATCAAGATCTCAGGTGCTCGATACCACAGCGTCACGACTTCATGAGTGTACGCCCTGAGGGGGATCCCAAACGCACGCGCAAGCCCAAAGTCGGCCAGTTTCAGTTTCCTGCTCTCGTCAATCAAGAGGTTTTGGGGCTTCAAGTCGCGATGGAGTACACGGCGAGCATGACAGTATTCCACACCCCTGATCAATTGGTACAAGTATTCCTATATCCCGTGTTACAAGAAAGAATGACATTCCAGTCAGTACCTTGCTTCTTTATTGTGCCTGGATTGCACCGACTCCAGCGCAGTGTGTGTCCAGTGACAAAAAGTACCTTGACCTGATCTAGAGGCAAGCCAGTGATGGAGGTGGTGGGTAAAGTGTCCATGTACTTTTTGAGATCCAGATCCAGAAACTCAAATACAAGATACAGCCGATTCTCGTCGTGAATGATATCCAACAACCTAAACGGCATGAAGTGTACAAAATAGACTGGTCAGGTCAACGCATAAACATTTCAACTCCTGAATGGACAATGGCAAGAAGGAAAAAAAAGGGAAAGGGAAAACTCAAATAAAAATAGGAGGCGATGGAAGGGAAAGAAGGGACTTACTGGACGACATGGTCATGCTTTAGTTCCTTCAACAATGAGATCTCACGGATAGCCGTACTTGGCACGCCTGTCAAGCGGTGAGAGCGAGAGAGGTAAAAAAAGAGGTTATGAGCTGCTGGCAGATAGTTGACGGTTTGGTTTGGTAGCGATAGGAGGCGGGCTAGTTCATACCTTCATCCTCGTTCTCTAGACGGATCTTTTTCATGGCTACAATGCGTCCGGTCGCCTTTTCACTATCGCAATATGAAAGTTGACAATGGTCCAGCGTGAGAGGTGAGATACAACGTTCGCAAGTCGATAGCAACAAAGAGGAATGAAAGAAAGGGTGACAAAGGGTGGATAACTAGGTGTTTTACGTTGCTTTGTAGACGACGCCATAGGTGCCTTCACCGATTTTTTCGAGTTTCTGGTAAGCGTCAGACATGACTTATTCGAATGTGCCGCGAGAGAGAGAGAGAGAAGGAAAGGTGAATGTGAATGAATGAGAAGAAGAGTGACGAAGAATGAATGAAGGGAAGTGCGCGAATTGAAGAAGAAGGGAGAGAAAGGAGAGCGGCATAGAAAAAAGAAGGGAAAGGAAAGGAATAAAAAGAAAGGAAGAGTAGGACTGAATGCATCGAGGATTCGAGGGAAGGGGGTGGCGGAGAGAAAGGGAGGGAGAGGAGGGAAGGAAGGAAGGGAAGAATAGCAAGCAAGGACGGAAGTAATGGGAGTAGAAGAGAAAGAAGTAAAGTCCAATAGGTCCTTGGCTGTCTGAGGTATATTTTCTTCTTTCATAACTGATCAAGCACTGTGAAGCGATCTTATCCCGGTGATGGTGGCAATATCAATATGCCTATAAACACGACCTGAACGCGTTCACTGCTTCTTGTTCTTTGTTCCCTCAGTCCTTGTTTGACAGATTCGCAGTCACGACTGACAGCCTTTTTGATTGCTGACAAAAGGGACAAAATGATGTTCTCCGGAGGTCTTTGTACCTTTTTCTTCTCAATCCTACATCACTTCCTGTTCCTCTTCCTCATCTCCGATCACTCCCTCCCTAACCCTTACCTGCACACAACACTACATACGTCAAAAATGGCTCCCGCACCCACAACCGTCGTCTCCTCCCCCACCCCCTCCGCTCCTACCCCTGCACACACAGGCCCCATCGGTGCCGACGGCAAGCCTCTCAAGCCCTGCTGCTCATGCCCCGAGACCAAGAAGGCCCGTGACCAGTGCGTCTTCAACCTCGGCGAAGAAAACTGCCTCGACATGATCAAGGCCCACCAGCAGTGTCTCCGTGACCTCGGATTCAAGATCTAAACTCGCTTCCCACATCCGTTTTTTTGCACTTCCTGGATCACCAGGAATGCACACATGGGAGCTTGATCCTGATCAACACCCGCATCGCACTTTCTTTCCTGATCAGGAACCTTTGGCCCGGCCTTTTTATCTACAACCTACTACCGCCACTACCATCACTCATACGCATTGTTACCATAGACACACACTGCAGTTCTCTTCCAGACTGCATTCACTTTTTTTTCAAGTAAAGATTCAAAAAACATCAGAGATCAAGTGCCCCTCCACTGATACTGCTTGTCCAGTCACCAACGCCCGGCAGAAAAATCGGATGCGCCCAATTCTGGCTGCTTCCGGCCTTCCGCACGAATTGCGAATTTTCGTGGCGCAATAGAACATGGTATCCTCCGCAGAGGTACCCGCTCAGAGCAGCATTATTGCATGATGCATGTCCGACCTTTGCACACGACATTTTCCTACCCTCTCTCTCAAAAAGCAGTAGCCAGATTGGAGGTGGAATGTGTCGTCATTGGTATCGATTCAAGCCCATCGAAAAGAATACATTTTCAAAGGGTGAAAGAGGAATAAGAGGAGGAGGAAGGCATGCGTATTGGCGCAACCCTTATTGTTGGTGTTCGGTTGTTGTGTTTTTCTGTGTTTCTTTTTTTCATATCCCTTCACTCCATCACGCCATAGTTCACCTTTTTCCCGCCACACTTATGAACCGCGACCTTGCAATGTTCTGAATTCGGGTGAAATGAAATGCACGTATGCTTCGATGTACAGTACATGCATCCGACATTTCCGAACCCTAGGCCCCATTTCCGTTTTCCTTATACGCCCATCCTACAGCTTTTCAATTAATGGAATTAAGAATTAATGGCCATTATTTTGATGTTTTGCTGTATCGTTGCAAATGTTCTGATGATCGCAGTCCATTTACAGCTCCTTCTTGGTCTCTGTTCCAATGAAGGCCGTGGTTGAACCAGCCTGAGGGTTGGCGCGACTCTCGTCCCGCTTCCTATAGATCTCGCTCGTGAACGGACTATATTTCAATCAACACAGGAAACAAAAGGTATCAATACCATTGCATGGTCACACCGTTTTTCCATTGATCCAGGTTTGGTGAGGCATAGCTTTGTCAATTAGTATTTAATTTTATTGAATGTGGCAGTCAGATAGGGAGTCAGAATAGAAGAAAAGGTGACCTCGTCGGGCGACCACATTCCAGAAAAAAGGGTTGTAGGCGATTGAAAGACGGACATCTAGAACCAGGGTTGGAAAGATCCACCAGGGCGGACTTTTGAAGCACTGCAGCACTTTTATGAGGTTGATGTCGGGATGAATGAAGGTGAATAGAATGAATGAGAGGAGTGAGGAGTGAGGGTGTGAGGCAGAGAAGTAAAGGAGTGGAAGGAGAAGAGGGAGAGGAGTAAGGAAGCAAGAGAGGAAAAAACGAGGGTGGTCGTTGAGGTTGTTTACATTGGTTGGGTGTTGATGCAAGGGCGCGGTCCGAGGGCAGGGCGCCAATGGAAAGAAGGTAGTGCTAGTTTACTTTTCTGAGGATTGATTGCTCGACAGTCCTGTCAGGGGTTAGAAACCATGATGGCAACCCCTCGATGCCGTCCATATCCCGCACGTGTGATCTACGGCGCAGTGGTTGTTCTAGGTGATGAACGCGTCATTGCACCAAAAGTGACAGTCCATTTGAGAACTCAATTGGTTTCGATTTCTCCACAATTGTTCCTGCTGTGTTCAACCCAAACAGAAAGTGTTCCCTTTTAGCATCCCCCTGGTCGAAGTCTGCCTTCAATTGCATCAATTGCATCCTTTTTCCCTGGACTCCTTGCTGGGCCGATTCTCTTTATCCCTTACTTTGGTTTTGTTATCATCAAAGAAAAGAAGAAAAAAAAAGTCGAACCGGAGCAGTGGAGGACAACAATTGTTATTGGCACTGGCGATGAATATTAGAACTCCTTTTTGTTGTTATTGTTATGCTGGGTGTGGCCATGTGTCTTTTCTGCGCTGTGTCCTTTGTCTTGTGGTGCTTGCGTCCGTGTCTGTTCTTTTCCAGTCCACTCCTCCTCCTCCTCTCCCTTCTCCCCCTTCTTTTTCTTTTTTTTTCTCTTCTTCACTTTGCAGGTCGCCAGTCCCTTACTTTCCTCTTGTCTTTTTGCTCCTCACCTACACCTCTCCTTTGCTCTCACATACCTTCTACTACCTTCCTCCAACGTGAATTCCTCTGCCATTCCCCACATTCCCGCTGCCAGCTTACATCCTTCGACCCAATACTCACATTCACCATGGACGCCCTTCCGCCCCAGTGTATAGGCTGGATTGAGGTACACTAATTCGAAAAGCTCATCTTGTTGAATGTGCCGATGCCAGCAACCTTGTTGTGATTACCAAAAGTCTGCAAGTGAACTTATTAAGTACTTTATATCTTTTTCTTCGTTGTAGGCCATATTCGGCGAATGCGTTACAACCCAGAGACAAGCCTGGAGTTTAATGCTTGGTAAGATAGACCTTCAATGGACGCCTTGTTAGGTGTGTTGGGCACTAGTCCAGGAACCAATCCATTGAAGTATGAGATACAGTAAACCTGACTGACTTACTGAACCTTTTCCTCTTGCCTTTGGCAATCCATTGACCTTTGAACTGAGCAGGATACACGTCCATCTTTTGCTGGCTGAACGCCCAGATTCCGTAAGTTCATTAACGAAGGGCGCCAAGAATGCTGGGTCTGACTGGGTGGGGTTGTATGATCTTGTAAACTGTTCTATCCTATTCTAACATGCAGTCTTAACTACTTCTTCGATGGATGTAGACAGATCATCGAAAACTTCAAACTGAGCTCTGCAGGTGAGATATCACAAGGAGCTGGATTCAGACAGGGGACTTGGAGCAGGATGAAAGATCAAGAACAGGAACTGGAACAGGGGCATGTTTGACTTACTGAAGAGATGGTGCTAATGTGAATATGCGACACGGAGGCTGTCAGCGAGGGCAATATACCACCACTCTATCCAAAAGTATCAGGAATAGGACGATGAGGCACCATGTGGTCATCACACTGGAAAGGAGACTAACAAAGAAAGTGAGAGCATCCATGGACTATTCCCACACCAGACATGCATACGCCCACTCACCACAAACTTACTTTCCCACCTCCCTTTTGTATTCATCATCGGCATTGAAATCATGGCAAACAGCGTCGCTCTCACTCCCGTTCTTGATCAATTGGCTGCTCGGTAAGTGTACAAAACAACACCTCATCAACCCATTTTTGCTTTTCACTCGTTTCGCTCGCCAGTGCTTTTCTAGCCGGGATTTTGAGTTACATAAACACACAGCTGACTCCCTCTCTTCTTTCTTTCTCTCTTGTGGATGTCAGGGGACATAAGCAATCTTATCGGATGTATTCTCACAAAACAACTTCCCTTCCAGGTAAATTTCTTATGGCGTGTTTGTTTTTGTTGTTGATGGTGACTGGTTGGGTATTTGAGTTGGTCCCATGTCCAAACCCCATGCTACCCATGTCCAGGATATATAGCTCGCCCCTTTTTTTCAACCTTCTCTACTCTAACAACGTGACCTTCCATCTCTTTTCTGCTCTTTGTCTTACTTCTCGCCGGATCGTTATCGCTTGTATACACGAGGATAGCTATACCTCGCTATCTACTTTTGTATCGCGGACGTAATCTTGTTCACCCAATGGATTTACTACTCGCACCAGGAGAAGCGGCGGAAGTCTCTACCGGATATTGTCGTCGAAGACCTGCCAGAGATCACCGAGACCGAGCACCATCATCGCCATCACCACAGTCGCAGCCACCATCGCCCTTCAAATAACAACCGGTCGTCTGTTTATTTACAGCGATCGAGAAGGGGGACAATCAACACTGCAGAGGGGATTCCTCCGATGGGGCAAGGAGAGGATCTGGAGGACAACCGTGAGGATGGCGCTGAGGATCTGGATCCTAATGAGACTATGTCGCCCCTTTTGCCTCGTCCACGACCAAGGAGGGCTACCACCGCAGCGGATATTGCCCATCGCAGAAGGTACCATTCTAATCAGATTTGTCTCACATTTTATGTCAATCTGAAAACCTTGTTCTTGCTATTGATTTACTAATCCATTTTCTTGGTCGTTATCATATTAGTACGTCGATGGTGCTATTTGGGTTGGTGTTGTTCACAATGCGCCAGACGATGCCAGGACTGGAACAGTCAGGAGCAGGAATCTTAAGCTACAACAGAGGAGCAGACAACACATATTCAGGACGCGCCTTTTCCAAGAGAGGCCTAGACGACTCATACCCAACCATGGGCGAAGAGCCAGCACCAACAGACCCTAACGCTGTCCAACTCGGCCGGATCTTTGCCTGGGTCTGCACCGTCTTTTATCTATCCAGCCGAATGCCCCAGCTCTGGAAGAATTTTACCAGGAAATCTGTTCAGGGTCTGTCGATCTTGATGTTCTTCTGGGCGGCCATGGGCAACTTGTCGTATACGCTTTCGATTTTGAACTCGAAGGATGCGGTTGACCCGGAGACGGGACGGAAGTTCTTGTTGGAAGCTGTGCCATATGTGCTAGGATCCTCGGGGACATTGATGTTTGATCTTTCGATCTTTTTTCAATGGCTTTATTACACTGGCAGGTTGCGCGTGCTCGGGTTGAGGCCGAAGAGACATCACCATCATCATCGGCGGCATCATTCGAGGTCGACGGTGGGTAGGAGTCGGAGCCAGTCGGGCGTGAACAGTATGATCCTGTCGCCTTCGGAGAGCCAGTCAGGGTTGTATAATATTTTGGTAGATGAGGAGGATCCGGATGTGATTGAGAATTCGAACGCGAAGACTCCTCAAGTTGGGAGCGACGGCGGGTTGTCGCCCTTCCAGGATGAGATGGGTCCGCTGGATCATGAGCCCCAGCAGCACCAGCGCCAGCAAGGTCATGGGTCTGATACCCGTTCGCCACTTTTGTAAACCACAGAGCGTCAAATAAACAACAATGACAAAAAAAAGGCAAACAAGTGCTTTACCTGGTACCCTCAGTGACGAATAGTCGATTCATGATTGAGAAGAACAAAAGTTCTGGCTGAGAAACAAAGAAATGGGAAACTAGAACAACGAGCAACGACAAGAGCGAGTCGAATGGTCGAATGAGCAGTTTTACAAAGTGTCTGTGTCGTTCACATTGTACTTCGTCGCGTTCACATAGGGGTTGCGATCGTAACTGAGTGTCACATAAAGATACTACACGCGGCTGCAAGACAGGACGCGTTTGGTTGAGACAAGGACTGTGTTTGATCCGTTTCGCGTTGACCCGCGCGATTATCAATAATCAAAGGTGGCGGCAAAGAATTGTCACTCACCAGGAGGGTGAGATATAAAAACCCTCTCCCTCCCTCCCTTTCTTCTTTCTTTTCTCTCTTCTTTCCTGCCCTCCACACACATACTTTTCTTTCTATCATACTACCCTAGTTCTCCTTCCCTCCCACGTCTAACCCTTACCTCTGTACGACTCAAGACCCTCCACTTCCACGCACACATCCAACACTCGAGTCGTCATGGAAGAAAGTTTCTTCACCAATGGCCCACAAACATGACCGACCTACCCACCCACCACTTGCAATGAGTTTGGAACAAGTAAGAGAGAGAGGGAGAGAGAGAGAGAGAGGGAAGAAACGGACAAAGAGACGAGTAGACAGCATCAACGAAGGTATGAAGAACGAATGCGAAAGAAAAGAGTAACCATGAACAGGAAGATATAAACATTGTACCTGAATTTTTTTTTACTTTGGCACAAAGATAAAGGACCATGCATAAAAAAAGACACTCCGTCATGAATGGCGCAGATATATAATCTTTTTTGAAAATCTCGCTTCCTTCTTTCTTTCTTTCTTTCTTTTTTTTCCCACACACTCAACAACCTCACTTTTCATCAACACTTGCTTCACCCTCTCGTCTTTCTACCTTTGCAGGGCAACACACATTCACCCCAGCCTCACACGAAGATATAAACATGGTGCACTCAGAAGATGAGTATCAAGACATAGACATTCAGGTCGTTCGTCTAGTCGGCAACAACAGCAGGACAGTCCACATCACAACACACCAGGACCCGTCTTCTGGAAAACATATAATCCTCTGGGGTGATATCCTTCAAGTCTTTCGTGGTGCTCTCTATCTCCAACACGGAAAGAGGGTTCTTCCGTTCATGAAAGACAGCGACTTCAGGGAGTACGTTACGTTCTTGGCTGCGCGTGTGTGTATGTCGCTGCCTTGTGAAAACTCCTCTTTCGTTGTATTGACACCTCAACTTCTCCATTTCCATCGTGCAAAAAATAATAATAGCCTGGATCCTCCTCGGATTGCCGCCATCCCTGGCGAGATTCTAGACATTGTTATTGAAGACTCTTCGCTGGTCGACGGCGGTACAGAGAGTCCACGGTTCTCGACGACTCAGGAACCGTGTCACCCGGAGGTAGCCCGTTTGTACGAGAAGGGTGTCAAACGTCATATCGACGTCATAAAGTCCTTTGAACGGTACCTCAAGGCAGCCGAAGCAGGAGATGCACCAGCGCAGACGATTCTTGGAGAGATGTACATGGACGGCGCGTGGGGCGTGCCAGAGAAGGATATGTCAAAGTCGTTCGAATGGTATCTCAAGGCCGCCGAGAGCGGAGACCCGTTAGCCCAAAGACAAGTGGGTGTCTTTTACAGCTTTGGGTTGGGTGGAGTTCCGGAGGATGCCTCGAAAGCGTTCGAATGGTACATGAAGGCTGCAGTGCAAGGAAACTCGACTGCGCAGTTTCTCGTTGCAGAGATGTATAGTGTTGGCTACAAGGGAGTTCCACCGGATGATCAGAAAGCCGAAGAGTGGAGTAGGAGGGCGGAGAAGAAAGAGCTCGAAGTACTTCATAAGATTCATCAGCAACTACCGCCAGAACAACAATAGAACGAGTTACAGCGACAAGAACGGGAACGACAACAACAGTTGAGACAAGGATTTCAACAACGATGAGGATGGAACGCATAACACGCATTGGTAAACATTTCTCTTCATTTTTGTTTACTTGAGAATAAAGCATCCTTTTTCCCTAGGAGAGGAAGAAGGAGGACCATAAAAAAAGGAAGATTACTAACTTGATTCAAACAGAGGACTTCATCCACCTGATAAGTAACTGAGCGCGAAAAGATAATGTGAGACAAAATAGGTTTGATCAACGACGAAAACGCGAGAATTCACATACAATTGATGTGTTAAAATATTCCCTGTGATTTCATTGGCGGAACATTTGCTCAGAAAATGTCGCTCTCTACCAAAAGAAGAAAAAAAAAAAACACATTCTTTTTCTTCCCCCTTCTCTCTTCGCGCTCTGCTACACAAGCAAAATGAAAAACACACACTTTCCTTCCCAACAGCACCCCAACGCAGCAGCATCTTCTGCTGCCACTATTGCATCCTCTGGCAGTAATCCAAAATAGCTTTCTTCCCCAGCGCCTTCCAACTCTCTCTCCTTCACCCGCAGCTTCTCTTCATCTGATCGTACCTATTCTCATCTCCAACCAACATCTGCCGCTACACCACCCACCTATTGCTTTACACCACGCACAACAAGCCCACCCGTTCCCGCAACAGCAACAGCACCCACAACAGCAACAGTATCCACAACTTCAACATTATTTACAACAGCTGCAGCAACAACAACAAGAGCAACAAAAGAAAACAACACCACAACGCGTTAGCTCCCGCGCAATTTCTATTGCACCTTTACCAGGCATTACTGGTCCAACAACTACCACGCTATCGACAAACATGTCGTCTACTCCTCGAACGAGCCGCAAGCGTGCGGTATCGGCTTTACAACCCATACTCATTAACGACAATGAGGGCGGCGGCGGCGGTAGCAAGAGAAGGCACACCGAGCGTGGAGGAAAGGCGGCCAAGGGGAAGGCGGCCAAGGAGAAAGCAGTCGGGGGAAAGGAAGATGATACGAAATTCTGGAAAAAACTTGGAATGAATACTTTTCTGGACTGGTTGTTGAACACTGACAATCTGCAGCGATTCGAGACCACAGGAACGACGGCGGGAACTCTGGTGAAGGACCTGCGCGACGAGATTGCCACTTATATTAACGACAACTCTGAAGACAGAGGCAAGGACGGTTGGAAGCCTTGGACAGGAGACAGCGTCAAGTACAACAAAGCTGCTTGCAAGAGGAAATATAGGCGGGCGAGGGACTTGATGAAGAAGACTGGAGGTGGTGATGACGAGACGAATGCGCTGGAGGAACAAGTTCGCAAGATATGTCCCATGTTTACGCGATTTCACGACGTCCATCTGCGTTCTATCAGAGTGACCCCGTTTCATATGGTTCAAACAACCACCATTCCAGGAGAACCTGAGCCAGTTTTCGACAACAGTGACGAAAGCAACAACAGCGACCGCAGCGATAGCGATGAGGGCGACGAGGGCGACGCGGGTCACGAACATGTTCAGATGGAGGGATTTGATGTAGAGAAATTCTTTGAGGCTTCTGATGATGGTATGTTAACAACTTATAGTTATCTTGTTTGTCTAAAGTGGTAAATTGCTTCACTGACTATTTTTGTATATTGCATTCATACAGATGTTGACACTCGCACCACCAACTTTACTACGGTATCTGCGATGTTGTCACAACAACAGAGGAAGCAGGATAAAAAGAATGCAAGCAAAAACAAGGGCAAGGATGTGGAGGCATATTTATGCATCGGCGAAAAGCTGGACGCAACTGTGCAAGAGCGAGAAGGAGGAGGAAGTGTGGGGCTTCTAGTTGGTCTGAGCAAAGAATTGTCAGAAAGAGACAGGGAGTTGCATAGGCGGGAGCAAGAATGGCTGCAACACGTTTACGAACGCCAGTTAGCCTTGGACTGGGCTCTTGCACAACGCCGAGAAGAACACGATCGAGAATTGGAAGTGGAGAAGGGGCATTTGAGGGCGAAGGAGCATTTGAGGGTGGAGAAGGGGCAGTACAGCGCGCAGATGCAAAAGGAGATGAATTTGTTAATGAACAAATAGAGAAGCTCCTTCGAGATAACTGCCGGATGCTGCGACATGCAAGTCGTAACCCCAACACCATCAACGATACTATCCCCGTATCTACCCCATCTCCCTGAGCGATCATTTATTTCCATAAAGTCATGCTGCCCTTGCTGCAATGTAAGGACGATAGTGTAAAACCCAATTCATCAATCTAGTTCTCTGCCCTATCGTTATTGATGTTCTGACCGACCTGTCCGACTGGATATCCATCGTCAGCCTGCCCATCTACGTTGACTTCGTTCTCACCCTCATCAATACCATAATCCACCTCTTGATCACGACAGGAAGACTCTTCAGCGACTGGAACTTGCGTTTTAGCATGCCAAACGCGTTCTCGATCTTGACTCGGGCTTGGTTGTGGTAGGAGTTGAACTTGGCCATGGGGGAACCGATTGGAGCGTTTCGGAAACGAGGCATGAGTGCAGTGGTGCGGGAAAGAATTGTTGGTTCAGGGGGATGAATAAGAGAGAAAATGTTTCTCCTCCAAAATGTTCCGCCAATAAAATGCATGGAATTTTTTTTCAAAATAACTCCAAGGTACCCAACAAGAACCAGACCGTCATCGTCACCCACCACGACGACATCCCTGTGGTCTTCCCGAACGCGCTCCACCTCCAGCACCAGTCCAGGGCAGTTCCTTTTCTGAAGGTTGATAACTTTAATATGTACGTTTTCTCCTCTCCTGAGCAGAAATAAAAAGTAAATAATAGAAAGCTGTATTTTTTTTTCGCGTAGACACAACTGACCTTGTTTCATATCATGCATGATAGTGTGGACCCTTTGCGCATTGATGCCATCCCAGGCGTTACTTTATAAACTGTTGTCAGCCAATAGCCAACAACGACAACAAACCCCTCACAATCGTCTCAGACGGACAGGCAGCTCCTCAAAACTACAAACACACATCGACTGACCACCTCTTGCGCTCCCCGCGATCGCGACCACAGGAAGGGAACCCCTCAGCCTACGGCGACGGGCTCTAGAAAACTACTCGCATATCGATGCACATAAACCCTTCAGCTCCTGGACCTCAGCTCTTTCCTGATACCCCTCACTGACACGCTCAAAGTCTCGGCACTCTCACCCCACGGACAACGACAAGAGACACCTCCACCAACCTTACAAAACACGACATGCAGCGACAACCGACAGCAGGGCATGAATAAAATCTCTGCGCCTGCGCCACAACTCACACGCGACAGCATACACCACTTTGCAGACTCCATGGACCCAAGCCTCGCTAGACGACAAACTAAACCAACACCGAAAATCCCCCCCCCCCCACAAGACTCTACTGCCACCGCCACAATGGCCGAAAATGACGAGACGCCCCAAGCCCAATTCAAGTACCGCAATAATGTACGACCCTCGGCCAACAAGGCGTCACCTCAAGACTTTTGCCATGAAATGGTACCTAAAAGGCCGCAAGAACAACGGCATCGGCATAACGTTCAGCAAACATTTTATCACCTCTATATGAGCGCGCGACGGCTGTGCCCAAAAGATTTCTCAAAAGCCCTAGAATGACTCTTGAAGGTGGTGGCTGTTAATGGTTCCGCGGGGGAGCTGAGAAGGAGTGCTCGGAGGTAGAACGAAAAATCGGATACTTCTACGAACTCGGGTCAGGGTGGTCTCGAACAAGGTTCCACCCAGGCTGCCAAGAAGAGGAACACGATCACCGCGCTGAACCTAGAAACTCTCTACGAGGAAAGGCGCGGTGTCCCCCAGGATTATGCAAAAGTCCTGCTGCAGTACACGAAGGCGAGCAGGAAGGGATCAGAAGATGCGTATTATGCGATTGCGGTGTTTTACGATATTGGCTTGGGTGTTGGTAGGAATGGTTGGTCTGCGATGGAGTATTATTGAGGCGCCCAGGAGGGGCCACAAGCAGGCGGCGGAAAATGTGTTGAAGATGTGGGAGGAGTGTCAAGACTCATTTGCAAAGTCTTAAGAATAATCCCTTCTTCTTTTGTATTGGCTACTTGTTGCATTTGGTTCAAAATAGAAAAGTAAAATCATCGACACAGTAATAGAGGTCCGGTTCATGTATGTTTGTATCAGAGTGGGGCGTGTTCTTTTTTTATGTGATATGCAATTATGTATGTGTGCGTGTGAGTGAGTGGAGAATGGGATGCGGGTGAATGTCAAAACAAAAAAACAAAAAAGTAAACAAAGTAGTGTGGACTGAAAAGGAGATCGCACTTTCTCTAAATCAAATCCATGACATCAAACAACATGCTGACACTCTCGCCGTTATGTATCCTGCGGATGGCCTCAGCAAAGATGGGGGCGACGTTGAAGACCTTCATCTTGGGGCAGCCAGCCAAATGCTCTTCCTGGGGGATACTGTTACTGACAATGACCTGGTCAATGCACGAGTTCTGAATCCTGGTAATGGCATCTCCAGACATGATAGCGTGGGTGATGATGGCATAGATCTTTTGTGCTCCGTTCTGCTGAAGGACCTTGGCCGCCTTGGTGATCGTGAACGAGGTGTCTGCAATATCATCGACCAAGATGCAGACCTTGTCCTTGACATCTCCAACCAACATCATGTCCGACTTGTGAGGGGCCTGGATTTGACGACGCTCCTTGTGAATCAAAGCAAACTCCATGCCTAGCTTGTCGGCAATGACGGTCGCACGCTTGGCTCCACCGGCATCGGGCGAGACAACGACGGCGTCCTCCCAGTTGGGGATCTTGTCGCGAATGTATTTGACCATCAAGGGCTGTCCGTACAAGTTGTCGACAGGGATATCAAAGAAGCCCTGGAACTGAGGGTCGTGCAAGTCCATGGTGATAATATGATCAGCACCTATTTTGATTGATTGCAACATGAGGTTAGAAGGCGTACAATTGAATGAAAACAGTAAACCATCGTCCCCAAAGTAGCTACGTCGCAGTAGTCCTTACCGGCGGTGACCAAGAGGTTGGCAATCAAGGTACCGGAGCGAGCAACCCAGTGCTTGTATCCGCCCTTGTGGGGGTTGACCTGATCGCTAGTGACAAAGTTCTGGGGGTTCATGGCGGAAGGGTTGCCGTTGGTGGTGGGGAGGAGCAAGTGCGAGGGCTGGGACAAGGCCTGAGGGCGAATTCCACGAGGGGCAAGAAGACGAGGCTTGGTGACCTCTCCCTCGATTCTCAAGCTAGAGATGGCAGGGGCGATTCCACTAGCACCTCCTGCGGGCGGGAGGGTGGGCGAAGTCGCGGCGGATTCGATGTCCGAGTTGGACTCGTTGGTGGAATCAAACATCTTGTCGAAGGGGTTCTTGCGGTCGATGCGATCCAAGCTGGGGGTCTGGAGGGGAGTGCCTGCAGGGGTGACGGGCAAAGAGAAGGGGGTGCTGGCTCCGGTGTATCCAAAGAAGATATTGGGAGGGACGCGCGACAGGGGCATGCCGTTCTTCTTGTAAGGAGCATCGGGCTGACGGGCATAAGGGAAGCAGGGGATGACAGCTGTGATGCGGCGAGCACTGGCGGTCTTGCAAGCAGCTAAGATGGTACACGAGGACAAAGGACAGGATGATAATGAGTATAGGTGATCAGTGAAGCCATTCGTTAGGGTCGACAAAGAGAGCAGTGGGGGAGAGGAAGAAAGTCGAAGCGATTACAAAAGTAGCCATTCGTTCGTTTTCATCCGTGCATGCGGGGAAGAGAAAGAAGGGAAGGGGAGGGGGTGACCATGCGTCATTGAATGCAGTGGATCATTGAAATGAAGCAATTGGATATTGACCATGGATATAGATAGGTTGAGATATGAGTACTTACCGAGCATGATGAGCAACTCCATCAAGTTGTCGTTGACGGCGCCGCATCCGGACTGGATGATGAAGACGTCCTTGTTACGGACACTGTCGCCAATCTCGACGTTGGTCTCCTTGTTGGCGAATTTTGACAGCTTGACCTGGCCGGGGGAGATGCCGAGACGGGCACAGATCTGGTCGACCAAAGCAGGGTGCGAGCTGCCTATAGGATAGGAGATCGTCCGAGGCGGGTGTCGGTATCGATGGGAGCGAGAATGAAAAGAGAAGGGGAAGCAAGGAGAGAGTAGAGACGAGTGAGGAGGAGGACTCTCAGGCGATACTCTTCTTTTTTATTTTCCATCTTTCCCTCTTTGCCTCTGCCCCTCTTTCCATCTATTGTTGTTTCTTGCGGTTGAACCCGAGGGCAGGCGAGATCGAGATATATTATGTCTCGGGAGATGCATCCTTTCCAAGAGACAGGGTGAACCAAAACAAGGCTCTGCTCCGTGGGTGTGGACAAACAACAGAAGACAAACAACTAAAAATTTTTCTTTGCTCGAGTTGATCAAAGTGCGGCCATGGTTAGTTTACCACTGAGCACGACGATGTTGCGCATGATGTGAAATGTAGAAGGAGAAAAGGAGGGGTTAAGAGTGGAAGGAAAGAGAGGGGAGAGAAACTCGACGCGAGAAGGAGAGACGAAAGGAGAGGGGCGGTTAAGGTATTAGGGTGGGAGAGGAGGGGTGAGGAGTGGGGGAGCAAGAAGGACAAAAAAAAAAAAAAGAACCAGCAGCAAAGAGTCATTTTTCATTAAGAGTCGTGTCTCCGGACATTGATGGTGGCTTGTAGTCACGTGCAGAAACGAAAGGAGCAATAAATAGCCAGCAGAGGGGATCATGGCGATGGGCATCATTCCATCTCTTTCTTCCTTACCATGTCGCAGTACTACGAGCACTACAGAAAGTCCAGGTTAGGAAGGCAAAGGGGTCTGTTGTGGTCATTGTTTATTTCGAGGTTTATGATGTTCTCTTGCTTAAACAACACCTATCTACTCTCTTGTCATGGTCAATAATAAATAGCATTGGACTCGCCCTCATCGACTCCCTGGACGAATTGATCCAGTCGGGACACATCAACCCCCAGCTCGCCATGCGTGTCCTCGCCCAGGTACAGACAACACGCCCTTGTTATTCTACTTTTCCTTGTTGTTCTGATACTCCAGCATAAGAAACATATAGCTAACGTACATCTTGTTTTTGTGATGATCGTGCTAGTTCGATATGAGTATTGCAGACGCACTGAGCAGCCGTGTGCGTAACCGTGCCAACTTCAGGGTAAAGTGAAAGCAACAACGTCTGATCTGCTTTGTCTGCGTGTGCACAATATCCCCCCTTGTTTTTTTTGTGTACTGTTCAAATTTCTTATTGTTTTGTCCTCCACTTCTCTCTCTCTCCTCCATGCAAATGTATAGGCCCACTTGGACAACTATCGGTCGCTGGACGATGTGTGGACTTTCGTGTTGTCGAACCCAACCTTTCGCTTCGAACATGACTCTGTGACGGCCGACAAGGTCAAGATTGTTGCTTGCAAGGCTAGGGTTCCTGGAGAAGCGTAAAGAAACAAGCGTTTGTCGGTGGATATCGTCAGAGAATGGCTTTGGACTGGGTTTGCTGTCCCGTTGTTTGTAGTCCTGTCTGTCTCCGTGGTTCCGCCTTGCTTCCTGTGCTCCTTTGTATTACTACTGCCTCTTTTCCTTTCTTTTCTTTTTTTCTCATAATAATAAAGTGTACAGTTAACAGCGAAGCAGTTGAGGTGAGAGAATGTGTGGATGGTGGCAAAGTGAGAGAAGGAGTAGGGGTGGGTGGAAGTGTGGATAACAGAAAGAGAAGGAAAAAAAAAAAAAAGAAAAAGCAGGCGCTGTTCTACTTCGCAGCTTCAGCCTTCGCAGCCAACCGCCCACTTGATTCAAAAGACAGTCACGGACACGGCACCTTTTTTTCTCCCTTCATTTAATTGACTTTTTTTCTGCTCTCTCACTTCTTTCACACTACTTACTTTCATACCAACGCTTACACCTTACCCCAACCATTCAACTTACATTCATTCATCAATAAATAAAACACAACCATGTCTATTATCTACGCCCTGGTCGCAAGGAGAAGCCTCATCCTTGCTGAATACACAAACTCATCCGGAAACTTCACCACCGGTACGCCCTCTTCTTCTCTCATTCTCTCCTTTGTCTTGGCATACTTTCACCTCCTTGCTCCATGATAAGAAGGCACTGAAGTTACTCAACTCAACACTGACGTACCTCCCTTGGCACTATCGCTACTTAGTTACGGAAGCCATCCTGGAAAAGATCCCTCCTAACAACTCCAAGCTAACCTACGTCTACGACAGGTAATAATACACTAATACACAACGACCCCTTCTATTTTTCAGGAAAGTAGAATTGACATCATATGTCACTCTGACGCTCTCGCTTAATGCCATAATTATTCTTGTGGCAAAAAGCGTGGGCCATGACCCTGACCGTGGACGTGGGCGTTTTGTTTGTGCTTTGTTTGTTCAACCCTGCATTTGGTTTAATGCATTCCCTCTTTTTCACTGACTCTCTCTCTGTATTTCTCCTTAACAACAACAATCCCTATCATTCATTCTGTCTTTTCTTTTTCCATCACCCCTATCCCCCGCTATTCAACATATTTCATGGCATGAATCTACCAAACCAACAAAAACACATAGATATCTGTTCCACTACATCTGCGAGGATGGATTGACCTACATGTGCATGGCCGACGATTCCTTTGGCCGTCGGATTCCCTTTGCATTCTTGCAGGACATCAAGGAAAAATTCCTGGCTCAGTACGGACGTGAGCGTGCCCTGAATTCTTTGGTCGCCTATAGCATGAACGAGTTCTCCAAGACCATTGCCAAACAGATGGTAAGATATTTTATATGCAATACTCCCATTAATGCATACCCACACACGATCTTTTGATTTTTTAATGTTTCCCGTCGACGGGAACGTGGCAAGGAAATAGGTGGATGCAGATGGAAGGAATGGAAAGAATGGAGCACAATGGATCTAACCCTGTGTACTTCTCTCTCTTTACATGATGGACATGTCCTTTGTAGGAGTACTTTTCGACAAACCCAGAGGCCGACAGGATCAAGCAGGTTCAGGGGGAGATCGAGCAGGTCAAGGATGTCATGGTTCAAAACATCGGTAAGCAACACTTCCCCTCCTCTTCTTGCCCCGTCTGAGGATCAACTTGTTCACGCTTCATTGTTAACGATCAGTCTACCATTATCCTTCCCCCCTTTCGCACTCATGACTGGACACACGGACAACTGGACAATTGGGTCTGAACGTTGACTGACCTTTTATTATCGTTACTTTTTTTCCACAACTGCCCCCTATTCATATTCTATTATAGAGCGTGTTCTGGAGCGTGGAGAGCGCATTGAGTTGCTCGTGGACAAGACTGATAACCTGAACCAGCAGGCTTTTGCATTCAAGAAACGGAGCACTGTACTCAAGGTAAGCTAATGGGAACAGCAAAACGGCACCAAAATAAGTAAACAATCACAAAAAAAACGAAGATCCAACAACACACAGGACCAAAATACTATTTTTCGGCTGTTTTGTCAAACCCCTCTCTCTCCCCCTAGTACTCACTCGATGTTTATCATGCACCCATATTTTCATGATAATAGCAAAAGATGTGGTGGAAGAACGCCAAGTTGATGGTCATCTTGATCTTGGTTGTCATCGTAAGTTCAAGCAAGTCGCAATTCTCCCGATCCCCCTCCTACCCTCAGTTGGGATGGGATCGCAGTTTTCCGACAGATTTCATCTCGTTGCGAACACTGCGAATTAATTTTGATCCGTGTCAATGCATGGTGACATGTCCTTCTCTTTGCTAATATCTCGTCTCTCTCTTTCTCGCTCCCTTTCATCTTGACGATTTGTAGTTATTGACCTACCTGGTTATCTCGGCTGCCTGCGGATTCCCCACCTGGGCATCATGCCGTGCCTCTAGCACCCCCCCGACCCTTCTTCTCTTCTAAGGTGTCATCATTCTTCATCCCCTCTGTTTTGTCGACTCCACATAGTAGATTTCTCTCGCCTATTTTTTCCCCGTCCTTTTACGCCCCCCTATTACTTATATATCTCTCTCTGTTACTCCCTTAGTCGTAAAGTGCTTCAGTTTTATAGTTGCATTCCAGACTTGTCTTCCTCAGCCCGTGTAAATATCCAATACGATACATAAATCCTCTTTGTACAAGAATTCCAATGATGCATTTTGTTTTAATATGATCCTCAATGATACTGACTGTCTGGGAATCCGAGGCGGTGGAGATCCCAGGTGCCTTTGTATTGTGTTGTGATTGCATGCTTGCTGAGTCGCTTTCTGTCTGTCTGTCTGTCTGTCTGTCTGTCTGTCTATCCTACTTTCTGTAGTTCATACTCTACGCCAAGAATTTATCCCTGGCGCTGTCTAGATACCCCATAATGCAACAAACAAAGAAATGGTTAAACACATTCAGCTAGACACATTTCAGCCTTCCAACAATACAATCTTCAAAAAACGACAGAAGCCCCCCCCCCCCCCCCCCCAACGCGAACTACAGATTTACCTTGGTGCGCAACGGATGATATCATCCACCCTCAAGATCATCTCGGCAGCCTCAGAAGCCGATAATAACACCTGCCTCTTCAACTTGAACGACTCTGTGATGCCCAACTCACGCATATCACCGACGGCGCCATGCTCCATATCCAAACCATGTGTCTTGTTACCCGCATAGTGCGAAGCCCTCAACTTGGCGACCAAGTCAGCACTATCATAACCGCCGTTATCGGCCAAGATAGTAGGCATCTGACGAAGAGCGCGCGAGAAGGCCTCAATGGCGGCCTGCTGCTTGCCGGCAGTCTTGGCGGCAACCTCGTCGACAGCCTTGGACATCAACACCTCTGAGCATCCACCTCCGAGAACTGTCCTGGGCTCCTGGGTCGTCTGCGACAAGACACTGAGGGCATCGTGGAGCGAACGCTCAGACTCGTCCAACAACTGGTGAGTTGCTCCGCGAAGAACAATCGTGCAGGCCTCTCCAGCAGCAACTCCTGAGAATTTGATCAACTAATTGGTCATGATTAAGAATAAAGGTCCATGGGGGTTAATTCTGTGTCCGAGAGTATCGAAATGGCAAAAAAAAGTGATGACTCCTCTATGAAGTCTTCTCCTCGACGCCAAACTTACGCGGTCCTCGCCAATGATGACCTCCTCGATGACATCGCAGTGTCCGAGACGGACGAGCTCGGGGTGGTCAAAGGTCGAGGTGATCTCTCCTCCAGTGACAAGGGCCAAACGCTCAACACCATCGAAATCAGCGTGCTCAATCGACATGATTCCGGCGTCAGCGAAGAGCTGCTCGGGCCAGTTGTAGATCAACTGTCTGTTGACGAAGCAAGTAATACCGTGCTCCTTGATCTTCTCAACCTTGGCCTTCATCTTTTCACGCTCAGCACGCTCCAACTCCTCCAGCTTTCCGGTGCCCTCGACACGAATACGAGCTCCAAAGATCTTGATCTTGTCAGTATCCATAGCTATATTGTTTCAAAAGCAAACAAGTTGGACGTTAGTAAAACATCATCACGCCAGATCTCATGGTGAGCGATAGTCTGCGACAACAACGAAAGGGGACATACGGGTGTTGGCGACCATGATGGTGGCGTTCTCGATGCGCTTGGGCTGGTTGACACCAATCTTCTTGTCCAGAATGAATCCCTCGTCCAAGTAAGAGTCCGCAAGACGACCTCCGACCTTCTTGATGATCTGAATGTTCTCGAGGTTGGTGCTTCCCTTCAATCTCAAAACAGCATCCACAGCCAACTTGGAAAAGTACTCCTTGTCCTGTGACAAGACCTTGGAAGACAAGGTCGTCTTGGCAATGTTGATCAGATCGGCACGGAAGACTTCGGGATCTTGAGAATGATCGATAGCAGACTCCTCGAGGGCCTTGTAGGCGGCAGCGCTAGCAATCCGGAATCCCTCGATGATCGTCTGGGGGTGAATCTTTTGGTTAACCAGCTTCTCGGCCTCTCTCAACAGCTCGGCGGCGAGGACACAGACAGAGGTAGTGCCGTCTCCGACTTCGTCGTCCTGAACTTTGGAAATGTTGACAAGGACCTTGGCGGCGGCGTTGTCGAGAGCAATAGACTTCAAAATGGTGGCGCCATCGTTGGTGACCATGACCTCGCCTGTTGATGCTGACTGGAGGATCTTGTCCTGTGAGTATTGTAAGGAGTAAGGTAGAAGGATGAGAGGTGGGTTGTGAGCACTTTGGATCTCTTGTGCGGAGCTGCATTGCCGCCATGTGTTGTTCTATCTTGTTCGACGTTGTGTCGCTTGTGATCAGCTTCAAGGCATCAAATCACCACAAACAAGGACATACCATGCCCTTGGGTCCAAGGGTGCTCTTGACGAGGTCGCCGACAGCGATAGCGCCGATGAACGACGACTATGGTAGTTGAAGCATGTCAAAACAAGTATATTGTAAGCGGCATTGGTCTAAAGGGGGTACGTAGATCAGGGTGACAGTTACAGGATAACGACCAGAAGTGAAAGAGAGAGAGCGTACCAAGCGAGCGTTTTCAGCACGCTCCTCGGTTGCATTGTCCTGGAAAATCTGAACGGGGGCCAAAGACTAGAATGGTTGATGGGAGGAAGGAAAGAGAGAGATGTCAGTGATGAAGTCGCATGGCTGCTGGCATTCCAACCATGGTTGAGTTGAGGTATAAGTGTTGAGCTGATCAGGGGAAGGTGAGGTGATCTCCGTTACTATCTGAAGTGTGGAGGTGTGTCGTTGCAACGGTGACGTTCATCCTGAAAGGGGGCGCGCATCCCATTAGGTTGCTGTCGTCTGTTTTTTTGGTCTCCTGTGAGCGTGAGACTGAGTGGTCGTACCATGATGTGTGAAAGTGTGGAAGTAGGTTGATGAAGAAGAAGAAGAAGCAGAAAGTGATGGAGGTCTCTTTTATTTCCAAGAGCGAGGACAGGCGCGTTGCGAGCACTGGAGAAGCCAACAGAAGAAATTCAAAATCCAGGGACATTGATCTCCTGTGTGATTTGAAAACGTCACCGGAATCTGTTCAGATCGTGCGAGTAACTACGCGATCTTGGCAATCTCGCTTTGGAACAGGTCAAACTCAAGACTAGAGAACGAGATGCATATGGGTTTATTTTGATGATATTATTACAGCTATTGAAAATAGTACAAAGAGTCATAGCTAGAAGCGAGTGTGATCCAACGTTCTTACGTCGTAAGAGTAACCTTCTGCCCAAAGAAACTCTCACCACAATCCCCAGCCTTCACAACCTTCTCAAAGATCCATTCCCCAACATCCGCTCTATGAACTGTATAGCCAACAGCAGGCTCCTCCTCCCGTCCAACCTTCAACTTCCCCCACCCCTTTCCACCCTTTACTGACTGATCTCCCGTCAGCAAACTAGGGCGAACAATCACTGCACCGCAAAATGCTCCTCCAGCTCCACTGTTCTCGAGGACGAGGCGTTCCATCTCCTTCTTGTCCTTGTGTGGGGTGGCAAGTCCGACGTGATACAGGGTTCGGAACCCAAAGGGGACATCCTCCTTGACGTCCGAGATGCCAGTGCTTGAGATGACCGTAATCGAGGGCTTGTGTTGAGCAGTCGAAGGTTGTGCCTCGTAGATCTCCTGGAGGGCCTGGACAATATTCTTGGTTGCCGTGGCACAGATCTCCGGGTTGTCGACAGTCACGGGGCGACGGAGAGACTTCTGTATCTTAGGAGCACCGCCGATACCCGAGATGATCTGCGAGGCGACTTGGAAGGTGGCGGAGTTGTTGGTGAGGACGGACTTGATGGCAGAGATATCAGAAATGTCGCCCTTGACGATGGTCAACTGGCTGTCGAGGGTAGACTGGGCGAGTCCTTGGGCGAGGAGCATGCTGGTGAGTTTGGAGGGTGTGCGAGCGAGGGTGGTGGCGTGAAAGCCGGCGTTGAGGGTATGGACCAGGCAGGCATTTGTGCATCCACCAGTTGCCCCAAAGAAGGCAATTTGTTGTTGAGTTGTAGCGATGGACATTTTTTGTTTGTTGGATGGGTGGTTGTTTGCTGTTTGTGGAGTTGAGAGAGAGCTGAGCTGTGTTTTGTTGTGCTTTTGCCGCTGTGTTCTGATGATGGAGAATAAAAAGAGAGGATGATGCCTTGATCGGCCCCTTTATATAATGGCCATCGGGCCGGAGATACCCCTCTTCCCGTGCACCGTTGCCACCAATGTTCCTGTGAATGACGACCGATCGACAAAGGACGCGTCTGTGCCAATTAAGCCAAGAAACGATTTTTCCAGAAATGTTTATTTTCCCTTGCATCTCTGCGTCACACCATGTAAGAAAAAATGCCAAGAACACAAAAAAATCTTTGCTCTTTGCTCCTTCCTTCTTGACGCTCGATCATCGGCAACATACAAAAAAACGGCACCAAGAGTCACCACGTTTTGACAAGTAACAGAAAAATGAGGCAATTGGAGTCGATCATTGAACAAGGAGTTGTTGAAGACAGGGCGAGCGTTCAAGCGAAAAGCGGATGCTTTTCCATAGTTTATTCTTCATTCTTGCGACACGAAGCGACAAATAGTTATAAATAGCCAGGTCGAGATTGAGTGGGACATTGACAATGGGTATCTTGCGCAGTCTAGATATCCTTTTTTCTTCGACATACACACCCTCGCATTCACGAACAACAAAACAAAGCCATTTTACGCACAATTGTCAATGACATGGATCCAATGGAACACAGTAATCTTCATTCACCAAAAGAAAAAATAAAATACAAAGTCGACCATAAACGTAAAAAAAGCAGCCAGCCAAATGCTCTGGGGTGCCCCTCGGAAATTTCTCGCTCGCTCTCGAAAAAGAAACAAATCCTTCCACACGCACTCTGCTCATCTCTCTCTGCACTGGGGGGAAAATGTCGAAAACAAAGACTCTTTGACGCTCAGCTCTCGCTCCCGCTCCGGTACACAGAACACTCTCAGATTCCCCCTCCTTCAAACTTCACTTGATGTCTTCCTATGCTGATCCACCCCTCCATCCACCAGAGATACCTCCCCCACTGATCAGCCCTTGACTCGCCCTTGCTCGAATGCCCAGTCCACTATTTTTTTTGTTCTTATTGCACCGCTCTCACATTCATCTTTTTTCCCCCATCACTCTGTTCTTTTTAGTGGCCATCTGAGTATCTCCACCAAAACGTCAACCATCAACCGACCATCCAAGAGTGGACACAGAACCCTCCCCTCTCGATTAGTAGCGGTTAGGGGGCTGTCCATACTGCTGGGTCCCGTACGATCCATATCCTTGCTGAGACTGCTGAGTTCCATAGGTGGGGCCGCCGTAGCTTCCATACGAGGGTGCCGAAGAGCCATAGGCCGGGCTCATAGGCGAGTATCCTGGAGTGGGACCTGACTGCTGTGAAGACGACTGCTGCTGAGTGCCGTAGTAGCTCATGTTGCTTCCTCCCGAACCCTGGCCGCTAGATTGGTTAGGCGAGTTGGTGCCACAGCGTGCACAGGTGGTGCGCTTGGCAAAGTTGTGGTAGCCGCACTGGGTGTTTGGGCACATCCAATCGCCGGCCTTCATCATCGACTGCTGTGCAGGGTAGGATGAAGGTGCGGGCGATGAATCACGAACGGGCTTGGCCAGTCCGCAACGCATGCACTGGAAGCGAGATGCAAAGTTGTGAGAGTTGCACGAGGGGCAGCTCCAGTCACCGGGGCGGAAGTTGCTTTGTCCTCCAGAGCTGCTGCTGTTACCGCCGCTGCCATAAGAGCCAGAACCACCCTGGCCTCCGTACGACTGAGATCCACTGCTTCCATAAGAGGTTCCACCACCGCGACCGCCCTGGTATCCGCTGCTCTGATATCCGCTGCTCTGGTATCCACCACCATAGCTGTTGCTGTTGCTGCTGCTGCTGTTGTCGTAGCTGTTGTAGCTCGAGTTCGAGCCACGGTATCCTCCTGCATTGCCGCTTCCACTTCCTCCGCCAGACGAAGGCGCGCTGGTTCCGCACTTCATGCACTGAGTTCTAGAGGCAAAGTTCTGGAAGTTACAGCTGGGACAGTTCCAGTCGCCAGGGCGGAAGGTGATCGAGTGACCGCCGCTACCACCGCTACCACCGCCAGAAGCATATGGGTGATGGTGATGGGAGTGGTGCGAGTGATGATGAGGTGATGCTACAGGGCCTCCGTTGCTATGACCGCTTCCGCTTCCGTTTCCTGAGGTCCCGGGCATGGGAGTTCGGCAGCGAAGACAGTGAGTGCGGGAAGCGTAGTTGTGGAAACCACACTGCGCATTGGGACACATCCAGTCTCCAGATGTAAAGTTGGCAGGCTGGGAGGGGATAACTCCTTCGGGCGAGGGGGAATTGCACCTGAGACATGCCATTCTCGAGGAGAAGTTGACAAACTGGCACATGTTGCAAGTCCAGTCACCGGGTCTCGACGAGCTGGCGTTAGAGGACTTTGAGGTCTATTCAAGTAAGCAAGAGGTGACGATTAGTCATCATTGGCAGAGGTATGCTTAAAGATACGACACCAAAATAAAACAAAGCATGAAAAAGACAAAGTACCTGGTTGGAAGACGACGACTTTCCCTTGTTGGTAGTGTCCATGACAGCCTTGCTGGAAGGAGTGATCTCGACGACACGGGTTCCGAGAGGCGCACCGTTCAACTCGAGAGCAGCCAAGGCATCGACATGCGACTCGAACACGATAAACCCGCTTCCAGTGGGCTTGTTGGAGGCGGTGGTCTGAATGACGACCTCCTTGGGCGTCAGCTTGTTGGAGGTAAAGAAGGTTTCCACCTCCGACTGGGTGATATCGAACGACATGGAAGAGATGCGAACAATCTTGGATCCGCTGTCCTTGAACATCTTGAGGACCTGAGCGGGATCGGTCGCCTGGGTAAAGACATCGGGATGGGCAAAGGCGACGAGGTACATCATGATGCTGATGATGGTCTTGACATCGTCAATACCAGAATGGAGCTGTCCGACCTGGGTGACAGCAAAGGCCTCGCACATCTTTTCCAGCGAGAAGGACTTGAGGACGACCTCAGGGTGGTGGGCAATCCACTTGGTGGCCTCCTCCTTCAGGTCAAAAACAATGGGCTCCTTGAGGTATAGGGGAAGAGTGATGCCCTTCTCCTTGGCTTCTCTGGGCAACTGGATGCGAAGATCCCAAGCACCATGGGTGACAAAGCAGAAGGTCTTGCCCTTGTCCAGAATCTCCGATGTGACAAATGCGTCCAACGAGTCGATAGCCTGTTGGAGGGTCTTGCCGTTCTCGACCATGGCGGGGGTGATCTTGGTGAGGTTCTCGCAGAAGGGGGTGATGGGGGTCTTGACGGGCTTGACGTAAACCTGCTCCTCCTTGACGTTGGCTAGGGTGGACTTTGCGGCGCAAACCCAGGAGAACTCGATAATCTCGGCAGTGGCCTATATGGTAATATGTCCCGTCGAGCACATGTTAGTTAATTTATCTGTGTGCCTGTTGAAATAAACAAACGATGTTGTGAATCCACTTACACTGGTGACAAGGAGTTCAGCGGCAGGCTTGCCCTCGTCGCAGGTAGCCTCAAAGTCGACGACGATGAAGTAGTCGTACTCGCTTGTGGGGATTCTGGGTGCCTTTGAGGCAGCAGGGCTAGGCTTGGCTGGAAGGGAAGATGACGTAGGGGCAGTTGACGTTGTGGATCCGGTGGCGGGTGCCTTTGCAACGGGTGCTGGTGGTGGTGGTGTGGTAGAGGCTGGGGATACGGCTGTGGGTGTGGGTGCAGGTGCAGGTGCGGGTGCGGGTGCGGGTGCGGGTGCAGGTGCGGGTGCGACTGCGGGTGCGGGTGCGACTGCGGGAGCAGGCTCAGCGGTGGTAGGTTCAGCCATAATAAGGTCGTTGTCAGACATTGATGATGGTGTTGTTTTTGCGATGGGAGTCGATGAAGAAAAAGAAAAGAGACTCCTGCTTCGTGTGTTGGAGTAAGAGTGTGTGGGGAAGAGTGTGGTTGGGTGGTGTGAGTTGACGAGAGAGAGAGAGATGAGAAAAATCGTAAAAAAAGATGGCTACGTCACAATGAGAGCACGTGACTCTAGCCAGATCTTTTATTTCATTTCGCGGGCAAGCAGCGAACCACATCGTAGAGCGATTTGACCTGCAGGTCGCTCTCCAAGATCGAATCTGGCCGCTTTCCTTTGCCATGATAGATAACGCTCTTGGGATGTTCAGGGAGAAGCCAAAACACATTGTCATCAAAATGGCCCTCAATCTCATCTCGCCTCCACTCCAGCCAGACCATCCCAACAACCGCATCGGAAGAAATGCTCAGATGAATCCCGTATCCATTGGAGTGGTCTTCGACGCGCTCGATCTTGGTGCATATCTTGGGATCTGTCAAACAGCGCTCAATGGAGAAGGCATCTCGGGTAGGGAATGTTTGAGGGAGCATCTCATAGACTTGCTCGATGCCTTCTTGCCCACCGATGACAACAGTCGCAAGGACCAAGCAGAAGGTCGAGGCCGATGTGTTTCCAAGCAAAGTAGAAGCATCAAATTCCGTGATGAATTTGCTGCCATAAGCCTTAACTGAAATGGGAGTGCTCGATACCAAGTGCGTATGACCTGAGCGAATATCGACGGCCTTGACATGTAAGTCGCCTATGGTCACAATAGAGGTTAGGTATGAGTTCTCGGGTGCAAACCATGGACGAACTATTAACAAAGGTCGATCTGGTTACCTGTGATGCTGACAGACTTGTCGTTTGATATATGAATATGAAAGGACGACTCTCCTTGAGGTTGGAAGCCTGACACAAGCACGTCCGCAAAGGCATGCTTGATAAAATAATGGAGTGGCTTCCATGTTCCTAGAACAAGCAGTAGGCAGACAAAGCAAGGGTGAGAATGCGATTCTTAGTGACCCCTCATTTGCTTTTGATTTTCAAGTAAGCGGTCGTTACCTCCGTGTTCGATACTTGACCCTGAAATAAAAGGCGCGGGGGAAATGAAAAACGCGTTAGATATCCGCTGAAGAGAAGGTCACACAACGGAACCAATTCGTGTCAACTAGCAACTCATACGATCCTTACATGTTGGTGCTGGCCAAATGTCATTGAGCTGCCAGTACAACGCGCCCATTGTGCGGCTAGCAGTACCCCGACCACGAAGATAGTGCTCGGTTTGGCCGACAATGGAGCGTGCTTGGACACACTGGGTCAGATAGCAAAACAAATCGAAAAGGGTCTCACGCGTGGCAAGGTCAACCATGGATTCGGACGCGTCAGGGTCCGCGTGGAAATAGTTGCGGAGCGACGATGGTAACTCATATTGAAACTATAAATGAGAAAGACAAAATGCATGGGTTAAGTTGGAGTAGGTTGACTTGATTGCAATAGAGCCTCAACCTGTAGAAGAGGATCCTTACGTCGATCTGCTGGAGCATTTCTTGCTGACCGTTGCCGTGATGGTTGCGGTGGATCGACAACTTCGAGAGAGGGTGCCAATCCTTGCTGGAGGACACTTTTTTCCATGCTATGAAAGACGGCATCGACTGCGCGCCATACTCAGAGACGAATCGAGCCTTGGGGTAGTATTCGACATGGAGGCCATTGTGCTTGTAGTCGTAGAAATGGACATCTCCATACAGTCCTCGCTCATTCTCCTGAAGCACGTAGCGCTCTGTGTATGGGTGCTCGGATATCAGTCCAGCAGACGGAGAACTGAAAAGTCATGTTAGTACCAGCGGTTTTGTTGCTTGGTCAAAGCATATTTTCATCATCGAGCAAGTGTTAAGACTTACGTGGATATGAATGGTCTGGAAGTGTCCACCGTCCGCAGCGTGGCCATGATGGTCTCCATGTACAGTCTATGATAGTCGATCTAAAAAGGTCGTTAGACAACCACCTACCACTTTGTTTGTTGACAACAAAAAAGAATGAAGGAGTACTGACACTTACTGTGAAAATGTACGGATTATCCATGGTCGCCTTGTCCCACCTTAAAAATAAATAGAGGGTTAGTTTTCGAACTGACTCAGGTCGCATCGTGCCCGAGCGTCCAACAACGCGCGTGCTTCATGTACCCTTTCACCATGAACTCTTGGTTTTCGTTGTTTCCAGACCATAGGATAATGGATGGGTGGTACATCAATCTGTTGACTTGATCCTTGACTTCCTGTTGGACATTCTCCAGGAACAGGCGATCCGTAGGATACAACGCGCAAGCAAACCTATCAAAATGATCGTCGGAACATTAGCAGTCGATAGACACCATCCTCCTTATGCGAGTGTCCATGTCACAAGTAGAGTGATTGCAAGTCCTTACATGAACTCCTGCCAGACCATAATTCCCAGCTCGTCGCACAATTGATAGAAATCTAGGTACGAGATAGAGATGAAACAAGGAGAGTATGTATTAGAGACAAGAAGGCACAGTCAGAGGACATGACCACGACCAAGTCGATAGCCAACTTACCATCTGTTTCGTATCGACCGCCACCCCAGATACGAACCATGTTCATGTTGGCATCCACGCAGCTCTGGAGTAACGACCTAACAAAAAGACACACATCAAGCAAATTATTAGATAAAAGCGCAATCAAGGCGATACAAAAAGCTACAAAAACGAACCTTTTCTTCTCCATGGTCATCAGGCTATCAAAGACATGTCCAGGGATCCAATTGGCGCCCTTGGCAAACAAGTCGACATCATTCACTTGGAAATGAAAATGGTCGCCAGGCTGTCCACTAGCGAGCGCTTTCTGAACAAGGTCGCATGTCCTGAATCCGCATTGGAAAGAGTGAGATGATACCGTCGATCCCTTATCGTTCACCAGCGATGCTGCCACGTTGTACATGTTCTGCTCTCCGTAGCCTCGAGGCCACCATAGCTTCACCTGGGACCTGTCCACTGTGAAGGAGTGCTGCAAGGTGTTGTCTCCTGCGGTGATTCTGGCGACGTGTTCAATGTTGGGAAGTCCGCCATCGAAGTTGATTTTTAGTTGAAGGTGTTGATCACGGGTAGAAGTGACACAGGTGCGTATCTATGATAGAAATACGAGAAACAATGGGCGTGTTATAGAAGCGAAGACATAAAAACGGAATAGTCAAAGAGGAATTCATTGAGACGTACCTGAACTTCCCAGCCATCCAAAGTGGAGTTCCAAGAAGTCAACAAGGTCCATGACTTTGCCAGTAATCCTTGGTTGTCCAACTTGATGGAGATGGGTCGCCAGATACCTACAAGTCACTCAGTAGAGAGAGTGTCAGAGAGGGGACATTTGGAGCATGGAATGTACACCAGCTATCAATTTTAGTTCCGTTGACTAACCGCAAGGAGCAAACGCCGGACCCCAATCCCAAGAGAATGAGCACTATCACAGCCAAATGAATAAATAGTGTGAGATGGATGTGTGAAATACATCGCGCTGCTCTTTCCGTTGGTATGCGAAGACAGGTACCTGTTCTTTGCGGACAAAGTTGCGGTTTGGAAACCCATGCTGAGCGGCACTCATGTTGAACATGTCAGGGACCTAGAACAAAAACAATGCATTTGGCTCAATAGGTCACTCGCACAAGCGAAATTATTCCCATGGACAGCGAAAACATTCTTTTTGTTGCACAATACATACATAATAAGGGTAGGCCTCCGCTCTGCCCTTGGAGACACGAACAGCATTATCGAAGGTGATTCGAAGGATGTTGGACTTTCTGACAAGAGCTTTGGAGATGTCGAACTGATAGTGTCGGAACTGGTTATCGGTCGATCCAATGGCTGTCCCATTCAGAGTAATACTTGCAAGAGTGTCCAAGCCCTCACAGTCCAAGAAGGCATGGGTAAACTCCTGGTCCATGTCGAATGCCTTTTCGAGTGTCCAGGCATTGTCAATGATCTCTCGCATATATTCTCTAGTGAGCGAGTGGAGTGACAGGACAAGCAAGCAAGCAATTGGCGTCAGTGTTCTCCACATAGTTCTTCTTTCTTTGGTCACCTTGATTATTAACGTTTATTGAAGATACCAAATTCTTACTTGACATAGTTAGTTCCATAGTAAGGGTCGTAGTCGATAATGTTGGCTTGAATAAGGTCCAAGTGCACTTGACCTAATAAGAAACAAAGTACCCACGGTTCATTAGAATGAGTTCATTCATTCACTCACGGCAATGAACTTTGAACTTGCATTCAGCACAAGTCGATTCGACGCACGAGTTCGTACCAGGCACGGTGGCAGACACGTGGATAGTTTTGTCCTGGTTGGAGAGTTTCCACTGGCCATCCAGGTTGAGGGAGTGTGCTTCTGCCACTGTTGTTCCTTGTCGGGTGAGCATGGTGGGGCGTGGGTGGGCGTGTGAGTGAGTGAGTGTGTGAGTGTGTGTGTGTGTGTGTGTGTGAGAGAGAGAGAGAGTGAGTGAGTGAGAGAAGGAAGAGTGTGAATGGTTGTTTCCGTTGCCATCTCTCTTTCTTGCCAAGGCGTTGTTTCCCTACCCCTGTTCAATAGTCATTTACACAGGACAGGGTATCCTTTGTTCACACGCACTGTCCTCTATTCCCCTCTTCTTTCTCCTCCTTCTTTTCATCCATGCGAATGGTGGCATGATAGCAGCATGTGTGAAGGGTGATATCTCTGTTAGGTTGTCGCGTTGGGTGGATCAGATAATTTGCGTGCAGAGTCGGATCCAAAAGAGATAGCGATGATGATGATAATGACGGATGATGACCAACTCAACGCGTCTATCTGCACCCGCCTCAAGGATCCCCCATTCTTACTTCTCTCTCTCTCCTTGTCAAACACGCGACTCATATCTCTGTCACCCAGGGCCATCAACACGAGGAATTTATCAGCCACTCCCCTTTCCCCTCACTCTCCTTCCTTCTTGCGAAACTAACAATGCTCGATATGCAATGCGTTCCATCCTGTGCTGAGGTTCAGAATAGTTCGTGGGATTCTATTTCCTCCCCATCCACTCCATACATGGTCCATAACCCATTTCTCCATTGGCCTTGCTGCCATGGTCACTGATGAAGGTAGCGGGCGAGGTGGATTTGGGTGGGTTGACTATACGTACCACGCATTGATCCGGAAAGAATTATATTTTTCCGATCTTTCCTCTTACTTCATAAAACCATCGAGGGTCCTCTTTCCATCCTCTCCTTCCTTTTTTCTACCGCACCCTACTTTCACCATATACCCCTCCCCGTTCGCAACTACCACAGATGCGAACTACTACTAAATACACCCTCCTTGTCCTCTCCCTCTCAGCTGCCCTCATCACAGCTGCGCCCATCGAATCCGTTCCTGACGCCAATGAACTCATAGAAGCACAGCAACGCCAACAGCAACAACAAACTCCCTTTGCTTTTCTCGAGCAGGAAGGCACCTCTTTCGAAGCCCTCGCAACCCCGCCCCCCTCCAGCTTCCTGGTCGAGTTCAACCTCCCCCCAGCAGGAGTCAATCGTCATGAGCGGGTGCGTATGGAGGAGACCGGCGAGTTCCAGGATTTTACCGCCAATCGCCATGCCACCGTTGCGATGCAGCACCAGGATTTTCAGGATTTTATGGTCGACCAGCTAAAAGTTGACTTCGCGGTCCGACACGAGTTCTTTGATCTAATGAACGGGATTAGTATTGACCTCCAGGGTGTGCCTCCTCATAAGCTGCCTCAGATTCTTGAGCAGATCCGGGATATCCCTGATGTTGTCAAAGTGTCGCCTCTTGTAAGCCCATGTCCTTCATTCATCAGAGAAAACTGTTGTAACGGAAAAAAGTAGTAACTAACACACTGGGAATCACTGTGCACTTCCACCAACAGATCTCAATGAACCAGCCAAAGAGCATTGTTCACGACGTAGGAATTTTTGATGCGCAAGCTGAGACTCCACAGTTAAGCACAGCTCACGAGCAAACTGGAGTCTTGAGCGCACGGAACGAGCGAAAACTCACTGGAAAAGGGATCAAGGTTGGAGTCATCGGTAACATTCTCGTTTTTTCTGTCCCTTTTACCTCGCTCATGATTCAAAGTAGGCACTGTGTTTGTTAACCATTGTGTTGCCGTTTTATCTCTTTACTCAATGAAAAATAGACACGGGAGTTGACTATACACATGAAGCGTTTGGGTCATGCTATGGAGGTCCCGGATGCAAGATTCAATACGGGTTCGACTTTGTTGAGCCCTACCGTTCAACGTTCCAAGGTGGATTCGACTGTGTCGGCGTAAGTAGTTTCTCATTCCTCCGATTTGCTCTCATCGTTTCCAATGACAAAAGCAGAAAAGGTAGCTAACGTGGCGTTACGTTATATCCATGGATATGGTAGCACGGAACTCATGTAGCGGGTATCATTGCGGGAAACAGTACCAAGAACCATTTCCTGGGTGTAGCTCCCGATGGTAAGATCAGTTACCCTCTTTGACAGATGAAGCTGCGCCCAATTGAAAGTAGCAAGAATAACTCACCATTACTCATCATCACTGAAAAAACTAGTGACACTGGGTGTGTACAGGGTGTTTCCCTGCAAAGGAAGCTCCAAGGACGACGTGATCATTGCAGCCCTAGAAAAGGCCTACTCGGACGGAATGGACGTCGTCAACCTTTCGCTAGGAGGCGGTTCCTCCTGGGACAACACATCCCTCTCTAAGGTCGCTGGAAGTCTGGCCAACCTTGGTGTTGTTGTTGTAGCGGCGATCGGAAACGATGGAGAATTGGGTATTGACGAGGTCTCGTCGCCTTCGATCAATCACGATGCTATTTCTGTGGCCAGTTTCGAGGGCTCGGGGTATCTCTCGAATTACTTCCAGGTCAAGGGCGCGTCTGAGGCTCGCATAGGTACGAAGCTGTGATTTTACTTTTGCAATGAGTAGATGAATTCAATTTCAATTGATATTTTATTTGAAGGAGCGGTAGACTGACAGTGGGTGATTTGACACTTCTAGACTTTAGCGACAGCCCGCCCAAGGGCCTGGCGGATGTGCCTCTTCCTCTTGTGCTTCCAGCCGAAGATATCGAAGGTTGCAAGCCGTACAAGGCCTCTCTAGATGGAGCTGTTGCCTTCATTCGACGTGGAACTTGCTCCTTTGTCCAGAAGGTTCGTCATCTCACTGTACCCGCAAAGTACTTATTTACCACATGGAACGGAGAAAAAAAAGTGGGCCCTAACCAACATCCTGCTTCATATTCACTTTTCTACGGCAACAGATCAAATTGGCACAGGATGCTGGCGCGATCGGATGCATCTTTTACAACAACGTCGAGGGTGGACTGCGCCCAAAGGTGGACGACCCCTCTGTTCGCATCTTCGGTCACGGTATCTCTCAATCGCAGGGCCAGCTCATCTTGGATCAGTTCGGTTCTGGAAGGACATCCGAGGTCAAGGTGATATATAAGACTGAGAAAGGCGTCTTCAGGAATGAAATGGCAAATCAAATCTCCACCTTTTCGAGCTGGGGTCTCGGTCCCGAGTTGGAGCTCAAGCCTGATGTAGGCGCACCCGGTGGTTATATCTACAGTACCATTCCCGTAAGTGTCCTTGATGATGGTTCCTACTTTACGCTTTCGATACATCTAAGAACGAACATAATCGTAACCAGTTTATTATTTCTTGTTGTAGGTGGCGAAGGGTTCATACTCTACCATGTCGGGGACATCGATGGCGACTCCCTTTGTTGCAGGCACGGCGGCATTGATGCTCCAGGCTGATCCTACAATCGACAGACACGAGGTTTTAGGACGCTTGCAGATCTATGCAAAGCCAGGATTGTACAAGGACACCAAGATCGTGGACTCTGTTGCGCGACAAGGAGCAGGTATGGTCAACATCTGGGACGCGGTCCGCGGTCAAGCCCTGGTGAAACCTACGCGCCTTGCTCTCAACGATACCGACAACACCCTCTCCTCCTATACCCTCACCGTCACCAACCAATACGAGACCGCAGAGACGTTTATCATTTCTCACACCCCAGCTCAGTCAGTCTTAGGTTTTACTCCTACCGGTCTACCTTCAGAAAGTGTCATTTACAACGAATCGGCCGCAGCATTGGTGGTCGACAAGGGGGACGAGATCCGCTTGAAGCCCGGCGAGACTGGCACGTTCACCTTCCACTTTGACCCACCAAGCGATCTCGACATTCAGAGCCATTGGATCTTCAGCGGGTATGTCAAAATCACGCCCTCCGACACGAGTCGTCCGGCGATGCAGGTCCCCTATGCGGGTATGCATGGCTCATACAACACCGTCGACATGCTCAACCTCCAAGAGAACTACCCGATCATTGTCGGTCCCACTCCCGAAGGACGGCTGATGCCGATTACGTTTGGGGAGAAACAGCCCCGGAGTTATACGATGGCGGGGCGTAACTTTGTGACGATGCTCCTTAAGATCTCGAACCCAATGCGGAATCTCCAGGTCTATGTGATGGATGCGACGAGGCACAAGGTGATTGGGATGTTGCCTGTGGATGGCGAGTACATTGGACGGACGGATAATGTGAAATCCAAGTTCTTTACTGTCCCATTTGCGGGTCGGATGATTGATGGCGATGGCGATTTGGTGTATTTGGAGAATGGTGATTATTCGCTGATTGTGGTTGCTCCGAAGCCGTTCTCTGCGGGTGTTGGGTTGAATGAAGGTCCTCATGAGAGCTGGATGTCGCCAATTATCCGTATCAAGCATTAGATAGGTAGTAATCATTATGGCCATTCTTGATAAACGCAAATCAAAGATGAACAACTGTTAGTGATCGTCCACCAGGTTTTATTTCTGATGGCGCATGTCTGATTACTTTTCTGCGCACAGGCCACACGGCGTGGAAGTGACCGGCACTCCAATGGGCTTACTCGCTTTGGATTTCTTGTCCCTATTATTATTTCACAGCCCCCTTTGATTCTCTGCTTTCTATTCAGTCTCTTCACGCTCACACTGACACACATCCACATCATCCCACAGCTGCCCCAAAGCCACTCAACACCTTCTTCATCTCCTCCCCTCATCCACACCACTCCCACCAAGATGGCCAAGCTACTCGGGACACCTCCCCTGATCAACATCACCCCCCTCACAGAAATCCTCGAGGGTAAACATCAGACACCTGTCCCAAACCACCATTCTTCATCCACTCGCCTCCCCCTTTTTCCAACAACCCAATTCAATGCATTCACAATACAGCTGAACGATGCGGAGAACCTGACATCCTCTCTTTCTTTACTCTTGAACAAATAGTGCCGATTCACATCAACAATCCGATTCATCCCAACTCTGCCAACAAACATAAACGCCTGGGTCTCAAGATACTGAACGAATTGAGTCGGATCGAAATGTTTGTCACCAGGATAGAGACCGTTGGAAAAGTATGAAAAAACGCGTTGCACTGCCCTGTTTATAGTGCACAAAAACCAATTGCTAAACGAATATGTCAAGCATGCACAGTAGGACAAGACAGGACACTGACCTCCACTTCATTACTTGTATTACTACCATAGCAAGAGGAGATCCTTGCAGAGTTGGAGAAGACAGTGTCACATCTGGAACAAACGTTGTATACATTCGAGCTTGAGAATGGCAAGGCGGATCGACTCGAGAACACGACAGGACAGACTCTGCTCCGGGTAAGTAGTATATTGACTTGTGTTGGATGGATCACATGTTGACGTGGAATGTGATGGACCAATTTGCACCCACACCTACACCGCAACTCATGCGGTTTTATTTTGTTTATATACATAGCGATACATGGACAGGACAGGATTGGCAGCAATGTTTCCCAAGGCCTCGGAGCATTTGGGTGTAGATCCTGTCATGACATCTAGCAGCTTCATGGAAGGTATGGATAACTTTCAATTGTCTCGCCTGCAGGAAAACGATTGCTGCTTGGCAGGAATCCAACGGGAAGAGGCCGTTGTTAACCTTCTTGCGCTGTTTAAACAATAGCCCATCTTCGTCAAATGTCGAGTATCAACCAGCTGGTGTCGATTGCTATCCAACTCCAAAACGATATCCGCCTCACCAACCACAAGTTCATTGCCCATCAAATAGCATTGCTCTACGTAAGTGAATGAACTATTTTTTTTTAATTTTATGGTCATAGGAGTGGAATGTTGCATTCCCCATTTTATTATATACTCGACTAATTAATATTGTGTTCTATATGTCGTAGCAATGCATCAATCAAGCGGGGACAAAGTACACCGGGTTCAAGGGACGTGTGGAGGAGCACTTTGGAACGGTCAAGGATCTGTGCAATGCGTCAGACGAACCACTTTTGACGCCTGAACTCCAGACATGGTAAGCATAATTGTTACCAACAAATTTTTATGTTGCGTTATGTCGATTGGTAGCTGTGTTCTTACTCCTACTGGTGTTCTATGTGTGTAAACATAGGTTGAATGAGTTGACGGTTGATATTGTGGCAGAGGCGCTATTCAGTGGCAGACCGATGGCCCAGCAGACGCCGAGTGCAGGACCGCTATCGGACTACATCAACCATGTTTCGAACAACGACGGGAGCGACGATCAACAGTAGCAATAGTGTAATAAAGACATGTGTGACTGGTGAGAAGGCTCATTTATTCTTGCCTTTCCATCCTTTCGGTCGACTTGTTTCTGCAGGGAGGAAGAGGGGGGAGGACATATCGTCGACTTGCTTTTGCTTGGGGATACCAGTGACAATTGGATGTACCAATTCAAATAGAGACACAGCACAAGTAAAAAATAAAGACGAAAAAGAAAGCCCGAACCGTTTTTCGATTTCCAACGCTTCCATTTCTTTTTTTGTGTGCATAAAGGATATAGGAGTTCATTTGGGGGATAGACACGAGTGAAAGAAGTGGTACCCCCCTCTCTCTCACCCAAAGAATGATCGACGAGCATCGGAAGGTCGATCCCCGTCTAGGCACCATCACCCTGTGTCTTAAATTTTGATGTTGGTATGATCCCAAGGTCCATCCTCGATCACATTGTTTTGTCTGGCAAGAGGGAGCTAAAATAATAATTGATCAAAGAAGAAAAAAATAACCTCGGGTAACACTCACTCTATTTCACTCCTCCTGCTGCTCGAACGGGCAACCCTGGTGAAGGACAACTGTGATAAGCAAGCCAAAGGAGGTAGAAAGGTATAAGGAAGAGAGATGCTATTGACAGGGGAGGGAGGGAGGGAGGGAGGGAATGGATTGGGAACATGCATGTGCACAAGTCCCATTTTTGAGACAGAGATTTTTATCCCCCCTTTGTCCCCCCGCCCCTCCTTCCGCGCCCTTTTTCTTATTTAATATCCCTGCCCTTGTCCCTTGCCTCTCTCTCCTTCCACACACACACTCTCTCCTTCTCTTTCAACCATCAGTCACCTCTTCTTTCTCTCTTTATCTTATTTTTGGGTCATCATCAACAAGAGTTCTTACGCCAGCCTCCCAACCTCCCTTTCATTAACGACTCTCTCACTCTCTCTCTCCTCTCTCTCTCTCTCTCTCACACACACATACACTCGGCGGTCGACACGAGGCGTTCTAAACACAAGTAAATAAACCCTGCAGACGCATACAGACACACACAGCTTATGGCAACATGGCACTCCTTCTTCACCAATGACACCGATGTCTCCACAGGATTCGCCTACAACGAGGACAACCGCAGAAACATCGGTACCAATTGTCATAAGAGAAAGCATACAGCAAAAAATGTTAACCTCCAACCCGGGTGGTTCCTCTTCTTATTTGTCTTGTGCTAGTTGTTTTTTTTCATTTCTTCCATCGCAACGAGAGAACAATTAAAGAAAAGGATCGGCCACAAAAACCATCGGTCTTATTATTCGACAAACCAAAGAGACAGGAGCTTCGCATTCAACTGATCCCCCCCTCGACAACTAGAAATAGACCGCCCTACAGCCAGCCAGCGCATGCATCAGGATCCTTCAGCATGAAGAGTGTCCGCCAAAAATGGGCCTCCCACAAGACATACAGACGGATTCAAAGGACTTGGCAGGAGTATATCGGTGTCGACAAAAGGCAAGTGCTCCAAAAGATCAAGCTTCCAAACACTATATAGGGCACAAGGGAGCAATTAATTGTGGCAGACCAGCAGGAAGTGTGTGCGGGGGGGAGGAGAGGCTCGGAGCGATTCGCAGTACCACGTTTAGTTCTGTCTCTGTTCGACGTTTCCGCTGCAGGGAACAAGGAAATGTCAAGGACAGGAAAGAAAAAAAAAAGCAAAGAGCTCACGACTAGAGAGCCATCCTCAAGAGCAACTAAAAGGGCCAGACACCTGGACACAAACTACATTACCGTGGAGTTTGCGGTAGGAGCCCTTGTTGTGTTCAGGAACTGATCAGAAATACTTCGACTTGGTGCTTGACAGGCAACGGGATTTTGACAAGGCGATGTGGATCGATACACCAGCCAACCTTAGCACTTCTTCACAACACGAACAAGTATTTCATTGCAGGCACCATCCTCTCTCTTTTATCTGCGATAAACAATACCGTTTTTTACTAATTCCCTATCTCCTTTCATCTTTTGATCCGTAACAGTGATGTCCAGAGCGTAGCCCAAAAACTCAATGTATTCTTGGACACATTCGACGAGGCATATCGGGAGGTTGTCGCTCAGGCAGAGCTGGAGCAGACGGAAATGTCAATCGAAAGGATCTATAGCGATTGCTCCGAGGTCATGATCACCCTATTCAACTCCATTGAAAGGTACACCAGTAGGACATCGAAAAGCCAGCATGCGGACAAGGACAGCCTGTAGCAATGTTTTTTTTTCACACTCAAGGCAAAAGTATCTCTAATCCGTCTACTTGATTACTGTTTCTTTGTCACAACAATAGAGAGTTTTGTCTGAAGAAAGCTGATCAGGCGAATTGTATGCAGGAACCGTTGAACAAGTCACTTGTGTTGATCAGTCTTATCCTGAAGGTGCGTACCTTTTTTTTGATCGATTCATCGCAGGAAATATCAGTTTCTTGAGCAACAGCCCTGTATCTGAGCCTTATTCTAATATGGCTTGGCATTTTTTTCCCTACTTCATAGGAGGAAAAGTATCGACGTCAAGCGGTAGAGGCACCCGACTTTATTTCTCGGCTGCTGGCATTGCTGGAGAAACCAGGATCCCCAGAGAGTAAGGTTCTACTCCTCCGCATCGTTGCAACCATCGGCGAGAGTGACCGCAACAAGATTGAAATTGGTATGTGTATTATGAGCTCTTGGGCTTTGCTTGTCTCTATCTTTTATTAGTCACCTATGGCAAAAGACAACACTAATTGGCTGACCTAAATCGCACATACATGTCTCTCTGTACTACTACAGCCAAGCTAGAAGGGTACAAGAAGATTTTGCGGTTGTTGATCGCGGACAACCCAGAGCTCACGCAGGAAGTCGTCCGGACCGTCAACCACCTTCTAGAGTTCAATGATGACCATCCCGACGTTGCAGATTTGGCGCTTGTCACACCAGGACCAGCAACACCCATCTCCAGCCCCTTGCTATCGCCTCTAGCCAGGGCTCCAGTCACGGCCTTCGGCTTCAGCCCAAAGTCAATCCTCTCTCGCTCCTCTGTCCAATTGGCACGTCCAATTCAGCAGCTTTCTCAGCATTCATCCCTCCCTCCCCGTCCAAAATCATTAATCATGGACCGACATCTTTCAAGAGGATCCTCACCTTTCGACTCTCCGCGCCGACAAAGCAATGCCTCCTCGTTTAAAACCATGACTAGCATAGACCGGGTTTCGCAGGCGATTAGCGAAGTCAGAGGGATCTTTGTTCAGGAACTCGGAAAGATATTCCCACAGCTCAAGGATCAGGATGGCCTAGGTATTCTGGGCATGGGGCACGATGAGACCGGAACGACAAACACGGAGCGACACTATATACCCAACGAGGAGCAAATCCAGTTCACAATTGCGTATTATTCCCAACTTGTCGGACAGGATGGCGCAGACTTTGAGAAGGAAGGCTCACCGGAACTAAAAGAGCCATCACAACCTCCAGAACCCCCGGAGTCTCCGGAGCCGCCCACTTTGACAACACACCCGACACTCCTACAGCTACCCGACCCGACTAGCAAAGGATCAGGACCTGCATCAGGCGGATCGTCAAAGCTGGAGAAACGGATTTCGCTGAAGAAGATGATGTCCAACCCGGATTTTCGCGTCGCAATGAGGCCGGCACTCGAAGCTCGTCGTAATTCGGATGAAAGGATCTACTCGGAGGTGTCAAAGGCGACTAGAGGAGCGGCGGTTGAGCTGGCGCAGGAAGAAGAGTATATGAGAAAGAGTCAGCCCGATAACGTCCTCAAGGTAACATTTTGCGATCTATGACATGCGAGCATGGACACTGTGCACTGAATAAGGGCGAATTAACTGATGTTCTATCATGTCCATTGCTTACTAGGAGTTTATGCGGACACAAGGCGCGTTGCGGTCGCTGATGACCATCCTTGGTGACAGCTCTTCGGCTCAACAAAACGTCAGCATCTCCAAAAAGGCGGCAAAACACTCAATATCAACAGGAACTCGGCTAGCGACCAAAATCGACATCATGGAGACGGTATGCAAGGTCCTGTTTCAGAACTCGGCAAACCAGCTGGAATTCAGATTGATGGATGGTTTTTCGACACTTCTCAAGGTCTTTGACGAGATCGTGGTCCCAAGCGGAGGTACAAAACCAACTGAGTCCGAGTCTACACCAGTTGTCCAGGAGCCCTCAAGCATAGAATCTTTGGCAGCAGAATCCAGACGGAGAGAGTTGTCGGGCATTGCGGAGTCATCATTTTCTGGATCGGTTCCTATGATGGCGGGCGGGACGAGCAAGAGGTCTCTTCTGTTGAAGTCGCTGTTGGCCGTTTTCTTTGACCTCGCCTTGGACGGATCAGCAAGAGACATGGTACAAAACACGGATGCCTTCCACTTTCTCTTTAGACTCATGCTGGAGTCCAAGCAACTCGACATTCGCCAGCAGGCTTTGTACTCGATCCAGGACCTGATTTCCCTCAACGCTCTGAATGCAGTGGCAGCGTGGCGGTGTGGGGAAATTGATGGCGTAATTGGGTTGCTTCGGGAAGCCCTCGTTGTTAGACCAACCAGTGGGACGTTGCGGGGAGCACAGTGGGAACTGGGTCGTCGGTTAGGGCTGGACATGCAACATGCCAATGCCAAAAGCGTAGTATTTACTGGATTGACATACTTTGACAGTTTTGTGGTGTCAGAGGATACGGCCGTCCTAGCGGAGACTATCGAGAATGGATCGCCGGTCTACCAGTACGCGATTGCAGTCACGAGGTTGCTGGAGTACATGTCTGTGATGCTGATCCAGGACAACGCTTACATCCTCTATGTAAGTCCACGCTTTTTGCAAACTTATGGGAAGATGTCTAATGACTGTACAACTCTCATTTTACTGACCGTTTATCTACCTGGAATGTTTTCTTAGGAAATGTCGCGGTTGCTGATGGAGGTCAGCTTCCCTGACGACTCGTCCATCATGATCAACATCGTGCTCCGGTCTGTTGGCAGGATCGTGGCCGACATGGTCGCAAGAGGCGTGCCGGTCGAGGAGAAGTTTGCCAGCATATACCAACAGATCGTTCGTCGGATGCTTGATAGCCAACGGAAGAGCACCTCGCTACCACCAGGAAGTCACAACGACGAGCAGGAGCAGGAGCTGAGGGACTGTGTTCACACCGAGCAAAGACTCTTGACACTACACACTCTCGGCCTGGTTTTGAAGGGCATGAGCAACAGCGTGGTTGTGTTTGACCATTTGCAGGGATTCGAGACGCTGACGAGCGCGATTCTTTTGGAGAAGCGATCCTGTCGTCATGGCCACAACTCGACAGAGATCGCTACGACGTACGCAGCATCATTAGCGAACTCCAACCTCTGCCAAGACTGTTTCCGTTCCGACATTGTGATCTCAGACCTTGCGCTTTGGCTGTTCCGCGAGTTGGTTCTTCAGGACATCGACCACAGCTCAGTCGTTACCTGGATCATCACCTTGCTTAAGTCGACACTCTCTGGCATTGAAGAGCTGCGAAGGCAGAGCGAGGCGACAAAGTTCACAAGCAAGTACAACCAGACCTTTCTTCAAGTGCAACCGGAACTACAGCTGGATCAGGCGCACGCATTGCTGGCCTACCTGTACACTAAGATCTGCGCGACTGTCTCGCTCGTCTTTCGGAAGAGTGGCGACACCAAGCTTGCTTTTGGCGAAGCCTGTGGCATGCAAATTATTTTGAGTGTTCTGAGCGTAAGTGTTCACTATGGTTTTATGTCGCATTGGTCATCGGCAGTGTATTTTTTGTTCGGCGTTTCATATAGCTAACAATTCGCCTTTTCATTGGTTACAAAACTGACATAGAGCGCCCAACACCCGGATATCGCCACGGCAGCCTTGGTCGCCATCGGTGACTTTTTTGCTGGATATGAGGGGACGAAGGCTTTGCTCGGCGATAGTTTTGGATATGACGGATTCCTTGAGATCGTTCTGGACTCTTGCCGCCCTCTTGACAAGTAAGGCCGGCTTTTTATCCCTCTCACTTTGAAATGCTAGAGTCTTCAACGTTGGCGTGATTTCTAACTTTGATTTCACATTTATTATGTAGGGTGTGCTGTGAGATTGTACTGGAAGTCGCTACAGTCGGGAATGTCATGTCAGCAAAGTCGCGCCCACACGTGGAATCAGACAGCTCGATTTACTGCACGGAAATCTGGCCATTCATTGCAGGACTCTTGGACCCTCAGATGCTATTCCATGCCGCTCTTCCTTTCACGAGCCCTCGAAAGGTCGGCGAGAGAAACTCGTTTAGGGTTCCAACATCTCCACCACCCCACCTAAGGACTGACCGCCAGGGAGCATCGTTGGCCTATCAGACGAATGGACGCGGTACCCCCTCACGACCCAGCAGCGTCTACCTGGAGGAGAATACCGAATTTTCGGCCACGGGAATCCCCACCGTTCCTTCGCCTGCCCTGGGCTCTTCCACCGCCTCATCAACTGTTTCCGGCAACACTGGAGCCACATCGAGTAGCAACAATCGTTACAGCATTTTTGGAATCTCGCCTTGGTCAAGTGCCGCCCCACCTCACATCTCAGTGTCCTCTGCCCAGGAGCAGACTGAGGGCACGGGATATATACCCCAATTGATAGAACCATTCGATCCTTCTGACGATGGCTCGTCTCGCAGGGGGAGCATGCACCTTCAGCGCAACGGCAACTCGACGACGTCACTCTCCGGCCATGAGGGCTACATTGGCGAATACAGCCCATCCGGACCTATGGCTTCTCCCAGTAACCCACCCAGTCAACCAGCCAAGGGCAAAGGCGGTGTCACCAATCGCAAGCGGAGTAACTCTCGTAATCTTGGTGGCTTTGGATTGAACACGACCAACCTGGGGTTCCAGTCTGTGATTCCTTCGGAGAGACTTGCGTTCAAGCAACTTGCAGGAATCGTGTTTCGAGATGCGGATGCAGCCAGGATGACGCTACGCCTCCTTGATCGGATCGTCGAGTGTAATAACCCAAAGCTGGCGACTGACTACTTCAACCTTTTGATGCTGCTCATGGAGGTCACCCCGAGGAACAAGGAGCTGCTCGGGAGCAACCATGGTCTTCGGTTCATGCTTCAGATGCTGTTCAGGAGAGGTCGGCAGCAGCACGGTCTCGGGATGAACCCGCCTGGATACCCATACCTTCCTAGGGCTACAGATCCACCATACGTCGACCTTGTCCCGGCCTTGGGTGCTTACGACATTTCCGTCGAGGATGTTCGGTTGCTCTTTGATGCCGTTTACGATCCTTTGGACATATTCTTCCGCTTGACTGCCGACTCCGCCCAGATCGTGTCGACCCGTTCAGGCGCCATGCGTGACTCGTTGGGACCTCTTCCAGAGTTGCCGACGACCTTTGAGAAGTCATCTGGATCTAGGAGGAACTCTTCTGGCCGGCCGCGCTCAGAATCCGCAGGCGCTGTGACACCGTATACAGGCAGGAGACCAGGTGGAAGGCTCCAGGGTACAGGGGCAAGCACTTTTACCGGCATCCAGTTCAACCCATTGTTCATTGGAGAGATGGAACAGCAAATGATGTACGCGATCGAGAAGATTTCGGAGAGGGTCGACCCGCCAGCCTACTTCAACTTCAACGGAATCAACGCCAGTCTGACAACACATCCAGGAACGGTCGAGAAGGCCGTGGCGGCCAAGGGTGGATACACCGTGAGCGTGTGGGTCAAAGTAACGGCGTTCCTCGAGAAAGAGACGGGTCTTTTTTGCTACGAAGAGGAAAACGGCAGCAGGACCATCTTTGAGCTCTACTTCAAGTCGCTGGATCAGTCGAACCGATACTGTCTCTGCGTACGAACACAGCACTTCCCGTCGCCTCCGGAGGACTTTGTGTTTGATCGCTTCGATTTTGCAGAGACAGGTATCTGGCACCACGTCGTCTTCGTTCACCACAAGACGATGAAGCTGATGGTCGATGGCTGCGTGATTCAATCGTACGGGACCTTCAACCAGCGCCGGCAAGACAAAGACGGAGGAATGATTGGCGTCCTTGGCAGGAAGGGACGTAACAGCATGTCAACTTTTATACCCAGTTCTCCAGCGCTCAACGACGGCAACTCGTCCACAATGTCATCGGGCGTTACTCATCCTTACGAAATTGCTCAGCATTCGGCACCTATCACCTCCGCATCCTCGGTCTCCTCGGGTACCCAAAACCAGCAGACTCAGCAACAACAGTCGACCCAGCACGGAAGCACACAGGAACCGTCGCTCGGATTCTTTTGCGGGCAAGCAGGGAAAGTCCACTTCCTTCATGGGGAATGGGACCAGGCGACTGCCGAAAAGGTGTACAACTTGGGACCCGCCTCGACCGATTCTTGGAGGTCTCACGACATCAAGACCCCTGTCATCGCCGTCCTGGACCCGGAAGAGTTTAAGAGCGATCTGGAAGGCTCCGCTTCCGGAACAAGCGACATTTCTAGTGCTAGCCTTGGATCTACAACAGGTGGCCAGAAGAGAAATCTTGTGCACGGTGTCATCCAGGGTGGTATCACCATCCACAAGACCTGCGCGATGAGGAACCTAATCGGTCAAGTAGGAGGAATCCAGCTGTGTTTCCGGTTCCTGGAGATGAGTCCGTCGCACCTGCAGCTCGTTGGGCTCCGCGTCATTTCTAACTTGCTCTACAAGTCTCCCGAGAACATTTCGCAGTTCCAGAACGAGCTGGATGGCTATGAGTTGATGTACGAGCTGTTGAGCAACACCGCTTCGGAACTCTCGATCGACCACTTTGGCGTCCTGTTCGACATTGCGATCAACGGCATGATCAAGGATGAACACCTCATTCTCTCAAGCATGCCCTGTGTCCAACTGATCCTCCGACTGTTGCCTGGCACCGTTGACTCTGTCCAGAGCTACATTCTCCGCACGTTGGTGGATCTGTTGGTCGAGTCACCCGAGAACATGCGGCTCTGGAGGGCGTCGTTCGGGATGACCACGCTTTTCCAGCTGTTCAGGACCCTCCCAGCACACCTTCGACCTTTTTTGATGTGGACCCTGGAATCCATGATGGACGGGATGTCTGTTCAGGAACTGGGCTTGCTGATTGGGTTCATTGGGCATGAGGATCTTGATCTTTTTGAAGTCCGTAGGGACATCATTGAGATGCTCTTCAAGCGCATGACGACGGACCACTTCCTTGTGGACCTGTTGGGCTCAGGCTTGGAGGGAGTGACGGTTATGATCGGACTGCTGGACTCGCCCAACGAACATTTCCGCATTCTGGTCCTGAAGATGATCGGTATTCTGTTGAGCGACAACACCAAGTCCGGCAAGGCTGCTCTGGACAAGCCCAATATTGGAATCGGCCTGATCCGGTCTACCCTGGAAAAGTACCCGCTTTCGATGGATGTCATCCAAGTCCTGCTGGGTCTTGCCCAGAACTGCTACCGCTGCGATCCCAACTTTCGTTTGCAGGAGAAGGGGTCAACCGCAGGTGGGAGAAAATCGGGAGACAGGAAGAGCAACGTCAGTCAGCGGCCGCCCATCGTCATTACGCCGATGAGTCCTGTTACGCCCATCACCCCTGGCCAATCCTTGCCCTCGCCCAGTTTTGAGGCAACACCCGACAGCGTCCTCTCGTCGACACCCGCCAGTTCTGACATCAACGGATCATGGTCGGCGTCTCTAGAATCTCCAACATTGTCGAAGGTGGAGACAGGACGACCTGCCGCAAAGAAACACATGCACTCCAACGCTGCCCACACGCCCTTTGTTAAGACGAACGCTCTGCCAACCGAACCCTCGATTGTCAACAGCGCCACCTCAAGTCCGGCAATGTCCTCGGCGACCGCACTTGCCAGTAACGGAGGAGCCAAGGTCACGGACGAGCTTACCTACGCCAGCATGATTCGACTGATTCTGGAACTGACTGGATCTTTGGCCCACACGGATTTGGTCACACATACCCTGACGGACCTCAAGCGACTCATGACCTCTGAGAACATGAGGATCCTATGGGAGGCTGGTTGGGTGAACTGGGTAGGCGCGTTCTTGACGGACAAGACCAGGGTCCGAGTCACCTCCGCGGCCGAGAACCTGAGCTATAACCGGGCGATTGGAGTCCTGGACGGGATGATGCAGAAGATGATGATCTTTGACCTGTCGAGGAAAGGGTCCATCACCGTCCGGAATAAGGGAACGCTTGTCAGTCGGGACGAGGATGTCGGAGTCCAGCTCCGGCTAACCGAGGCAGCATTGTCGTGGTTCGACAAGAATCCTAATCTCGAGACGGATGCGGCTACCGTGATCTGCAAGGGTCTTGTGATCTTGTTCCGACGCGTTGAGGAGCTGTCGCGCAAGTTCGAGGAGAAGCAGCGGCAGGCCGAGAAGGCTCGACAGGATGGTATGGAGAGAGACCGAGTATTGCAGGCTCAAATCCGGGCTCAGGAGCAAGAACGGGAACGGCTTGCACTGGAAGCTGTCTCGTCTGCACTGAACGGGGTTCTGGACAACTTTGGCGACTCTGACAAGAGTGATGAGTCGGACGCCAAGTCGGGACTCTTGAAGGCGGATGAAGGAGATACGGATGCCGAGGAAGTCTCTGTCGAACGTCATGGAGACGAGTCCTCGGGTAGCGATGTCGCAGATACCAACCGGATCGGCATCCCTGCGCCTCTTTCTGGATCGACCTCGCCCACCTGCTCCAACACGTCAAGCCTCTCGCTCCCACTGTCGACAATGTCTGGGACTATGGCGCAGTCCGGAATGAACCAGCAGATCAACTCCCGAGAGATGTACGATTCCTTGGGTATCTCGCCTTCACCTTCAGGCAGTCCCTATGCCTCACAGCATCGTCAACAGCGACACCAGCAGCACCATCAGGGCAACCGCCGACATCGCCAGTTGCAACAGCAACGACCCACTAGCATATCATCGTCGTCTTTGTCCAACTCTTCGACACCACCTGCGCTCCCAGATCCTACGGGCGCGGTCTTCTTCCACAACCACGAGCTCACGCTCCATGGAGGCGGTGGCATCTTCTGGCCGCCTCTGGGGTTGTACGAGCATTTCGCTAACTGCGTCAACAACTTGGCGTGCTACAACAACTCTGCGATCCGTGCTGCGATGAAATCAAGCGGGCTGTTCAAGATCCGCGACAGCTTGCTCGAGAAGCTTGGCAAGCCTGGTGGTGCCTCTGGAGTAACAGGTTCAGGATTCTTGAGCTCGAATGGAATTGGACCTTATGCATATCCACCGTCGTCGTCGTCATCGTCTCAGCTCCATCACCACCATCATCACCACCATTCTTCGCCGGCATTGTTTTCCTATGGGTCACTGCAAGGCCCACCACTTCTTCACCAGTCCGCGTCAATGTCGCTGACAACTCACCAGGACTCTGACCACCACCACCACCATCACAACATCAACAACAACAATAACAACAACAACAATACCAACGCCAACTACACCACAATCAACTACAACAACTCTCATAACAGCATCAATAATTCCGCCGCCCACAATAATTACAACATTTCACAACCGCAGGGAACTCCTAATGGCCACCACCAACAGCAACAGCAGCAGCAGAGAGGTCGCAAGCGTCGTAGTCAAGCCCATGGTCAGACTGGCCTCGAGTTGGGCGCCATGCCTCCTATCATCTAGCTCTTTTTTCTCTCTCTTCCTCTCTCCCTCTCTTCTACTGTTTGTCCTTTTTTTCTGTTTTCCAACCTAATTCTTAATTTATTCTTTGTTATTTTGTCCCATCCATCATTCACTTCTTCCCCAAAATCCATTTTGTTTTGTTTTTCTCTCTCTCATTTCTCTTATTGTTCCCTCTATTTTGTTAAACAACAACTACTATTAAAAAAAAAAGATAATTACAAATATACTACCCAAAGACAATGGTTTTCCGTCGCTGGTCCTTCGTTGCCCGATCGTTGTTCTCCTTCAGCGGTCCCCCAGCTCCCCCTGTGGTTCCTGAGTAAGGAATTGTAGCGGTAAAGGAAGGTGTCAAAGGGGTTGAAGGAGCAGTTGAGAGGACATAGACTTCTTCTTCCTCCTCATACTCGTCCTCATCACTATCCTCCAAGATCTCCGGAAACTCGCTCTCCTCGTCCTCCTCGTCCGCACTCTGGGTACCATCCGCAGCGACACCATCTACAACCTCATCCTCACCCTCCACGTCGGCAGCAGCACCCTCCTCCTCATCCTCAACATCAAAAAGCCAGTGATACTGCAGGATCAGATTCCTGACAATATTCTGCTGATGCCCCAAATTCTTCATACTTGTCGCAAACGAGTTTGCAGAGGACCCAGCAGGACGGAGTAGAGTCGGTCCAAAGACAATGGCGAGGTTTGTGGCGTACATGTGGTTGATCTCTTCATAGTCCGTCACGCGCTCGAGATGCTCGACGATCCGTTTGAGGAGGATGTAGTTGGGGGGTGGGAGGGTCCTGATCAAGTCTTTCATTGTTAGCAGTCGTTCGTCATAATCCCCCAGAGCTATTATGTATTTTGCGTATGAAAAAAAAGGCGGTTGTTAATAGACGTCGTACATTCTGGCACAATAAAGAAAATGAAAGGTTTAGTAAGAGAGAGAGAAAATAAGAAAAAGCGTACCAGAGGCGGCGATGAGGGAGTCGTAGAGGGCACTGGTCATGACGGCCTCGGGGAGCTCTCTCAAGAACTGTTTCAACGCGCCTGCTACCACATTGATATCCTCCCATTCGTCGCTGTCCAGGTTCACATCCTGCGAACCTATTTAGTTGTTACACATCGATAGAAAATAGAAAGTAAACCTGTCAGTATGATTGCAGCATTCCTTTAGCTGAAGAAAAAACAATAAAAAGAAGAGGGAGAAAATCTTACCAGAGTTGAACCTAAGTCGAAGGCGGTTGATGGCAGAGACAGCGCCAGGGACACGATAGATGCCCACTTCCTCGAGGCCGCGCTTCTCAATTTCGGTAATACACTTTTCAACAATCAGGGGCACATCGCCATGGCTCATCAAATGTCGCAGCTCCACTCCAAAGACTAACAAAGTTTCAAAAAGAAAAAAGAAAGAGTTTAGTCGCGAAAAGTGAGTAGGAAGGAGCATCAATAAACAAGTAATGAAATAAAGAGAGACAATATGTACCAGAATTGCGGCCTTTGCGCTCGTTCTCGATAGGTGGTGGGAGCTCATCCTCCTGGGCAGCAGTTTCGAGCGCCCGCTTCAAGGACTCGTCATGATCCAACAGAGTCCGTCGCTTGGCCGTCGCCTCGGCCGCAGCATCGTTCATGGTCTTGATCCACTGCAGCATATCGTCATAGTCCAAGGCCTGCAGCAAGAACTGGCCTCCTTCCTCGTTGACAATTTTGAAGACGTGGTCTCGTTTGGTGTAGGTGTAGGCGACAGAGCAGGTGGAGTTGATCAGGCTGATGACGAGGGCCGGTTTGAGTCCTCCGGCGTTGAGGCTTCCTGCGACAGATGCAATCCGTGGTTGGTTCTGGACATTACCACCGCCACCGCCACCTCCACCAACCTGCGACTCCGATCCGTCTCCACCAAAAGCTTCCTGTTGGCCGTTATTGTTCGCAGAGTTCCCGCCCATGACCTTGCCACTGATAGCGCTCCCCAGGGCAGTCGCATTGCTGACAGTCGTCGTCGCCGTGCTCCAAGAATTAGTGATCGCCAAGGAGATAGGCCGCATCGCACGCATAAGAGTCGATTTCAACAACTGGTTCTTGACACGACTCCGACTCTGTTCGAGTTTGATCTGCTTCTCGAGCGTCTTGGCCTGCTCCTGTTGCGCCTTCTGGATCCGACCCTGGGTATCCTTGATCTGTCGATCGAGTCGCTCAAACTCCTTCTGGTCGCGCTTGAACTTTTCGTGTTGCGTGGCCACAAGTCGCGAGAAGATCCGGACGGGTTTTGACGATGCACGGGGTGGTGTTCCTGATGTTGTTCCTGCTGCTCCTGGCTGTCCCGCCACCGCTGCTGTCAATTGACTCGAGGACCCGCTTCGTTGATGGTTCAGTTCCTTCTGCGCGGCTTCACGAACGGCCTTGATTGAAGGGACGGATCCAGGTCCGGATGACATGCCGAGCCATGACGAAAGCGGCGTCGACGTCTTGTTGGCATCCTTGAGCAGCTCCTGTCGTCGGGTATAGATCTTGACCAGGTCATAGATGTACTGGCGCTTATCAAAGTTGACCAACAGAGGCGATTCGTAACTCATGTCGCGGAGATAGCAACAAGCCTCCAGCATCCGTTCAATCAGCCATCCAATCTCGGGGACAATCTCCTCGGCAGATGTATCGAAGTCTAAAGGAATTGTCGGCTTCTCCTGTCCGCGGCGGACTGCCAAAATTTCCTCCAAAGTTTCCACAGCGCTTCTCTGGCCAGCTGCGACCTCTAACCACGCTCGCGTATAAGCTCGACTCTCGGGGCTGACAAGCGCGCTTGCAATGGCCGCTTCGATAAATGACGGGATGCCCACAAACGGAGAGGGGGGCGACAACGGCGACGAAGGTTTGTCCGATCCTGACCGCCGACTAGTCGTTGGCGCCTTTTTAGGGTCCTGCACAAACCGAGCCATCAAAACCCTGCTCTGCAAGACCACATCCAAAAACTTCCGGATCCGCCCAACTCGCACATCAAACGCGATTCCAGGCGCCGCAATCTGGGCGTTAACCCAACACCGAATGGTGTGATGCAGTTTGCAGAAGGATTGGAGACACATCGGCAAAGAGTTGATCAGACGCTCGCCATTCCAGTGAGTTCCAAAAGCGCCGTTCCGTCGGATCGAGTACAGGGTGTTGTGGATTTCCGTGATGACAATGTCGTCCTCGGCTACGGAAGATCCAGTCCGGGGAAGGTACCAGCCTAGAGGGTCGGCGGACTGCGATTCCAGGATCTCAAAGAGCACAAACCACTCCTGATTACGGATCGATAAAAAGTGCGCCATTGCTGCAGTGTTGAGTTGCCTCAAGATGTGTCCTGCTGTCCACGAGTCCTCCATAGTTGGCTCAATCGATGGCGGTATACCCAGGAAGGTCTCGACAGTGTCCCAACCTAGGTAGGAGGCGTCCAGTGGCTTCATCGATTGCTGAACCGCACGCTGTTGTACTCCCGTTAAGGCCTCTTTCAGCGCACGGACATCCGCCTCGTGAGAGGCATCAATCAGCACCTTCTGCGACTTCTCCTGAACTCCGAGACGTGTGAGCACGTCGGCCAATTTGGTTTTCATGTGGAGGTCATCCAAAAAGTCGGAATAGTGGACCAGCAGCCAGTAGTCCAAGACCTTTAAGACACGCTGCTGCACCGTCAGGATCCGCTTCCAATCAAACAAATCCACGTCGCCGCTAATAGGATTCACAGGGGTAACGCTCGCGAGGTCATTATGGTCGCCACAGGAAGATCCAAGGAAGAGATCGAGACCCGACGGGATGTTGGAGTCGCGTCGCTGCTTGGCTGGTTCGTGTGAGAACATGAAAAACGCCACCAACTGGTCGAGGAGCCGGGTTGTTGTACAGAAACTCCGGTAGGTCGCAAAGAAGGCGGCGGTGAAAGTGTCGCGATCCAGGACAAGCTGTCGACTGCTCCAAAGGACCATGTCACCCTTCTCATCGATGTACTTGCCACTCTGGTCATCCAAACCCATAACAGTCATGTAGATCAACGACTCAAGAGACCCAGCCTTGACCAACGCGGTCCGTGCTCCGCTGAGCAAAAGACTGCTCCGGTTCGATCCACGCTGACTTCCTGCTGTGCCTGTCTTGATCTCGACCGCCAAGGAGTGTTGGTGTTGGTTCTTCAAGACCGTGGGCAAGAGCTCCTCCTCCATCTTGACAGCCTTGACCAGATCCTCCAAACTCTCATCCTTGACCTTCAGTATCAAGTGTCCGCCCTCGATCGAAATCATGTTGAAGTCGATTCCCGTCACGTTCCTCATCGCCGCCGTGGCAATCGTCTGATCCTTCTCCTCCACCCGGTTGACAGCCTCCCTCGCCACGCCATCCACATGCGGGTTGATCATGTTGATCATCTGGCGGTTCCCAAAGCATCCAGAACTCCTGGCAGCGACCCTGGCGGGTGGGAAAGAGTAGGTGCGTTTCCGAGCCTGTGGGTACGCAGAAGCTTCGGTTGCTCCATAGTGTGTAGTCGCGTGAAGGGTAGCAGCAGAGTCGGCCCATTCCATTGACCCAGGTGGTCGATCTCCCGAAGGCTGCCGTGGCGGGTTGTTTCCTCCTCTGGCGAAGGTCGTCGTTGGTGATGACTCCGCCTCATCAAAAGAGCTCTTGCGATTAGTGTTGCCATACTGCTCGAGAGATAACAGGTGCTGAATCGGGAATAGTCGACGTGTCGGGATGGTCTCGGGGAACATCAGCGGGATAAAACTTCCGGTCATCTTCCTGTTCTTGTAATGGTAGTCGAGATACTGTCCGTTGATATGGGGTTCACAGGCCAGCGAGGACTCAAAGGCGTCGTTAGAGAGCTCGTTAAAGCGGTACTGGTCGTGGAGCGTTTGGCTAATGTTGGCGAGGTGGCTGAAGTATTGCTGCAGATGTCCATTGGCTGGGGAAGAGTAGAGTGGTGGAGAGAGTCGGCGGTCGTGGGAATAGGAAACTCTGGCTCCCTGAAGAATCAAATGAATGCGTTCCAGTTTGTCGACGTTGAGGTGTGGTACTGGGTTGGACTGGATGAAAGAAGGCATGACAGCATCCAGTTGGTCGATCGACTGTTTGATGTTGCCGAGACAAGGAATGACGGTGGCGACACCCTCGACTGACAGGTCGAGGACAGTGCTGAGGGAAGGTCCAAGGTTGAAGGACGATATCGCCATATCTCTCATTTCCTCTGTCACCAACGTCAGCTTGATAAGAAGTGGCATCCAGGCATCAGCGACTTCTTTCCTAAGCTCTAGTGGGACCTGCTTCCACGTCTCCTGGAGACGAACAACCCCAGGAGAGCACAGTCCGATAGCAATCGCCACAAATCCTGCCATATCTCCTAGAGCTCGACTGCACCGACCCGTCCTGATCCACTGTGCCAACAACTTTGGGCGCCTGGAGGTACTCTGGACAGACTGGGTGGCGATCAAGATGTGATGTGTTATGAGAACTGTGAGGAAATGAGGCGAGTTCATCGAAAAGACAAGCGAGCTCTGAAGATGCTGTTTTGCCTTGACGGTCGGATACTGTCGCAAAAAGTAGGCAGGGTTGTTGAGCATTGACGTGATGCCCCCGGCCTTTTGGAGTTGATCGCCATGATACCGAAGCACCTGCTCAGAAAAGTACGACGGCTCCATTTTGAGAAACAGAGCCGGGGTGAGTCCTGTAATGAGTACATGCGAGAGATCCACCACTCCTTCTCCTGACCCTAACCGCGTTGACTGCGCCGAGCTCTCTTGTTGAGGTAGCTCGGGAGCTGACTGGCTGTACTCCTGAAGTATACCGTCAATCCTGCTAAGAATGCCCGAGACCGCCTCAGACTGCAATCGACCCTGCAGGATCGTCATCGTAAATACTCGAATCTGATCCAGCGCACTCTTGCCCTCGGAGTGAATGTTGAACCTTGCCACCATCTCTTGAACCAGGGTCTCAATCCGCTTGGCCATCTCTATTATCGCTTCGGTCTTTTCAGCAACAGGTTTCAAACCAATACACCGCTCAAGTTCCTTCAGGACACGGAAAGAGGTCACAAACAGAGGGAAGGTCGATGCGAAAGCCAACACGAGTCCTGCATCAGGTCGTACAGTGTTGTTGAAGACCAGTTCGTGGATGAGTCCGTTGATGGATGCTCCTGCCAGTTTCTCTTCACCGGTGTCCTCGTCCAGGTTGAATGTGAGTTCGGGGTGCAGTGTAATGTTGTTGAACTCCTTTGATCGATCAACCCTCCAGCTCTCCAGTGTAAAGTCACCAGTATCAGAATACGGCCTCGGCGAGGTGGGTGAGTGAAGTGAGAGGGTCGAGTGATTGGAATGGGAGGAGCGAGGTGGTCCTGCCTCCTTGTAATGAAGACTCTCAACCGATGCTATTGACGTCCAAAAGAATAAGATTTTGGTGAGATACTTGCACAAAATATTGCGATATGTGAAATAAGAGCAGTATGATTTTGACTTGCCTCGTCCTTTTGTTGCGGTCTTTGACTGCATTTGCTGCAGCTCCTTTGCTCGATTGAACTTGGTGTACCACCGATGTCGGACTTCCTGAGATGGTGGCAAAAACAAGAGGCGATCCGTGTATTCCCTGTCATCAATGTTGGAAGTAATGACAAGTTCCAAAGTCGAGGTCGTTTGGTAGTTATAGGACGGTGCAGAAGAAGGTCGATAGATAGATGAGGCGTCTGAATCTCTGGGGTTCCGTTCAACGCTCGCTAAGGATGCACTGGCTGCTGTGGCGGGCGCAGCAAATGGGTAGAATGTCGCAGACGCTGATGGCACAGGCGAAGCCATATCGAGAGCCTCTACCTGAGCTAAGGGGTAAGTCGCCACATGCTTCCATTTTGTAAAGTATCCTTTTTGTTTGTCGGTTGGTCGGTCGAAACTGCTCCGAGATTTTGGTTGACCTTCCGACCCCCGAGAGTCGCCAGACTTGTAGCTGATGCCAGAGACAGAAGGTTGACGCTTGCCCATCGACGAGGGTTCCTGTCGGTCGGACTTCTCATGTGTATTCGAGCTGAATTTGATCGCATCCTTGACCTTGGCGGCAGTCGACCGAATCCACTTGCGCTTGCAGATCATGACACTATCCTCGAACAACAAAAGCGCCACATGTTTTTTGAACTGCATGGTTGCTCGATCGATTTCCGTAAACGACTCTCCGTAGATGTATCGTGCGACAGGTGGGGCAAAAACAAGTGTTCCTTGACCAAGAACCTTGGCGTTGCCCTCAAACAGCAGCGTCCGTGTCGATGATTCGAACTTGAAGGCCGAGAGGACCATACCGCACTCGTTCGTGATGGACATTCGTGACGAGGCAGCTCCACTCACAGAAGAGTGCTGAGAGTGTAGAGAGTTGAAAGGGTCGTCCTGCAGTCCGCGTGCCAGAGACATTTGGTGGCGTTGATGGTCCTTTGCATCCTGAAATTTAGGCTTTTCATCTGTCGATCCTGGCCGAAAGAAATATAGCTTGGAGCTCTTGAGGACCACCTTGTAGACCTTCCACCCATGACCTGCCTCGCCCGAATGCAGGTCGACCTTTTTGTTGAGATAGCCTTCCTGACAGATCATACTTCCGGTGCTGAGATGTTTGTTGAGCGTCGCCTGTGAAACGGCAGATGGGCGGCGGCGCTGCGGTTGGGCGTGGTTTTGGCCGTAGTCTCGCGACAGTGTCGGAGGGACTACCGTCACTGTTCCGGGTGATACTGTTGAGGATGAGCGCCTGGTCATGGTTGATGAGGGCGAGACCGGGTCCGTATTGGTAACAGTTGTGATGGGTGGTCCAAGAGCGAATGGGGCTTGATCCGTCTGCTGTGGCAGCTGTGCCTGGCGACGACTTGGAAGGGTCCGTGAGAAGAATCGATGTGATTGTGGTTGTTGCTGTTGCTGTGTAGCTGTTGCTGTCGTGGGTGAGAGGGGTGATGATTCTGAAGGCGAAGAGACTGAAGTCAAAGAGGGATAAGAACTACTGCCTTCGATGCTGGTCTGCAGTTTCTCGTGACCATAGTGACCAGATGGGGGTCCTGTTGAAGGGGACGGGGCTGGGTCCTTGGCAGGACCTGTTGCTGCTGCCGGCGCCGTCACAAGGTCGACTGATGAGGTGCCAAAAAACTTCTGTCTGAGGTATGAGAATGCAGACACGCTTCCGCCGCCACTGTTGGCGCTGTTGTTGCTGCTGTTGTTATTGCCCTTGGCCAGGTTGGCACTGCCACTGTTGCTGCTGACACCACTACCTGAGCTGGCGTTGCTGGGCTGGGCTGCCTTTTGAAGGCCTTCGTGAGAGGTCGTCTTCCGAGGGGTGATTTCTGGTTGTGAGGAGGCCATTGAGTTGCGTGCGATGGCAATAGGGGTTGAGGTGGCCTTTGTGTTCGATATCAGTGTTGTTGGCGATGGAGTGGTTGTTGTTGGAGTGGCTGTAGGAGTGGTTGTGGTTGTTGTGACGGTGGCAGCAGGGAGAGAAGGGTCCTTCCTTTTGGCATTAGGGCTCATTGCTCTGCAGGGACCAAAACGGCATAACAAACATATACAAGGACGAGAAGAAGGGCTCTTTGGTCAGTTCCAACCCTGTAACTATGTATATGGTCTGTGTTCCCTTTAGTTCACGACACGACACAACAACCACATTGATGCCATTCCTAAAGGCACCCCAGTCCACGCGAGAGAGCCCTGGAACATGGCTGGGCATATAATGCAAATAAGCAAGAAACAGAAAAAAAACGCCTTGCGTGTTTTTTTTATTACCTTGTGAGCGATACAAGGGGGTCGTCTTCGCCGGCTATATTAATGGGAGACTCGAGTGAGAAGAGAGACAAGACGCCCTTTTCTTGTTTTGAGTTGCTTGTCGTATTTTGTGGTGTCAGTTGGTTCCTGCGTGGATTTGAGAAAAGATAGTGGTGAGTCCCTGGAGGTGAGTAGTGTGTTGGGGAGAGAGTCAATGAGTTTTTCTATGTTAGGAGTAAGAGTGTAGAAAGTAGTTTGAGTGAATGCGAGGGAATGCGACAAGGGTGTGATGAGTTGGGTTGAGCTGTAGTAATGGCAAGTCCGAAGGGAGTGAAAGTGAGGTGAGGAAGGTGAAGGGTGAAAGAGAAGGAAGGTGAAGGGTGAGGGAGAAGGAAAGTGGAGGGTGAGGGAGAAGGAAGGGAGAGGAGAAGGACGAGAAGAAACGGGAGAAAAGAGAAACGAAGGAAAGGGAAAGGGCAGCAGGGAATGAGGGTGACCAAGAAGGGAGAGAGGGAGGGAGGGAGGGAAGGGAAGGAAGGGAAGGAAAGGAAGAAATGAAAGACTGAGAAAAGTGAGAGGGTATGAGTGGAAGAAAAGAAAAGAAATGATTGATGTATGGCCAACGAGCAACGAGACACAAAGAGACAAAAAAAGGTACCATCATCAGTTGTCTCATCACTTGCATGAATGAATCAATGAATGTGAGCTTCTTTTTTAGCTCTTACACTCTCGTCACTCTCTCTCTCTCTCTCTCTCCCCCTCTCTCTGCCTCTCTCTGCCTCTCTCTCTCTCTTCAATTGCTGTCTGCATTTCATATCCGTACTCACGCAACTTACATTCTTCGACATCTCTCCTTTTCTTTATCTTCATACCCGTCTTCTCTTTCTCTTGCTCAATTCTTGTAGCTCTCCACTCGCCTCTCGCGCTCTTCACTGAGACACGCTCCCATCACTCCTTCATGGCTGCTGGTCAGAAATCAGAAGGAAAAAAAGGGGTAAAGAAGATGAAGGGGAACAGCACACACACACACGCAGCATCAAAACAGACCCATCCCATAACTCGACCATCTGACCTCTGCGACACGCTGACATACCATCGGACAGGCAGCCACATCTTGTTTGTCGTATATGTTGCAGTTACAGTCTGTCACTGCTGTCAACTATCGCTTGTTTTTGGAGGGAGGGGATGGGATGTGATGAGAGTTGCTTGCCTTCCTCGAAGACTATCATAAGTTCATAGTTGGGATAGTTTGGGTCTTGAAGAGTTCAGCTTCTTTTTTTACTTTCTAACACTTCTTTTTAAACATACTCGCACATAGAAGGAATGGCGCATACACTCTTAATGCCATTTTGTCGTTGAATTTCTGGAGAGGTTCAAGCCTTTATGTTTCTCCAGCAGACAGACAGGTTGATCGAAGAGGCATTTGCAGTAGGATGATCATCATCGTGAAAGGGGGTCCTAGGCTGCCCTCCGCCAGTGTCACACAGACATCACAGCTCCTCCTTCCTTCCCTCCTTCCTTGGATTTGCCCTTGTCTGACTTTCAGAAAGACATAGCACAGCCCGCAAATCAGTTCTCCACGTTGTGCAATTGTGCCGTCTGATTTCTTTCCCTTGTCCTTTCATCTCTTCGATCATACGGAACGCGTGTTGTAACTATCCTCCAGCATAGTCATAGGTCATGGATGAGTCTTTCAGCAAGGCATAGCCATTCGGCCGATGAGGTAGGAAGGATCAGCAGCAGTAAAAAAAAAAGAGCATGAAAAGAGTTGTGCATGCAAAATGTTTGCATTCGATACACCTGCTTCCTCGAGAGAGAGAGAGAGGGAGAGAGTTGAGAGAGAGTTGAGTCAACCCAGTCATCGTCCGACTCTCGCTCCATGTGCGACCAAAGACTGACGGAGATTATTGATATCTTCCATTTGATTCATCGGGCCACATGTTGGCTGCAGGTCGTGTCTCTCGCTCGTTTACAACTTTCTTTGTTATTTACGTTTCTTTATCTTTCTGCTTCTTTCGTTCTCGTCCTCGTCCACCCTTTCTCCTTACTTATTCTCTTTCTTGTTGCCACCATTCTCTCTTTCTTTCCCTTTCTTTCTCTCTCATCCCTCATTCGCTTCCTCCTTTCTCTCAACCTCATCCCACACCCAACCTTACTCTGATCACCGACTTTTCCACTCCACCACTTTTCTCATTTACCCCATCACTTAACCTGATCCTTGTTGATCCTCTTCCTCCACCCTTCTCCATTTCAACACATTCAGAACCACCTCTCTCTCACTCCCCCCCCCCCCCCCCTCGATCTCACCTCACAAACCAACATGTTCCCCGGACAACTCTACAAGACCGAGTCCGGTCGTCTCTTCCACGCAGGCGCAATCGCCATTATTCTCGTCGGGTACTTTACTCAATATCACTTCCTCGGAGGAAACAACACTGCTCTTGGCACGAATCTATCCATTCTACCTTTGGACCTGACCACTTATCAACTTTTCTCTTAACCATTCATATGTGCGTGCGTGCGTGTCTCTGCGTCGATGTGTCACAGACTCCCTGCAAGAGGCAAGACCGCCATCTCTCGGTCCCTTTATCGATATATCCGTTGGCTCGGTGTCCAGTCCAAAGTCTTTAGCGTTGGCAACTACCGTCGGCAGATTATCGGTGTTGAACTCACCAACGACTTTTTCTCTCCAGGTATACACCTCCTCCTGTTGTTTGGGTGAATATGTACAGGATTGTTGTACTTTCTTTTTTGTTGTTATTATTATTATCGATGTTGTTGTTGTTGATGTCCAGCTAGCTGTTATTCAAATTCAATGATGTATGATAAATGGGCGTACCTTCCTTCCTCCCTTTCCCTCCCTCACTCTCTTATCTTATCTCTCGTCCAGTCTTTACTCAGCACACGCTAAATCAAATAACTCATTGATTGACATTCAGTCCACATGGATCTTCTCTCTCTCTCCTTTTCACATTTCTCTCTCCTTTTTCCTCCCTCCCATCTTTCCCATCCCCCTATGATTACTCACATCATCAAGCCAACAAGGCCACAGCAGATATGCGTCTCAAGATCGCCAATGCCTGTCTAGACGACATGGTCCAGTGGTTCTCACAAGGAGGTCAAGTTGGTATCCTCGATGGTAGTAACACAACAGTCGAGCGGAGACAGGAGCTTGTTGAGCGGTTCAAGGCTTGCAATGTCCAGCCCATGTTCATCGAGACTATCTGTGATAATCCTGCCATTGTTGATGCCAACATCCGCAGCGTCAAAGTCTCATCTCCCGACGTAAGTCATCTCTCCTTGTTCTTTCGATTATTTTTATGTACCCGTGGACAAAAGTTCGAAGGAGAGATATCTTGAAAAGATGCCGTTTACTTTGTCCACATTCACAAAGAGAAAAGAGAAAGAGAGCATTTTTTTTTTGTATTTCTTGTGTTGTGCTTTATCATGTTTTTGATCGCTCTCATCTCCCCTCCTTGTGTTATTTTTGCTCGTGACATCTCAACCATTCCTCTTCTTTTTTGATATCCATCACATCGATAGTACGTCGGATGGGATCGCACAGATGCTGTGAATGACTTCAAGCGCAGGATCGCCAACCACGAACCATTCTACACAACCATCTCTGATCTCAGCCTAAGCTTCGTCAAAGTCATCAATGCAGGAGAGCGCATCATAGTCAACAACGCCCAAGGTTTCCTCCAAAGCAAGATTGTCTATTACCTCACGAACCTTCACATCTCTCCCCGGACTATCTATTTCGCCAGGGTATGAGCAAACTTAACCCACTTTAATGATGATACATGTACCCTCCACTTCAATCAACACTAACCATCCATCATTTCCTCCGGAATAGAATGGAGTGTCACTCCACGAATACTCATACAAGGCTGACGCTCCCTTGGCACCGGGAGGACATCGATATGCTGAAAACTTGAAAAACTTTCTCTTGGCTCTTCGCGAAAACACCGCCACGTCGTCTCCGACCTCTTCATCAACACCCGAAACACAACGGCCACTCACTGTTTGGACATCGTCTCGCAAACGGAGTTTCCAGACCGCAGCTCACTTTTTGGACCACGAGGAGATTATTGTTCGCCAGCGGAGCGTCCTTGCAGAGAGAAACCCAGGTGTTTGCGACCAAATGACACCAGAAGAGATTGAGGAGCAATACCCAGACGAGATCCTCCGAGCCAAAGCCGACCCTTACCGTCACCGTTTCCCTCGCGCAGAGGTAAGAATCAAAAAACTGCAACCACAATGCTCTACGGACAGAAAGGAGAATTTGCGCTAGCGGAACTTTTGTATTAGCCTTGCAACCTCATGCGACATGACGATGAGACATTTTTTTGTATCCGCGATCCGCTCTAACACTGCATGTTTACTTGGTCCTTTCTGTTTGTCGGCCTGAATAACCAACACAGTCGTACTATGACCTTGCAAATCGACTGGAAATGGTCATCTTGGAACTGGAGAGGGAAAAGAATGATGTCCTCATCGTTGCACATGAGAGTGTCCTGCGTTGTCTCTATGGCTACCTGAACGGACTGCCAGAATCGGTAAGCAATTTGTTTGTGTTCTTTGCGTTTTGTTATATCTCCGAACGAAAACAGCAACATGCCTTTGATTTTATTCCTTCTAACACATTACTTCGAAAAACTTTTACTCTATAGGAGATTCCAAGTCTGGAGATTCCAGAGGGCGTGTTGTTGGAACTGACGCCGACAGCGTACACAACAGAGGAGAGGCGGCATAGGATCCCCGATTTGGTGGCAAGCGTCAATTGGCAACAACAGACTGCCAACCTGATGTGTTTGGCAGGGAATGTACCTGCTTCACCTATGTACATGGGACAGTATATGCCCGAAGGCGGCAAGCAGATCCGACACGAGAGCTCAACAGCGTTTTCGTCATCGACTTCATCCCCTTCGTCTTCGACCCCTGGCCTCTCGATTGCGCCCTCACCTATCACGTCGGAGCGACATCGGCAACTCAAGAATGAATTCGGTCAGGGACTAGCTCTTGCTGTCTGAGAGGTGTGAGTCTCTTCCTTTCTGTTTGTCTGTTTTGCGTATGTAATACCAGTTCACTATCATGACCGCAATCACTGTAGATATTAAAGTTCATTGTCGTGATGGAGGCATTGGTTCATTTTTTGAGTATTGAAAACAAAGAAAAGAATATGGCCAAGGTGATGATGGAATGGGCTGGATAGGCAGTGATCTTTGGACCTGAATTGAGGATGAAAAAGGGACTTCATAGATGAAACGAGGATGAATGAAAGATGGACCTGGGCAGGGGAAATTGAATTTGAAGGGGCGATAACAGGATGGGCAAAAGGGGAAAACGGGCCAATCCGTCCAGGGGTCCATGAAAAAAATAATTGCGCACACTCCTCCTCCTCCTTTCTTGTTGGTCATTTTGCATGAAACGAATGATGATGATGATGAATTCCGTTTTTTTATTCTTCGCCTCTTCTAATTGTTGTCGAGTAGCTGTTGTTACTGTTGATGCCACGCATCTAAATATCGAACCTTTTTTTTGCAGGTGGGATGATTTGGATGAGGGTGGGGTTGTGTGCCTGAGCCTGTCCGGCCATGCAGAGTTAAGACATCAACGCTGCAACAGCATCAACAACATTAACAACATCAACAAATGCCGAGGCCAAGGACAAGAACATGGATATAGATGGTCAAGGCAAAAACCAATTGAGGTTTCCCGATCGAAAAAAACTACACAACAACCCCCCAATCCTTCATCTGTCCCGCCTTTTTTTGTATCCTTGCCATGTACCAATTTTTTTCATTTTTTTTACTTTGGCTGCTTGGTGTTTGTTGGTGGAGTCCAAGGGTCATTCACACCTTGTTGATGGATCGAGCAAATTAACGGATCATAGAGTGAGGTTGGATTGGCCTTGAACTTGAACTTGTTTGCAATTGTAGACAAACAACAGCGGTAAGCACGTCTGTATCCTTGACAGTGAGCTTTTCTTTTGATTGTCCTTGTTCTCGTGATGAACAATATAAAAACAATGTGAACCATCCTTTCTATACACATTCCCTTACCTTTCCTACCCCTTTCGACTGTTGTACATCCCCTTCCAACAAGGCACGATTGAAACGCCCTAGTAGAATGGGCCTGGGAAGGAAAAAAATGTTACATACATGCAGTGCACAGAGGATACTCAACTGTTTGAGGATTTCTTGGGTGAATCTAACCCTGGACAGTCAGGGACTCCTCATCCCTTCATCCCCTTATCCCCTAATTGGTATGATTTTTCTAAGCAGCTAAGCTGGCTAAGGAGGTGTTCAGGTAAGCCATCAGGGTTGGAAAGAGGTACCCGTGAAAAAAAAGGGAGTGAGAAAGAAAAGAAAGACAAGTGAGTGCCACCAAAGTAGATGTCAGGACAACTGTGCCTGTTCTCCTATTCATTCCATTCATTCATTTTTGTGTGAGTGTGACATGTATTACGAAAGAAGTGTATGTGCCCCCCTCTTCCTCCGCTCCCTCCCTCGTTCATAGTTTGATGTTTTCAATCGCAAGGTTGAACTCAACCCCTTCATTCGGATGCTCCCTTTTCCCTTTTTTTGTCAGTCGGGCAGACCTGTTGCTTTGTCTGTGTCAATGCGAGGCGAATACTTAAGCCAACTGCATCTCCGTCTTTTCTATTCCTTTAAATTAAATTACACTCCTTTCATCTTCCTTTCCCTTCTTCTCTTCTTCCTTCTTCCTTCTTCCCTTCCTTCTCTTCTTCTTCTGAATGTCCAACCTACTCTCCATCTCTTCCACCCCCTCAAATCACATAATTAGTACTACTCCTTCTACTCCATCCGTTGTATTCCTGCAACGGTTCGCCATTAGACCCATACCATAATATCCTCCCTTGCACATAAGCATCCCTTTCTCTTCTAATTCACCCCCTTCCCTCTGCAATTCTACTCAACCTATTCGACTTTTCCTCCTCATACATTCAACATCTACAGCGACTCTTTCCCTCCACTTCCTCTCTCGAGCAGAACAAAACTCCACTAGACCATTAACGACCACCATCAACTCAGCATAGATATACCCATCCGCATAATCACATACACACATACCAGCATGTCCTCCATACTAGCACTCCCCTCCTCCACCACCTCTTTTGGCCGTCAACGATCCCTCTCTGACAAATTCGTCCGATCCTCCTCGCCAACCTTTGCTGCCACCTCCTCAATGAGCCGCCAACGATCCATCTCTGTAAGCCTTCTTTCTTTTGGTTACAGGTCTTTGTTGTCGATCAAAGTTGCGCACTCTTCTCTCTCTCTCTTTCTCTCTCTCTCTCTCTCTCTCTCTCTTTCTCCTCCTCCTCCTCCTCCTCGATTGATTGCTTTTTTGTACTGAACCATTTGCCCATCCCTCTTTTGTATCACTCCCTCTCCTTCCTTACTTGAAACACCTTGATATTTGTTAGGGCCATCGCATCGATTCAGACAAAAGCAACGCTTTGGAACACCACCACACCCCAACAGGATCTCTCCTCTCTCCTCCCCAATACACCCAACACCAACACCAGCAACACCATCTCCTCTCATCTACAATCTCTTCAATGTCCGACCATAAAGTGGCCTCGTCCAGGACTCTCCTCTCCCCCTACAACCACTCTTCCTACTCCCAATCCTCAGATTCCCTCGTCCACTCTCTCCCCACCCGAAAGATCTCCAGCAGCAACTTTATCAAACTGGCACGACAGGCCTCCGACACTGCCTTTCGAAGCGTGGGTCTCAGCCGAAAGCATTCTGACCACAACCTTCGGGAACAGGCTACTGTTGCTGCTTCGATGAGTAGCCATGGTGGTGGAGTGTATGAACAAAACCCAAAAGTGTACCTCTACCAGCAACATCAACAACAACAATATCTTCACCAGCACGTCAAAACCCGCCTTCATCATCATCCTCTTCGACCACAGGGCGACGATACAGTTCCTGAAGAGTGGGCCATGAACAACCAGCTCCTTCACACAGAGTCCTGTTCCTCAGACGACTACTATGACCCACCGCCCATTGTGAAGCCGTTTGCGTCGAGATCGTTGAGGAGAAATGTCTCTATGCCCGATATGAAGGGCATAGCAGCAGCTGCTGCTGCTAATGCTGGCCAAAGCTCTTGTGAGCCCCGTCCTTCAAGAGCCACCTCTCCGCAGCCTTCTGCTACTGGTGCTCGCCAGGTCAACCGTAGTCGTAGTCGTCCACGAGTGGAACCATCCCATTTCATCACCACCGGCATGGCCAACAACAACAACAACACCAATTGTGAGCCCGCCGTTGTTACCAGCAACAGCAATGGTCCATGCGGGTCTACTATTATTTTGCCCAAGAGCACGCCTGTGAGCTCTGGAGACGAATGTTCCAACATCCAACGAACACCCTCCCGCCCCCCTCGCAGCCAGAATCACATCAGCCCCCACCACAACAACGTCAAAGTGTACCAACAGCATCAGAACCAGATCGAACAACAACGACACCATGAACAACAACGACAGCGACTCCTCACACGCCGTCAAGTCCTGTCTGACGAATCCCTCCCAGAATACGGGGATGCTGTGCTCTCGGTTTCGTGTGTGCTAGATGGATCGAACAACAACAACAGCGATAACAACACTAATAATAACTTGAACAGCAAGGATCTGCCTCCTACGCCTTCAGGCCCACCTCCATCGTTCTCGCTCCCGACCAGGGGCCGCCGTTGCACAGAGAGCAACAGCGAGACGGATTCGATTACTAGTCCGACTGGTTCGTTGGCTCCAGTGATGTTGCCTGCGATGGGCACGAGTCTGACGAGGAATGGGAGTAGTAATGGAGGGATTATCCCGCAGGACGTGTTGCGCAGTATGGATCCCAAAGATGTGCAGAGGGTGGTATCGTCGGCGGTGATAGCCAGTCGAGTGTACAAGGTCCTCAACCCCGAGCAGCTCGAAAGCTTAAAGAAGGTAACTTTGGAGGGAGTTTTCTAGAGTGATCCAATGATGTATTGTGGCGAAAAGGGAACCAATCATTTCGGACAATGAATAATTATTTAATTTGATTTGTCCAAGACACTCTTCACCACTGATCACTGATCGCCCTAGTAAACGAATTCCCTCTGACCAATCTACTAACCGATCTCTCTCTATCTGATTTCGTAATACGATCAATCGTTTGAATAGGAACAAGAGGGACTCCAGCAGTTCGTCGAGGCAATGAATGTCTCCCTCCACATCGAAACCCGCATGCGCGACGCCTCCTCCTCCCTCATCCGCCTCTACGAGTCCAACCTCAACATCGACGCCGTCAAGGCCGCCAACAGCCAACTCCACGCCACAACCTTCAAAATGGACGACATTGTCCAAAAGTCTCAACAGGCCATGTGGCGACTCCTGGCCATCCAGCGACTCCTCCTCCAACATGAGACCGCGGTCTTGAATGCCGGGTTGAGACGATTGGACAATGAGAACAGGGATCTTTCGAGGGCTGTTATGAACTTGGAGACGGCTAGGGGTCAAGAGAAGGAGGAGAAATTGAAGTGGAAGAAGGAGCACACGAGGCTTAAGGTGCAGAGTATTCTGTTTACACCTACGTCTCCTATTACTGCCACTGCTGCAAGTGAGGTTGCGGTGCCGCCTACACCTCAGTTGCAGCTTGTTCAGGAGCAGCTCTCGGCGATGGAGAACTATGCCAAGGAGTTGAGTGAGGATGTGTTGCAGAAAGATGAGAAGTTGGGTGAGCTCAAGATTGAGTTGGGTGCTGTCAAGGGTTGGGCGGATGACTTTGAGGTTTCCCTCCAACAGGCCAAGCAGGATTCTTGCTCCGAGGTTGCCGCTCCTCTTGCTGAAGAGACGCTTCAGGAACAGTTGAGCCGTCTCCAGTCCACGATCGAGGCCGACTACAAGGATTTCCACGTCCATACTGACGAGCTCCAGGTCAAGGTCGACCTACTCACCGAGGAGAACCTTGCCTTCATCACCGCCGCCTCCGCTCCTAGCAAGACGTGCGCGTCAGATGATGACACCTCCTCATCTTCTGCCTCTTCTTTGAACTCTTCGCCTCTTGGTCTGACAGAACAGGAACAGCAAGAGCGTCAAGCCCGTCGATCCTGGCGCATCCGTGCCGGTTTTTCGTCCTCCCGCGAAAGTATTCAGCTCCACAATGTCCTGCGAGAGAGTCTTTGGGAGCTGGATCGTCAGATCGAACTCGACGAGCGCCTCAGTGCCTCCTCCTCTTCCATTTCCAATTCGTCTTCCGCCTCTTCCTCCTGCCGAAACTCCTCAGCCTCCACAGTCTCCAGCGCATTCTCTCTCGACAACACCAACACCAACGGTTCCGTTAAACATGCCGGGAACGAGAGCCCATTGGTCATCAGCCGACGCTCCTCCTCCCGCAGTACCGCCTCCGCCTCTTCCCCATCTTCACCCTGTACCGGGCGATTGAGCAGGACGAGCAGCACGAGTTCGAGTTCCAAGTTTGGACTTCGGGAGCAGGTCTTGATGCGGGATATGTGTTCTTCGCCGGAGATTGCTGCACAGGGGTTGGGGTTGGTTGTTGAGTGCGAGGATGTTGGGGAGGGGTTGGATACGATTGTGAAGGAGATTGGGCAGATTGTTATGCACAAGCAGCAGGAGTGAGTGAGCGAACGAAGAAAACAATCATAGGATTAAGTTTTGTAGCTTCTACACCTAATACAACCAGATATGAAATTGCTTGGACATGGTTTGCATCATCATTGCACAGCGTCAACGGACGTTAAAAATCAAGCGTAATTGACCACAACGACAAAGCCCTCTTTTCATCTGGAAACTCATCCCATCGGCTCTCAACTGCGTCAACACATTTGCATGTCAAAGCACATTTGCTCCTAATATGGGAAAGCGTCCGATGTGGTGGCAAAATACAAGCCACCGCGAGCTATGTGGTTTTCTTACCCACCATGGGCCATAAAACGGTTCTATTCCGCGGCACTTCTCTCTCTCTCTTTCTTTGACACTCTTGTACACGCACACGCACGCCACGTACTCCCAACACACACACACGTTCGCTTGTTACTTTTCCTCTGGCTGACAAGGAAGACAACGACGCAATGGAGCAGCAACCACCATCGTCCCCCGAGTTCCGGGTGCCGACAGGTCCAGCTTCACGCCCGAAGACATCACAGCAACAGCAACAGCATCAGCAACCAGGCACAGGACCTGCATCGGATTCTGGCAGCACGCATTCGTCCTCTTCATTCGCATCAAGAGTCTCTCCGTCCTCTTCTTCGAAAAGGGTCTCGACCGGCTCAACCTCATCGACCGATGGCTTTCGAGGCTCGCTCGCAGTACCACATCACTCGACAACAGCACCGGCCACCGCCGCCAACACCAGCAACGGGAAGGCAGCAGTCCAGTATTACCAAAAACCGACAGCGTCTCAATTTCAGAACGACCAGACGCAGCAAATGACTCAGACACAGATCCTCGATGGATCTGACGAGCTTCCGGAGGACGACGTCGAGTCCCCTTTACTATTTGGTATTCTTGCAGGACGTGACAATACGATGCACCAGTCTCTGTTCAGCCACGAGGTCCCCTATACCTTTGGAACCTCGGACGATTGCGATGTGAAAATCAGTCATGACCATTGGCCTGACGACAAGAAGACGAAGGAACCTTGGTTCCGACTGAATTGTGTATGTTCTCCGCTCTTCTTTTCTTCTTTCAGGTTTGAAGATGGGCTATTGAGTGTTTCGTGCGTTTGGATATATCTTCTAGGTGGAAGGGATAGGGTTTGGACTAACGCGTGGTTTGATGATCCTTTATCACGTTGATTTGTTATAGGTACCGGCACCTGGCTCTGAGACTACGAATCAACTCGTGACTACCGTCCAAGTTCTCAGGTACGCCAGCGATCTCATATACTCTCTTCGATAGAGGACTCTGAAAACAAAAGGCAAGCCGGTATAGTCTATATTCTCTTGCGAACTTACCTCGTTATTCCTTTCTCTTGCCAAATTAGCTCGTCGGGATTGTACATTGACGGGAACCGGATCGGGAAGGGCAAAACCCGTGTGCTGAGATGGGGCAATCAAATCGCGGGCGGACCTAAAGGGAGCGAACTCTTCGTTTACACCTACAAATTGCCCAAGGACGTGCGCACTGTCATCGCCACGGAGAGGGCAAGGTACGAGCTAGAGGATGAGGAGCTAGCACATGGAATGTACTCCAAGGTTTACAAGGCGAGGGATATGGAGCACAACGAGGTCTACGCTTGCAAGGTCACCAACCGTCTTGCCCGTGATTACAACCCCGCCGAGCTAGCGAGTATGGAGCATGAGATCGAACTCCTGAAGGACTTGAGTCATGTAAGTTATGCTCGTCGTCAATTCAAGATTGCAAGAAAATGTGTCCCTCAAGGCTAAGCGTTGTTGTTCCAAAAAGTGCTGAACATTATTCCTTTATTTCCGTCGATTCGTAACAGGAAAACATTGTCAAGCTTGTGGATGTTTGTACCGTTGGACCCAAAACGTATATATTTACAGAGCTCATCGAAGGCGTAACTTTACACACTTACTACGCCCAGCAGCGCGAAGTCATGACCGAAAGCGAAGCGAGATACATCTTCAGACAGATATGCGACGCAGTCAATTATCTACACATGAGGAAAATTGTGCACAGAGATATCAAGTCTGAGGTAAGAGTCATCTTATGAGGACGTACTAAGAATGTTGCCCGTGCATGTTGAACGCAGTAGGTCCTATTTTCTTTTTCGTCCGCACTGTCAACTCAACAATGTACCATTTTTCTGAACTAGAATGTCATGGTGACACCAAACAACGTTGTCAAGCTGATTGATTTTGGTAAGCGGCTTTACTTCATCCTTTTTCTTTATTTGGTGCTGTTTGGAGCTGTGAATTACTAATCATGCTTCTCCTTGCTGCATCTACAGGTCTTGCTCGCGAATCTTGGAATACGGGAACGATGCTATACACTTTCTGCGGTACGCCCTCATACATGGCGCCTGAGAATGCTGTCAACGGAAATGAGAAGAATGGATACGGACCTGCTGTCGGTAAGGGTTATTTGTGATGCGCCTCAATGTTCCAGAATTGTTCTCATAGCAGCACTTTCTAGTTAACGAGCCACTCACCTCTACTTTTTAATCGCCCTTTTTAGACGTGTGGGCTCTAGGGGTGCTACTCTTCAGGATGTTGGCTGGATGCTACCCATTTGATGAGAAGTCATACGCAGATAGGGCCGCTTCTGGAAAATCCAATGCAAACCCCACGGAGAACAATGCTGGATCCTCAGCAGCTGAAATTGTTGTCAAGGAGGATGATGGAAAGGTCGATGCAGAGCCATTGGAGGTCGAAGGCGTTCCAAATGAGGTGAACGATGAGGAGACGAATATGGTTGGAGTAGAGCGGCTAGAAGGAAAGATCGTGTACACCAACAGGAAACTTCCTTCGTATCTGATGGACTGGAAATCTATCGTTGACATCCAGGCCATAAGAAGCAAAGAAGGTGAGTGGACGTCTCGGGATCGGTTCAAGATCTTACCCTATCGTGCTAATTACCGCCGATGTACGTTTCTTACAATATACCGCCTTTTCTCTCCTTTGTTTATCTATTATTTTAGTCAAGGAGCTGTTGAGCGGTATGTTGGAGATTGACCCATCGCAACGCATTCGCATTCAGTATGTCCTACAGACTGATTGGATATGCATGATTGACGAGGAGTTGAAGAAACTTGAGGTGAGCGAACCGAGCGCCAGTAACAGACATTAAATAATGAATGTGGCAATAGTCGACACCATCGCTGTTACTAACTTCATCTGTTGTCGCAACTTCACTTAGGATAAGTTAGCGGCGGAACAGTGGGCGCGCGAGTTTGAAAATAAGCCATTCAAAGATGGCGAAGACATCGAAGGGCTCTGGGGCATGCTTACTATCGTACCTGGAAGTATCCCTGACGCTCCTCGACGCATTGGTCTGCCGGATAAAAAGGACGAAATATGGATGGGACGTAGAGCTGAAAGTAGGTGTATTTGCAATATCTGTGACTCCTTTGCTGGATTTCATATATCCAAGCGACACTTATGCTGACGTACTACTGTTCTTGTGTCTTATTCTACGTTTGTTAGTTGTCGCAGTTTGCTTAGGAAGCGATGCCGGGCTCAGCGGTAAGCACTGTGTCATAAGTCGCACACCAGATGGTGTCATGGTTGGCGACGCCAGGTAATACCCGCTGAAAGACTGATGCTCGTGATAAAAAAGAAGTTGCACCGCAAACATTGCAGAGGTAGCGGACACATCTGTCGTTGCTAACGTAATTATCGTTGTTCACATTTGAATTGTTAGCACGAACGGAACCTACATTAATCACCAAAAGATCGGCTTGGGCCGGGGAATGCAGCTCATGGACGGCGATGTACTAGGACTAGTGGTTCCACCTGACCGGACTCGATTTGATGAAGGTATGGATAATGATCATGTGTATGATTTTCACCTTCTATAACCCGCAATGCAGGTCATATGGTGCCAACTTTAACCTATATTCAAGACCTTCGAGATCGGAACCATAGATATCTTATGTACACGGTTAGGCTCTACAAAACCCCGGCGGTCACCCCGGACCGAAAGGTTCGACGGCAGTATGTTTCTGCTGGAATCGTCGGTGGAACCTCTTCGCGGCCCAACGTCCGTAAAATGGAGGTTCTGGAGATTCCTGAAACTGGCGATTGGCCGCCTGTTGACAATACGTGGGCAACGCTCGTGCCGATCAATACTCACACTAGAGTCGAGAGATTATCCACAGCAAAGGCTATCATTGGACGATATGAAGGTACCGACGCGTGTCTTAAGTATTTTACACTTCGTGCTGGATTCGTCGCGACGTACAGTACCACTCTAACCAGGACACTGTTGCCTTTCTTTTCTTTGTGTAGATTGCGATGTTATCCTTACTAGCAACAAAATCAGCCGTGTTCGTAAGTGCTGTGACAAGATGCGAACTCAAAAGGAAGCGCAGATATTTAATAGTGCGGCCATGCGCAAGTATACTAATATGCCTGCCCCGTTTTTTTTTCTTTGTTTTGTTGCTCTTCCCATAGACTGCAAGTTCGAATGGGATGAGGAAAATCGTGTGGCATATCTGACTAATTTGGGCCAGAACAGCGTCAAGGTCAACGACGAGTCTTTCTCTGGGCCTGTTCAACTCCGGGAAAATGACCTGATACACCTCTTTTCCCACTCTAGCTGTAAGTTGAGTCATTTCTCGCTATTTTCTACCTGTATAATTAATAGTTGTTATGCTAACGTATCCTTTCTCCCAACATGACCTATATATACATGCATCTGTTGTAGATGACGAGTCCGAATGGATCGGCTACACGTTTCATTACCTTGCAAAGGTCGAATTACCACCCAAGAAAAAAATAAAAGAGGAGCAGCAGTAACTCTTGTTACCCCTGCGATGTAGATTTCTACTTTAACGCCATCCTGACACCTGCTGGCGGTGTTCAAGAGACCTTTGGCGGGCCACACCACCTTTTTCCCTCTATCAAACCGCCATCGCCAAAAATGAACTCCTACGAGGACGACGATATCGCCAACGAGGTTGACTTGGTCGTGAGCGCCTATCCCGTCCAAGACGACGGTCTTGATGAACTCTTGGCTGCTGGTAATGTTCCACGCCCTCAGGACACCTCTTCTCAGCCCTATGTCGAAGCAGCAACGATCGACAATTCGCCAAAGCTACCTTGAACACTCTCACACCCACACGCCAATGCTGCCACGATGGATCAGGATCCACACCGTTTTCCAAATTCAGCTTCGCGAGGCTAATTCGACGACGTTTCATGAGCCTCAGGAGGGCGTACGTTTCGACTACTTTTGCACACGCTCTTAACGTTAAGCTCAGAACCGACTTGATCTTGGTGGCAACCATTCGTTTGCTCGCAGAGCAGGAATGCCGCGGTTTCTACAAACCAACTTTCAGGAACGAGATCACCTCTGTCTTCTGATCCACTATCTAACACGACCCTTTTCTATCTTTTTTGATCACTGGAAACGCCATGCTTTTACCTTTCACCGCGCACAGACCAGACCTCGCAGCAATACCAGGAGGTCCAGATCCCAGATGTTGTCAAGAACTTTATCGTGTTCTTCCACCGCAATGTTCTGGAGAACAATGTGCACGAGCTTCACTCGATCTACGAGCACTCGTTCAACAAGTTGACCGAGAAGTTCTACGCCAAGGATTCCTGGCCTGAGCCTGAGGCTATTGCGCCTTTGGTCAATGACGGTACGTGTTTCAAACAGGCGTTTCTTCGACTCTGACCCTGGCTGGTGCTCAGGGAACTTTTTTGCCTAGATCTTCATTCATCTAATTTTGTTGACCATTCATACATTTTTTAGACCAGGTCTTCTTGACGCTTTACCGCGAGTTGTACTACCGTCATATCTACTCTCGCCTTGCTCCTACCATCGAGCACCGCTTCCACTCTTATGAGAACTACTGCGATCTCTTTAACTACATCCTGAGTAAGTTAAGCACAGGAACTACAATGGGCAGGACAATATTCATACAGAATACACTTCGGACATCACTTTAAAATATGGGAATTCGACGCTAATTGCTGTCTTTTTCGTCCAACTTTTACAGACTCGGAGGGACCAGTGCCATTGGAGCTCCCCAACCAGTGGTTGTGGGATATCATTGATGAGTTCATCTACCAGTTCCAGTCGTTCTGCAACTACCGCAACCGCATCAAAAACAAGACCGACGAGGAGCTCGCCTTCCTCCGCGACAACTCTCAGATCTGGAGCTGCTACAGTGTCTTGAACGTCCTCTACTCGCTTATCCAAAAGTCGCGCATCACAGAGCAGTTGTTGGTCTCGAAGAACGGAGGCGATATGCAGGAGGCTGCTGGAGAGTACGGATCGCGTCCTCTGTACAAGATGTTGGGCTACTTCAGCATTGTGGGCTTGCTCCGTGTCCACTGCTTGTTGGGCGATTTCACTTTAGCGCTCAAGATGATGGACAACATTGAGTTGAACAAAAAGCAGGCGCTCTTTGCCCGTGTCACCGCCTGCCATGTCACGACCTACTACTATGTTGGATTCGCCTACATGATGATGCGCCGCTACGCCGACGCTATCAAGGCCTTTTCCCACATCCTCACCTTCATCAACCGCACTAAGCAGTACCACACCCGGTCATACCAGCACGAACAGATTACCAAAAAGGGCGACCAGATGTACGCTCTCTTGACCATGTGCGTTACTCTCTGCCCCACCCGTCTGGACGAGAACATTCACAGCCAGTTGAGGGAGAAGTACGCCGAGCAGTCGAACAGGTTAACCAAGCCCGAGGAGGCCCTCCAGGTCTTTGAGGAACTCTTCCACTTTGCCTGCCCCAAGTTCATTTCGCCCAACGGCCCTAACCTGGACGATCCCGAGGTCATGAACTTGACCCCCTTTGAGCCTGTCCAGCACTACACCAAGATCTTCTTGGCCGAGGTCCGCCACTCGATCTTGTTGCCCACCCTCCGCTCGTACTTGAAGTTGTACACAACTATGGGCAATGCCAAGTTGGCGTCGTTCTTGGAGATTGATCCCGAGCAGTTGCGCACGTTATTGATGATGTCCAAGATCAGGAGCCGTCAGATCAAGTGGGTTGAGGGCACGCTGCTCGAGGGAGAGTACCAGGGCACATCGGATCTGGACTTCTGCATGAAGGAGGATATGCTTCACATTGCCGAGTCCAAGATTGGTCGTCGCTATGGAGATTGGTTCTTGCGCAACATTAACAAGTTTCAGGATATCCTTGGCGGTTTAGAGCTTTCTGCCAAGGTTTGAGAACTTTGTATGAGGCGCAAGGAAGGTGAGGGAGCGGAGGAGCTGGAACGGGTGCTGTCCAGAAATAAAACAAAGCATTTCAGTTGGTTTGCTCTGTTGTTCAAAGGGAACGGCATTTGCCACCAAATTGATGTTTAACTATTTTGCCACTGTTTTTCTTAACACTCTTTTTTCTCGTTTGACGATTCATTCTTTCCCTTTGCCTTCCTCCAAAGCACGAGCATCCTCGCTCGACATCCACTCAGTAGCGCACCCAGTAACGAACCCGAGCCTCCACCTCTGACATTAGGCGATTCAGAATCACGTCCTGCGGCTCTTCCATTCACCCCTTCTTTCATCCCACCTTCGTTGTCTGTCAGACTTCTCTTCAGTCTGTCGACATGGACTCTTCTTCCATTGCTGGAACATCAACAACCCACAACAACAGCACCATCCTTGGGCAATGGCTTTCAGGGGAAGGCGATTCCCTTGCCGGGCCCACCACCCAACCTGGCCAAAACCAAGACCAGGAACAACAACCACAACACTCCATCACCACACCGCCCGAACAGTCCTTCGGACCCGAAGGACAAACTACCGTCCGGCCCTCGGACAATACTACTGAGGTACTCTTAGGAGAAGTAGAGGCCGAAGAAGAACGGTCAATACACGTGGTCCAGAGCACACGAACAAGGCGGTTCAAGAACCGGATTGCAGATTTGGATTATACGATGGCCCCACCTGGACCGTTGGACGTGCAAGGGTGTCAGTTCTTGCCGTCGCATGTTTCTGTCCAGAAGGTGCCTGTGATTCGGATCTATGGCGCTAATGAGGCTGGACAGAAGTCTTGTGTTCATATTCATCAGGTAATGCTATTGTGTCTGTGTCCTTTTTTAATGTTGGTTACCCTTTCGAACTTTTGTTCTGGATGCTCATTGATTATGGATGATGGTATTACTTTAGGTTTATCCCTATTTTTATGTTCCATATCAGGGATCATTGGAGCCAGCTGAACGTAAGGATCAGGATTGTCCCTCAAATTGACAGTTTTATTGCGAAATACACTGGCAGGTAGCTGAAACTTATGCTTGTACTTTTTTTTTTGTTGCAATACGTAGTACATGGCTACATCCACCAACTGGGAGTCAGTCTGAATCACGCGTCGGCAATCACGTTCAACACGCCCCCGCAGGATCTCCGGAAATCACAATATGTTGCTGCGATCACACCTGTCAAGGGCATTCCATTCTACGGATACCATGTGGGTTACTCATACTTTCTCAAGATCTACCTGTTCAATCCGGATTTCGAGAATCGCATCGTCGAGCTGATGCGGAGTGGTGCTGTCATGCGGACTGTCTTTCAACCATTCGAGGCCCATGTTCCCTTTCGGCTCCAGTTCTGTATCGACTACAACTTGTATGGGATGGGATGGCTGGAACTCGAGGATGCTCTTCTGAGGAGCGATGTGCCAAGTAATATAAGAATGTCCGAAAACACGCTTTTTATGAGCCTGATATGCTACAAGATCGCGGACATTAACACTGACTTTATGCCTTTTCTATAGCTGCTGCTGAGGGTGATCACCCAAAGAGATTGACAAAGGGAACGGTCATGGATACGAGGATTTGGTCACCCGAGAACGACCCAGGACGGATGTCGTATTGCGAGATCGAGATGGATACTACAGCTGATCGGATCATCAACCGAGATCTTGCACCTGAGCGAGATACACATTTCTCATTGGAGGAGTGCTTCAAGCCACCGCCCTCAACAGCTCAAGTACCCTCTGTCGCAGGCCTGTGGGAGGTATGAAATTTTCGATGATATCGCTGAAATCATATCGTCAGTTTACTTTACAGATACCTCGCGCTAACTCACATTGTCGGTTAGGATGATGTGCGGAGGAGAAAAGCAAACAACCTCCCTTCTCAGGAAGCACCGAAGACACAGATTCGGGAGCCAGAGACAATACCATGGCTGAACAACGATCTCAACAAACGCATGGTGGCCAGCCTAGTCAAAGAGATGGTGGAGCGCCAGAGTCAGGAAAAGAATCCAACTCAGGGTGACTTTGACAATTACAGAACCAAAGACGATCCTCTTGCCGAGTCGTTGATGACGGCCTATGAGAGTGTCGAGTTTATGTGTCCAAGATTGGTCCCAGAGTCGGAGGAGCCGTCCAGGCATCAGACGCAGTTGCATGTCTCACATGACGCGTCATTTGTGATTGACGAGTCGGATAGTTCGATCTTTGTCGATGAGAGCATTCTCCAGTCCCAGACGGTATGTAGCGACGCAAAAATCGCATATGGTCGCGTAGTAATTTTGTCCGCACTGCTTGGAAACTGACGTTGACTTATGGTATCTCGAGTTAGGCTGCCAAGTTTGATGAGGACAACATGGACACGCGGAAGGAGACATTCAAAGGTCTGACAGGTCTCGGAGGGATTGACGAGCAGGATGACGATGAAGATTCTTTCCCGTTGCCTGAAATGGACATTGACGACTTTCAGGAGGAGGACTTTATGGATGAGGCGGAGCATTGGGATGATCTCGAGGCCTCAGATTCCGAACTAGCAGACCCTACTTCTGATGAAGGACCAGGCTACCGAACAGACGATGCTTTAGGTCAACAGACGGACGACGACCATATTCCACAGTTTGACGGTGGTGGCGATCTTCGTGATGAGGATGGTGCAGGCAAAAAGCAGGAGACGGACGAGGACAAGTGGAAGAAGATAACCATAAGGCGCAAGCGAGGTCGTGATATATCGTCAAACATCGTGGCACCGATTGAACAGAGCCCCAAAGCCAAGCGATTTCGCGACCTGGAGCCTGCTGGAGGATCAGGTGGACAGCGTTTGAAACCAGCGACGCCACCAATTTTGACTCGCCAACGGTCACGCACAGCAGGAGCCTCGTCCTCAAAACCAGTCGCATCAGTTGCTCGTGACTCTCCAGCCAAAGCGCCTGCATCTCGTTTGTTGAAAGTTTCTTCGCCGGTTTCATATTCGACACCGGATGATGAGGTCAATCCTATGGAGACTTTTCGAGGCAGATATATTTTCGACTGCGTTGAGATTCCCAAGAGGGAGGCCCCATCGACACCGTCATCTTCGAGTCGCTCTTCTCAATCTCCTACCAAGAAGCCTCAAACCCCCGTCAAAACCGCCAGATATGCACCAAAGATGTATGAGGAGGTCGAGGATGATCCAATCGAGGATTTCGATGACGGAGTTGCAGAGGATGCTGAGAATGAGAAGCTCGGCGATCTTCCCATGGAAGAATTGACTGGCGATGAGCCAGATGTCTTTTCAGTGGACATCCCACCTGCTTCCAAGGCACCTCTCGGACCTTCCTCACCACCCCGTGATCTTGTTTCACCACCTTCTCCGCGACAGAACTACTTTCTCTCTACGTTGGAGGAAGTTTGGTCCTCGCCCTCTCCAGAGATGAGCAATCCCGACTTTTTCTTCTCCCCTCCTCGCCCCCGATCACCGGACCTTTTACTCGCCCACTCTACTCTGGCCAAGGCCAACTCATCCATCAGCAACACCAGTCGACAGATGCTTACTTCTCCGTCCTCAAGCACGCCGCAGACCAGTCCTGAGATGAGCCGATCCTCACAGCGGAAGCGTTCGGCTGGAGTCATGTCAGATCTGGACATAATCAACGAGACAGTGTTCGTCAGGAAATCCGATCTGGCAGAGCTGCTGGAGGAACGAGATGTGAAGAGGGAGGGTAGCGTCGAGTCTGGGCATAGTCGTGGCCACCAGGCTGAGCATTCTGAGTCGCTCGACAGGCTTTCGAGTGGAGTTCTGGTGGATGATTCGATCATTGCGGATGAGATTGAAGCGTGCACGCCACCCAAGGAACCGTTTCCATCACCGCAACCAGCTCAGCAGCATTCACCTCTGATATCTGGGCACAGCTCGTCACCTCCTCAGCATATGTCTTCGTCGTTGCAGAATGCGCCACAGATACCCTATAACCCACATTTGGCTCAAGCACTGACAGGCGGTCATGGGGAGGCGTCAGACATCCAGGTTTACCAGTTTTCTTTCGCACCGCCTACGACAAAGAGCCTCATGTCGTCTTTGCCGGAACTTGGACTTCCAAATCGCGTTCATCAAAAGCCCTATTTTTCCAACGAGGCCGATGTCCCTTCCAAGGCTAAGGTTTTTGGTGGCAAGGAATTTCGGTTGCAATCTAAAGGGCTCAAGAGCACGCCGCTGTTCAAAGGCAAGTTTGATCTGGGCAAGAAATTGCCACTTGGAGCAGGGTATCAACACTGGGAGCCCAACTTGCGGCCGCCTTCTTACGCAGAGGCCCTGGTTTGGTTGAAGGAGGATAAGGAGAGGGTCGAGGCGTCTTTGAGATCGGCGGCGGAAGCTTCGACGCAACAGAAGCGAGAGAAGATTTCACAGATCGAGGGGCCGACTCAAAAGAATCCGTTTGGCTGCAAGAACACTCCTACCAAGGTTGCTGGTTCAGCTGCGATTGAGAAGGACTATTTGGACGTGTTGAGTATGGAAGTGCACTGTCGAACGAGAGGCGGCTTGTTGCCTGATCCGAAAACTGATCCTATCTTGGCTGTGTTCTACTGCTGGCAGACTGAACGCGAAGGTCTCGCCTCGAATGGATGGGTACCTGGGTAAGTCAGAATAGATACAAGAATGATGTGCTTTGTCGATGAGATGGATTGTTGACTCGATGTGTCATTACGCTTGCGTATCAATATGTTTGTTCATACTGCGTCTACAGTTTCCATGTAGGCATCATCACCTATGAGGGGTCTGGCATGCTTAAGAAGCTGGCCTTGGGCCCACTGGGAGTGAGCGTCGAGATTGCATTGGATGAGGGTGCGATGATGAACGCTGTCATTGACCGTGTCCGGCAACTGGATCCCGACATTCTTGCGGGTTACGAGGTTAACAACCTATCGTGGGGGTATCTAGTAGATCGGTATCAGGCAGCGTTCTCGTTGGACATGACCAAGCTAATCTCTCGTGTCCGACCCCTCAAAGCCCCTATCTTGTCCAAGAGCGCAATGGAGGCCCAGAATTCGTTCAATAGCCGAAAGAACTCTGGGTTGAAGGTTGTGGGACGGCATGTTTTCAATGTCTGGCGACTGATCCGTGGAGAGGTTGCTCTGACGAACTATGGATACTGCAACGTAGTATTTCATGTTCTCCAACAAAGGTGAGTGAGAACAGAGGCGTGTGTAAAGAGTAGATTGGGTATGGGAGGGAAGTTTTGATCCAGCCAATTGACGTTTGTGCCTATGTTCCATAGGATCCCTCATTACTCGTTCGAGACACTTACGAAGTGGTGGACTGACGAGTCTGCCCTGCACCAATCTCGGGTCATCAAGAACTACGTCCACCAAGTCCAGTACGTGCTCCAGCTGATCGAGTCCCAGGAGCTGATCTCTCGAACAAGCGAGTTTGCTCGAGTCTTCGGAGTGGATTTTTTCAGTGTCATCTCTCGTGGATCGCAGTACAAGGTCGAGTCGTTAATGATCCGCCTGTCCAAACCAGAGAACTATATCATGATCTCTCCGAGCCGAGCTCAAGTGGGCGCTCAGAGGGCAGCAGAGGCGATCCCAATGGTCATGGAGCCCGAATCTGGATTCTACGAGGACCCTGTTGTTGTCTTGGATTTCCAGAGTTTGTACCCGAGTGTCATGATTGCCTACAACTATTGTTATTCGACGTGCTTAGGCAAGCTTGGAGGAGGGACCAAACTGGGAGTCATGACGGATTATGTTGTTCAAGATGGGATCCTTCCTTTGATGCAGAATCACTTAAACAGTACGTATTTGTCTCCATTTACCATGTTTGTTGAACGCATGTCGAATGCGTGAGGCGTGGCTAACTTCTTTTTTGCTCCATGATATTTGCCGATAGTCGCGCCGAATCATGTTATGTATGTGAACCAGGAGATTCGGCAGAGTCTTTTGGCGAGAATGCTCTCAGAGATTTTGGACACTCGGATCATGGTCAAGAAGGCGATGAAGGAATACCCCAACAACAAGTCGCTTCTCAAACTGCTGGAGGCCCGTCAGCTGTCACTCAAACTAATCGCCAACGTCACATACGGTTACACCTGTGCCTCATTCTCTGGTCGGATGCCCGGTGTCGAGATTGCAGACTCGATCGTGCTCTCAGCGCGTGAGACCCTCGAGCGATCGATCCGGTACGTGAACGAGAACCCGAAATGGGATGCACGCGTTGTCTATGGTGACACAGACAGTATGTTTGTGCAGCTCAAGGGGCGGACGCGACAGGAAGCGTTTGAGATTGGATATGATATCTCGGAGACCATTACGCGGATGAACCCTCGACCGGTGAAACTCAAATTTGAGAAGGTCTATCATCCTTGCTTTTTGGTCACCAAGAAGCGGTATGTTGGGTCGTCGTATGAGACACCTGGGCAGGTTGAGCCGATCTTTGATGCCAAGGGTATTGAGACCATTCGTCGCGACGGTGTGCCTGCCGTCCAGAAAATCATGGAAACCTGTGTCAAGTAAGTCTTGTGTTTAATTTTGCTACTTCGCGTTTTTGCACATTTGAAATGTTGGGCAAGTTGTTGATCAATGGTCGTTTGTTTATTGTAACCTAATTATAGGACGATGTTTCGTACACAAGACTTGTCCCTTGTTAAGGCGTACTTGGTGCGTCAACTTGGCAAGATTCTTGGGGGACATGTTCCTGTCCCCGACTTAATGTTTGGCAAGGAAGTCAAACTTGGGAAATACAGGTAATGGCCATTTTCCGAGTCGCAGAGTTTTGTATAATGCTTCTTGCTTGGCCAGATTCTCACCATTGCCCTTCTACTTTCATGCTCTACTCTTCAGTGAGAAGGGAGTCCCGCCACCAGGTGCGGTTGTGTCGGAGAGGAGGATGGAGCTGGACCCTCGGTCAAAGCCCCAGTACGCTGAACGCGTTCCCTATGTGGTTGTCTATGGCGACCCCAGCGCCCGATTGACGGATCAAATCGTAGAACCTAAAGAGCTCCTCAGGAACAAGGACCTCCGACTGAACGGCGAATACTACATCAGGAAGCATATCATTCCTTCGTTGGAGAGAATTCTGCAGCTCGCTGGTGCGGATGTCAAGGCTTGGTATGATGAGATGCCGAGAGTTCAAAGAGCCATTCCCATGACCGCGCTAGGAGTTGGTGCACCATCGTCGGCGGCTAATGTCGTTCCGAACGAGCAGACAGCCGCTGTGATGGCGGCTCAGCATCACCAGGCCGCCGCTGAGGTTAACCTTGGTGACGCAGCCGGTCAAGAAGTCGTCCCTCCTTCTGGATCTGAAGCTGGAACAACGAATGCATCAGGAGCCGGCCATGATGTAGCAATCGGGCCGTCATTTGGACCTATGGCACCTTTGGGACCTCCAAAGTTTAAGCCTAAGCGACGACGTGGTGGCAAAGGGTTCGTCTCCGTTGGATCGCGAATTGATCGATACTACCAGAGTCAGTCATGTATTGTCTGTGGCAAACTCGTGGTTGGCAAGAAGTCTGGTTCAGGTAACTTTTTTTTTTTTCGTTTCAACGCGCATCTGATTATTATTTTTTTTGGCGACGGGTTTGCGTTTAAGCTTCGAGACTGACCCCAAGGCATGAATTGTGTGTTGTGAAAAAGTAGATGTGTGCACGGACTGTTCGAGTGACTATGGTCGAGCCAACTCTATCTTTGCGATGCAGACTCGATTGTCGAACGCCGAAAAGTTGTTCCGCGCAGCGGTGGATGTCTGCAGTTCCTGCTGTCGTGCTGCGCCCTCTGGTGGAGCTGGCGTCAGAGTTGGTGGAGGAAAAGGATCGTCATCGTCGTCGAAGGGTGGAGCCGCTGTTGTTGGCGTGGGGTATCCAGGTGGTGATGTGATAGGGACGGAAGTGGTGGCGTGTGAGAGCTTGGAGTGCACGGTGTTTTGGCAGAGACGGAGAGCACAGGATGCGGTTGTTGTTGCTCATCAGCAGAACGAGAGGGTGCTGCGTGAGTTGGAGGAGCTGGAATTTTGAGATCGGGGGCGAGTAGCAAGAGGCAGAGAAGGGTTTGATTGAGAACTCAAGTAAAACTTATTATTCTTAGGGACCCTTGGCCCCCCCCCCCCCCCACTTTCTCATAAACAATGACACTCGAGCGGCAAAGTTTGTTGGAATGTTTATGATGAACAGAAGCATTTATAATAAGAAAGGCATACGTGAGAAAATGATGCACCCGGAGAAAGGCAGACTGGTGCCAAAGGGAACGGATGATTACAGAGAGCAGACTTGTTCCATTGAATGCAAAGCATTTCCGCAAGTGAGATCAGGAGTTAAATATCTTAACACCCTTTTAGTGCACTCCACTGACGCTGGTTGTGTATGTTGAGGGCCTTATATCATTCTCTTTAGAGTTGAAAGGCTCTGGCACACGCCGGCCCTCGGCTTCCCTTCATCATATTAAACTCCGCCAGGCTCAGCGAGAAAAGACAAAGTAGTGAATATCTCGCAGATCTGCGATCTCCCGATCAATATATTTGAAAATGGTCATGGCGCTACTCTACGGAGAGCTACGATTATTTTTTTTGTTGGAAGCAGTGTATGTCCAAATCTTGTTTGTTATTTTCCTCGGGGTCGAAAACAAAGTCCGTGGACTTTGTGGAGATCGTCTACAATGGGGGGGGGGGTTTGCATGGATTTTCTTGAACAGACCTCTAACGCCGTTTTTTGATGGAGGATGAGGTTACTATTCATCGTGCACAAGTAGTCAAAGACATGGAGGGAGAAGCAATTGCTAGAGACATTCAAGTGGCCGGCTCAGTTCCAGATCTCAACCCCCCCCCACCACCAACATGATCACGGCCCTGAACGAGGAATGGAAAAATATCTCCAAGGGTTACCTCGACAAACTCATCAATACCATGCCCGAGAGAATGAAAGCAGTTATTAAGAATAAAGGTGGCTCTACACCGATTCTGGGTTTTGACGCAATAGAACTGGTACTGCCCATCGCAGAGGTGGAGCAGGTACTGCTCGTCGCAGAGGTAGAACAGGTACTGGTCGTCGTGTTGGAGAGAAGCGGCAGATGCTGTTTTCCAGTGCTATGAGCCGTCCGCGTTGATTGGTTGAAGATATATTGGCCTCTCCTGGTTCAGCAAACACTCCAATACGAATGCTTGACATGTTTTCAGCCGCCATCGCGTCCAAGTGATAGTACCCGGCTACAAAGGGAAACAGTAGAGACTCCGGAATGTTACCTGGGTTACGTACGAATTGCTCGAACCTGGGGCACTTTTTTGAAGTATTACATTCGTTTAACCGATCACCACAAGGCCTAAAGCGCGAGCCTACAAATTGTATATTAATAGCTTTCTGTTTGAAACAAAAAAAAAATGTTTCGAATATGACGCGACGCGATCAAAGAGCTTCATTTTTCGCGCGACGCTTATTATTTTTGATACACACCTACTCCTTCTTACAGAGAATAGTGGTTAATAATTATGGTGAAAGAATGAGCGAACTAAAGAAAGAAACGTATATTAGGGTTATTTGAATACCGTATAAAAAGAACTCAATACAACATCTTAGCCTTCGCCCTCGCAGCCAACAATTTTTCAACTTCATGCGTCGCCGGGTGCAGTCCGTCATCTCTCGCGGCCTTGACGGTATAATGTCTCAACAGCGCGTCGCGTCTCACAAAGGGGCGATGACAGAAATCACAGGGCCAGGTCATTTCCTGGTGTTTGGAGGCCTGGTGTCGTTTGAGGTCATGGATCCGGCCAAAGGATTCGCCGGGACAGAGTTCACAGCGGAAGGTCATTGCATCTGTGGCGGGGTTGTAGACCATGATGGCTCCTTCGTCGTTCTTGACAACCGTCATGCCCTCGGTTCCTGGGAGTGGTTGGAGCCTTTGGAGTTGTTGGTGGGCAGAGGAAGGGGCAGGCACTATTTGACTGTGGACGCGATCACCACCTATAGTAGAGGGTGTGGGAAGACGAGGCGCGAGAGAGCAGGCCGCCGAGTTGGATGACGACGAACCTGACGACCCACTGTTGGAAGACAACGAACCTGACGTTCCACTGTTGGAAGACGACGAACCTGACGACCCACTGTTGGAAGACCGATCAGATGAGGCAGATGATTCGGATTCCATAGGCTGGCGCTGAGAGAACGCGAGGGACGACAGCTTTGGCTGTTCGAGTCCAAGACCGGTTGAGCCAGAACGATGTCCGTGTTGAGGGTACGAGTGTCGGTATGACTGAGGGTGCTGTTGATTAGACTGCTGCTGTTGTTGAGGTCGACCTATCTGGGGCAATCGGTTCTCGAGCTCGTATTGCGACAGAGAAGACGTAAGCGGGAGTGACATTTGCTGTGGATACTGGTGTCGATGTTGTGTCTGCTGCTCCTGGCGTTGGTTCTGCTGCTGTTGGGACTGATAAGAGTGGTAATGCTGACGCCTATCAGACTGGTACTCCCTCAAGGACCCAAAAGAGGCGCGGTTGGCAAGGGTGGTGGTCGCATGAACAGGAGGAGAAGGAGAAGGAGGGGACGGAGGGGCCGAGTGCTCTCTATCGGAGACATGGGATAAACGAGGGGCCGGGGGTGAAGAGCTGGCCGATCGACCGTTGTTGTTGGTGTTGTCGATAGGCGAAGGCGGATGACGCTCATAAAGCATCCTCTGGGCTTTGCTTCGATATTCATAGGATACGTTGTCCTCTGAGACGTCAATTGGGCGTTTTGTTGTAGGGGAAGGTGGCTGTGTATGTTGATATTGTTGTGCTGCTGAAGAAAAAAGAGATGAAGTGGATGCTACTGTTGTTGTTGTTGAATGTAGAGAAGGAGGCGGAAGAGAACGACCGCTGCTACCGGACGCCAATTTCTCTCTTGACGAGGACGATAATGCAAAAGGAAGAGAGCGAGAGGGCGCATGCGTGGTGTTGTTACTGGCAGAGTTTACTGTTGTTGCTGCCCCTGCTGATGCGGCTGCTGTTGATTGGCGAAGAGGTGGAAGACATGAGGATGAGGCGGTGATTGTGGGGGAGGAAGTGGAAGTGGAAGGCAAGAGGGAAGAATGTTGTGGTGGTGAACTTGTTGCATTGTTGGGGCTATTAGGAACAGGGTTGATAGTGTGTGAAGATTGTTGTTGCTTGCGTGGTGGATAGAGATTAGCCATTCGTCTTGTTAAAGAGATCGACGAGAACGACAACGACGGTAATGGGAGTGCTGCAGATGACAACAGGGCAGAGGGTGAAGGTAATACTGGTGCTGATACTGTCGCTGTCGTTGAATAGTCTGTGGACCCGGAACCTCGGCGGCGGGAGAGACGATTCCAATTGTCTGAAGTAGGTGATGGTGGTTGGATCATGTGCTCTTCTCGCCGTTGTTGCTGCTGCTCCCCGTCGAGACCATGGTCGTATTCACGTTTGCGATCATTGTGTTGCTGCTGCTGGTCATGTTGCTCCCAACGCTGTGGCTGCCAGTGTCGCTGACTGCTGCGAGGATGCTGTTCGTGTGACAGAGAAGTGTGGGTGTATTGATCATCAAACGGCTGCTCCTGCTTCAATTGATGGTCTCCTTCTTTCTCAACCTTTAACTCTTGCTGGTCCTCTTCCTCAGACTCCCTCCGATAACGGTTATGCTTCTGAAGAGACGGGTGTTGTTGGTATGGGGAAGTTTCCTGGACTGGAACAGAGTAAGCTGAACTACACATGACAGGGGAGGGCGAATTGGTATGTTGGGATGAGGATGTTGACCACTCCCGCTGTGGTTCGCATTGATCCATCATCGAGTCGTACGAAAGCTCCTCCATATCATATTCCTGTTTCATCACCTCTGCCATCTCATCTCCCCTTTGTGACGCAGAATGGCCGCGAGAGGTATGGTGAAGCATCGTTGCTTCCGATTCCAGACCAGGAGACAGAGATACATTCCTCGAGGAAGAGGACGAGGACGATGAGGACGAGGACGATGAGGACGAGGACGGAGAAAAGGAGCGATAGGCCGATGATGCGCGAGGGGGAGTTGTCGTCGCCGTCGTCGTCGAAATTGGAGGTGGTGCGAAGGAGTAAGGGTGAGAACGAGGGCGGTGTGGTGACATGGGCGAGACCATGTTGGCGATGGTCGGATGGATGGTGGAGCTCCGATTTCTAGGGCGAGAGAGATCGACTTGCCTATGCGACCGCGCGCGATGTTGGAGATGGTGGAGAGGGCCTTGTCCCACAGAGTAATGACGTTCGTGTTCGTCCTCTTGGTGACATATGCGCTTTTGGGGGGCCTGTGCCTCGGGGGCGAATTGTGGGCCCAATCGGCCGTGCTCGTGTTCTGGGAGTTGGCGTTGGTGTACGAATTGGCGGTGCTCGTGTCGCTGGGGCTGCTGTTGAGGAGGAGGGAGTTGGTAGTGATCCTGGCTGTTGCCGCTTTGGACCTTGTTGTGAGCCAGCATTGTCTATTATTTTTAAGTTATGGGCGATGGCTGTGTGAGTTAAAGTAGAGGGGAGAAATGGAGGATGTTCGAAATGCGGGAAGTGGTTACGGAAGAAAAAAGGAAAACTGAACGAGGAGGGAAAGAGGGGGAGGAGGAGGAGGGTTGACAAGTAGGGTGGTAGGATTGGATTAGGGTGAGAGGTAAGAGGATGAGAGAGGGAGAGAGAAAGAGAGTGAAGAGGAAAATAATAAAGGGAAACACACAAAAGGAAGTGGTGTCAGCCGAATGCGATGAGATAGTGGATGTGGTTGAAATTTTTTCACACGGCAAGGGCAAAAGTTATACAGTGGAACGAAAGTAAGAAGAATAGAGAAGAGAGAAGAGAGGAGGAAAGAAAGAAAACGAAGAAGAGAAAAGAAAGAACGAAGGCGACAGTAGAAAAAGAAAAGAAGAATACAAAAAAAAAGAGACGTGAACGGGAAGAAAGAAAAAAGGCGAGGGAAGGGAATCGGGGGGAGGGAAGGAAGGAAAGTAGAAAGTGTGGCAATGAGAATGGGACGGACAAGATATAGTTTTGGATGCTTACCTGTATGCTTGTTTGTTGTATGTGGGTGGATGGTAAGTGTGAGTAACTGTTGAGGGTGGAGTATGTGTGTTCGAATGCAAGTGTGTCGGAGGGGTGGTGATGTGGCCAAGGGGGTCCGCAAAGAAGGAGAGGCAAGGAAGATAGAGGAGGGAAGAAGAAGAACAAGAAGGAAGATGAAATGTGAAGAAGCAGAAGCGCCGACGGTTATGTTGTTTGTTGTTGATGAATGTTGAGATGTGTATTACGTCGATAAAGGTGAGTTTATGCCCTTTTGCTGTTGACGATGATGCTTCTTGAAAAGGTAAGGTTCGCCTCCTGACTAGAATGTGCGGCTAGTTTGTTGGATTATCTGACCGTCAGTCTGTCGGTCTGTCTCGTTCTGTCGTTCTGCCTGTGTGTGTATGTATGGCTGTCTGTGTCTCTGTCTCTCTCTTTCTGTCTCTGCATGTGTTGAGGAGAAAAGGAGATATGCGGGCTGCAAGATGGGGATTGCGAGGGGTGGAAGAAGAAGAAGAAGAAGGAAAGAAGAGGGGACTGATTTGAAAAGGGGACCAATGGGGAAGGAACAGAGACAAGGATGCAGCGGAGGATAGGTCGAAAAAGGGATAAGAACAGGTGAAGAAGGTTGCCGGGGGGAGCAGAAAGAAAAGAGGAAGGAGGGCAGGGTTGAACGCGAATTGGATCAGAGAGGAGAAGAAGGAGGCAGGAGGTGGTGGTGGTTGGAAAGGGGCACAGGAAGGGAAGAATGTGAAGTACAAGGCGTGAGATGGGTATAAAGTACAGGGAATAAATAGATGCGATGCAAGGGGATACAGGTAAAATGGGAATAGAAAAGTGAAAAAGACTACAGTGGATGACTAGAAAGAGGCAAGGGAAGAAAAGAAGGGCGAAAAAGAAAGAGAGAAAGGAGTGAAGGGAGGCAAAGCAACTTTTATACTGTGCTTTGCCACCAAAAAAGAAAAGAGGATTCGGTGAAGGGGTGCTCTTTGCCACTGAATAGATCGCTCATTTTCTGATCGGATGTAGGAACAAACAAATGATCGCATACTTGGTCACCAAGAAAAAAACCAAGTTGATCATGATCACATAAAAAGGGAGGAATGAACTGAATACAATTGCACATGGGTCAAGGAGAGGCGAAAGTGAGAGAAAAAAAGCGATGTCGAGAAGGTAAGGGATCAGGGGAGGTACTCAAAGGGACCAGTAAGCAGGAGTGCATATCAGGGCAAAGGTCAATCTTTGTCACTTAGTTGCGACTGACGTATACCACAGAGATAGTACAACAGCAGTTGACGACAAACAGTAAGACGATAACGAGGCGATGACTTAAGGGCATGTACGTGCAGTACTGTGTGCATCGCCATCCCAGGAGAAAGGAAGGTGGTATTTGCCAGGGATCGATTGAGCAAAAATAACTTTTTAGCCTCTGGTGAAGAGAGTGAGGGAGAGTCCTATCTTCTCACAGTGTGTCCTTCACCAGGGTGGACAGTACCATTCAATCCACCCATGCTGATATTCTCTGCAGCCCATCCCTACCCTCTGAATGAGTGCAAACGGGAATCTTTCAATTCTCCCCTCACCAGCTGGTTCGGTCAATTTATCACGCCCCTGTCCCTTTTTTAGTTGTGTAACCACAATGCCTTGGTTGACTCTATTCGTCTTTCGTTTGACCCCTTCTGTTAACCATACTTCCGAGGCGGCGTGACCTGGAACTGCGCTGTCCCTGGGCTGGAAGTAGAGTGGCCAACTGTTGCTCGAGCAGGTGTCCTCAGATGGCAGTTCAGATGTTGTGGCCAGTCATGATGTCGCGGTGCATATACTTTTGACACTTTGCGCAGTAAAGTCAGCGGAGGTCAACTTGGCCAATGAGCTCTCCACAAGTCGGGCGTTTCTTGTTGCACTCACTGACCCCGACAACAAGATATCGGGCCTGAAAATAAGGGTATCTCTTCTAACGGCAAGAGCAAACAATTGGAAAAAAAAACACGAGTGGAAAGAACTCATGCAAAGATTACCTGATCTTGAAACCAAGACCCAAGCCAATAACGACCTTGCTATCCTCCTCCCTCTTGATCCCAGTCGATGATCCGACAAGAGAAACGGTCTGCAATTAATATGCGCTCCTTTGCTCGGGCCATTCTAGCGTTCCAAAGTGTGCTTCCTCAGGACCACGTTGCAACTGGACGAATCGAGATCGGCTACCACTTCCTGCTCTCTCCGTGTGTAGTTGCCGATTCTCGCCTGTGGGCCATGGTAAGGAGTTAAACTGGCCTCGATATGGCTCATGGAAGCTCTCCCCTCAACTGCTTGGTCTTTGCTATACTCCAACCATTGTCTGTGCTTGAAGTAGACTGGTAGAGCGCCTTCTGCTTGACAGCCAGATTGAAGAACTTGGGAAAAGATTCTTCAGCCTCTTCATCCTCCTTTGCTGCTTCAACGCCAACAGCGATAACTCCATGGTAGTGGTGCCAGATTCTTGTCCTTGTTCGACATTCGGCTGCCTGCGAAGAAGTAGAATCGCACTCGCTCCGATTACAAACGCTTGGCCCAGGTCAATGACAAGGAATGATACTCTTGGGATTGCAACCTCAGAGCTGGGCTATATTCCGCTTAGTCAAAACGATATTACTGATTTTCGTCGAATAATAATCCGTCCTACCAACGGTGGTTGTTAGTCGAGAAGGCGGCTTCTCCTCGGGTGGTAGTATGTACTTGATCGAGTGGAGCTCATTTAACGCACTTGCCAGTAATATGACGATAGTTGGATACAGCGAATAGGAATCCAGGAATACAGGAATCAAAACTCGCCATCTCATACAATACAAAATACTCCATGAAAGCACACGTCAAAAACAGATGCAAACAAGATGATCGGGATATCTCTCCGTTCTACTTCTCTGCTCCCCATGTCTCCGGACCTGACATTGTATTTTATGTCAGGATCAATGATAACATTTACCCCTACTTTATCCAGAAATTACGGCTGGTTCTCGATGGCAGTGACGTCTAGAAAGCGCTCGCAACAGTCAGTAGCCAAGCCATGCAACTCACGATGGGCAAAGAGCTGAAAGCACTTTTGTCTTACTGGAGTCTATCAGTATTATCCTGTCAAATTTCAGATTGTCTGACTTGACCCAGAGCCCGCACTGGAGGGCCTTCAGCTTCAACATCAATGAACACAATTTTCTACAAATCTGCCCTCATCGACGCTTCAGGTTCCTCGACAAACTGAAGGGATACAAGCGAACAGCTGAGGAGCTGCAGACCTCGAAGCGTTCAAAGAAGGTGAAAGTGGTTATCAGTAGATCAATCACAGATTCATTCTCACAAGATGACTGACTGATTTTCGTGCCGTTCCTAAATTTACCACATGTAGAAATAAGCTCTTGTGATATCGCAATTTTTTATTCTGTTCTTGAAAGGCGTTGCCTCCAGACAGTGTAAATCATAGCGAACTGCTATCCTTTGGCTATCCGAGTCGATCATGTTTTGTCACAGAGTGTTGTTGTCATTGCTCTTGTTATTACAAAGAGCTGTTGCTGTTGTTGTTGTTACAAAGAGCTGTTGCTGTTGTTGTTGTTACAAAGAGCTGTTGCTGTTGTTGTTGTTACAAAGAGCTGTTGCTGTTGTTGTTGTTACAAAGAGCTGTTGCTGTTGTTGTTGTTACAAAGAGCTGTTGCTGGTGTTGCTGTTGTTACAAAGAGCTGTTGCTGGTGTTGCTGTTGTTACAAAGAGCTGTTGCTGGTGTTGCTGTTACAAGAGCTGTTGTTGCCGTTGTTCTTGTCGTTATTGTTGTTATTACAAAGAGCTGTTACTGTTGTTGTTGCTACAAAGAGCTGTTGTTGTCGTTGTTGTTACGGGTGTTGTTCACGCGGCGAGTCGCGGAGACGAGTCGAGCTTATCGCCATCAAAATTCCACAAAAGTACGTGGCGAGATCCAACCACAACAAGAAGAATCGGCGTGATCGTATAGCCGTCCTTTTTCCACCTCTCAATCTCTGGGCTCTGCGCGTACTCCCGAAGCTGTTGCTCGGGGGAACACCCCTTACCAACTTTAGGTCTATCTAGAACCCATTTCTTGATGGTCTGATCAGTTCGAAATTTGTCACTCCTGAACTTCAGATCCAAGATCTCATTGGCATCGCGAATCTCCGCGAGGGCATTGGCCCTTTCCGACTGTGTTCCAGATCCAATCTTGATATAGTCGATTTGGATGGACTTCCATTCGAGAACCAACAGCTGCTTTCGCAACGGAACGGATACCAACATGTCGATTCGGCCTGGCGTTCCCGAGGGCTATTGCGGAAATTGAGAAAGCAATTGTTACTACTCTAAAGAACACTCATACCAGGGATATCACGAAATAATATTAATCGTTCATACCTTGGTAATGGTCGTCTCGACGACGACCTTCCGAAGGGACGGGTGGATATTACCCAGTAGGGTGAAACGCAAGGAGCTACAGTGATCCTCTTCCTTTTGGAAATCATGAGTTCCGACATCGTGTTCCTGCATACCGCGGGCGTATAGTCCGAGGATTCTGTCGATGTTTCCGTCGTCGATGAGTAGCCTAAACGCGCCATTCACATCCTCCAGAGTTGCTTGATGCCTGTGTAGAATAGCGCTCCCAAGTCGCGCTGCAACCACCAAGCTTGGAATCCGTATTGCTTTCTTGCCGACACAAAACATCAGTCCACCAATGTGTACCATGTACGACAACCACGCCGCCCTGCTTCTGGCAAGCTCACCAGACTGCAGTACACAAGGATAAAAATAAAAACGGGGTTATTTACTGAATGAATAGAAGCATGAAAACAACAGCAACAGCAATTTGAGAGTTATCTCGAGCATTACCAGGCTTGCGAGAGTAAATGCTTGCACGATTCTGTCATAAGGGATCACTCTTTCTTCCACATTCTTACCTTGCTCGCTTTCGCTGAGGAGTCCGTCCTCTAACAACTGCGTCGCCACTGGCGATGCCGCAAGTAGCCGCAGTGATACTTCCGAGGCCTCAGAGTTGGTGAATGAGAGAGGATCCTTCATCGGCTTTCCTATCTCGAGGTTCTATAAACACAATCATAAATTGCAGATAAAGTGGCATGTATGTGAGTAGACGTTGGTATCAAGTGCTGAAGTTCACTTCTACATGCCGTGAAAGAATCTCACCTGCAAGTACTCGAGGCATGTGTTTGTGTTATATGTCAAAGACCCCTGTCCGTCAGGAACGAAATTGAAGTCGTTATAATGATCCCTCATGATCTTCAAATGCTTCTCTGCTTCGGCAGTGGAATCGCAGACACTCTTCAGTGCCAGCGCAGCAGCGACATCCGCTTCCGTCAACCCACAAAACCCCGCGAGCTCTGGTTCCCAGGATACATATCGAGCCACGTTGAATCCAGACGTGTTGTCCGCAAAAGATTGCGGCAAGACACCTGTCATATAGCACTTGGCGATCTTGCGATAGCCCAGCCCACTCTTCACACACGCCCAGAATCCCTTCAGCAGGCTGTCTGTGTCGTCCTGTCGTGGCGGTTTCCATTGAACACTATCGATGGGGACAAGGCACTTATTGATGTAGCTGTCATATTCGTCCACCATAAGGTAAATCTAACAGTGATAAGATAGTCAGTTAGTTGTTGTCATAAGGAGCTTGCGATCACAAAAAACGGAGATATCTCCATCTGCACATACTCCCTTGATCATTGAAAGGGGGTCCTCGGGACTCTTGACTCTGGTGAGTATCCTATGCACAAGATTCACGCATGCTCTCATACTTGACGTGGCATCGTCCTTGATGTATTTCTCAATGAGATAATCGACCGACATTCGGAGATATGGTTCATAAGTCCGGTAGAACTCTGCAATCGACTCGTTCAACATCAGGTTCAAGCTGTCCTCGGCCTCTCTTGGTCCCGAGATCGATGGACTGTAGAGAAATCAAACCGCAGGACAAAGTAGCGCCCTGGATTCAGACGCTCCTTTTTCACGTGCTCGTGGATGGCAAAATCCTACAAGCAAGGACAGGTGGGGTTCAATAGGCATGCGAGATAACACTTTGAGCAAATAACTACGATCGGTAAACAAGTCAAAAATATCACTTACCTCAAAGAGGGGTTCATAGTCTGGAAGGTGTTCACGACCATGGAAGTGTGCCAATGTGCTCAATCCGAGCGACTTTCCCGACCTGCGGGGACGAAGGAAGACACGAACTGATCCCGGGAGGGACTCGAGGGCCAAGATGAAGGCGGTTTTGTCAAAGAAACAGAGGTCCGGGGTTTGACGCAGTGTTTTGAAATCGTTTACATCATGGTCAGGAAAGCTTTTGAACGTGTCCTGATTCCAGACAAGGTCCCCGGAGCGACTGTTGTATTGGACGACATTTAGCGGGCTGCGCACGAAACCTAGAAAGACGACGTGGTTAGTTAGCAAAATGTATGCTTAATATTGTTCCGAAACTAAAAAAGACAAGCATGGTAACAAGGTATTACTTAAAGGTCGGACAATCACTTGAACGGTGTTCGTTTCCACAAACATGCCACGCAGAGAGCTAGTGGCCTTAATCTCGTCTTTCGCTCCGACAGTGACGCATGGCTCTGTGTGCCATCCTACTTCTTTGAGGGCTTTGTACAGCGAGAGGGTGTTGGCAGGAGGGAGGGGGTGAATCGACTCCGCTTTGATCTTCCTCTGGATATCGGAAATTTTATCGCTTTTCTTCAATATCCACCTGAAAAGGCTCTCCGGTGCCTTCGATCGCGCAAAGAACTGTGAGCTTGCGCGACTGGAGCTATTAGGCGCAGCCAAGGAATTAGTCTCATGGGAACTTCATGCAAATGAATTTGTATAAATGAATGCGATTATAAATGAGTGCGATTATGAATGAATGCGATTATGAATGCGATTATAAATGAAAGCGACTGAACTGAGAAATGCTTGCCTGAGAATGGAGATGTCTGAGGTGAGACCCGGAGAGAGTACGGACTCCTTGCGCACGAAGTAATCCGGCAGACAACATTGTTCCAAGGAGTACAGAGAACGTGTGACGAAGGAAAGGAATGAAGCGCTACATGCATACATGTACAGGTTGAAAATAACGCGATTTTTCGCGACCTCATTTTTCCTTCATACCGCAGCATGTACGATCAAGAAAATACCTGCAACACTTGCCAATGTGCATGCAGATGGTTTGTTTTTATTCCTTTTTCTTGTCTTCCCTTTCCTATACACCTCCTCACTCCAAAGAAAACTACCGGTATCTCTACTCAAGGTCAATGGAGTATGGCAACAACTTTAGCGCGGCCCGGGCAAGATAGGCAAACGTGCCCTCCTTACCCTCCTGCGGCAGATCGTAGAACATGCGACGCGCAAGGTGCTCATGGTGCTCAAACCCAACCTCACCAAAAGACGCCGCCGCCGGTCTCGCTGCGCTGCTGCCAACTGTCGCCACAGGAATACTTCCCTTCGACGAAGGAGGACCAGCTGGAGTAATCGACGATGATGAAGGTGTTGTTGTTGTCGCGGTTGTTGCTGCTGACGAAGAAGAAGATCCAGGAACTCCTCCAGGAATACCCTGTCCGCGCCCACCTGGCCCATTAACAACCCACTTGACCCAGAACTTATTCATCGCCTCCCGCATAATAATCGGCAAATCAATTTCCTCAGGCTGCACCTCCATTCCGGGGTTCCGGTCCTCAATCTTGGCAATCACTATCAATGTCTCCACCGCAATCTGACGCTCGGCAGGGTCCAGGATAACTCCCAAGAAGTTCTCGACCGCAAGCGCAAAGTTGAACTCCTCGGGCGTCTTCTCAGACACAATGGGGTCGCGAGGGAGGACGTTCGATCCGATGCGGAATCCGGCAGATCGGGAGAGGATACGCCATACACGAGGGTAGAACTTGTCTGGGACACGGTTGAGAGATCCATCGTTCTTGCGGCGCCGCAGCCAGCGACCTGAAGAGTTGGGGACGAACGCAGCGATCGCTGAAGGGGATGGGAAGGAGTCCTGGACGTTGGCCTTGGCCTTGTACTGATTCAGGTCGATTGTCTTCTCGATGGCTGCTGTTGGGCCATCCATGAACGTCTTGTGTGCTTCAATCGCAGTGCCGGGTTCAGCACCTATGTAGAGAGATATTCACATATATGGTGATAAATGTCAGCATGAATCGCGAAGTTAGCAAGGGCGATGCGCTCTTGTGCAACAATAGTGATAGAAGGAGAAACGAATAAAAGTAGAAGACAAAATACTCAAAATACACAAACGTACCTTTCTCGCCAATCATGCACCAAGAGTCGCGGTACTTGATCTCCCCAATGAGCTCACTTCCAAGCTGCTTCAGCGCAAGCCTTGCAGCGCTAGTCAGATGTTCAAAGCAATCATCCTTAGAGCTGCAGATGACAATCATGCCAGGCTGCAACCAATCGACCAACCGGGCCAAGTCATCGCTCTCGTCCTCCGAGATATGTGTATCGAACGTGACCGACTCGATCAAGACGCCCTGGACGGGGTCGATTGCGACCATGTTGATTCCACGAGAAGACACCGACATGGTGCTTTCGTTGATCAGGATCTTGGAGAAGCTTCCAGAATGGTAACCGCCAGACTGGACTTTGATGTTGACGGTGCTGGAGCCCTTGCCCATGTTGGGGAGCTCGACTGCGCCAATAGAGATCGATGGCCCAGACGAGGCAATGCCCATAGCAAAATCGCCACCCTCAGCAATGGAGCCACCGCTGTTCAAGGGACGACGACCCGACATTGTGGGGCTCAGGCGACCAGAGATGGATTGGTTGCGGAGCAACGTGTTGGTAGCGTTGGCGCTCAGTGTGGGACCCGACAAAACGGTACCGAGAAGAGACTTGAGCTCAAAAGGCGAGAGCTGCATCAAATGCTCGACAGCATCCGTCTCATCACAGCTGTTGAGGCGCGAGATCTCCTCACGAAGCGCAATGATCAAGAAATGAGTCCGTAGACGCATGATACCCTCAAACATCTCTGGGTCAGCTCTAATGAACGAGCCCAGGTAGATCAAGACCTCTTGGACGACAGGGCCTTCGCGAACATCGTCAAAGTTGCCGTCGTAGATCATCTGGCTGAGGACATCGGGTCCAAGGGGGGTGGTAATAAAGTGCTCGGTCTCTCCTGATCCGATGGTGATCTGCTTCTGGCGAATGACCAAGTCGGTGATGTTGATCGTGAGCGAGTTGACGACTTTGTTGAGTAATCCAGCTGCCTGGCGAACGATCGACCAAAGCTTGAGCTGAAGCGACTTGAAGTAGACCTCTTCCAACAAAGTCTGGACCGTGACATCCAGGTTGTTGACAAAGTAGTCTGCACCTTGGCACGAAAGCAAGTATTGCAACAGATCTATGTCCGGTAATAAATAAAAAGCTTAATTAATATTCTTGACTCAAAATAAGTTCTTTGAACATTTGGTTCACCAGAAAAAAAGAGCCTACCGATTTGGTCATAGAGGTTGACAGAGATAGACAGCATGTTCTGCGCTGCCTCCATGCTCGATGGGTCGCCTAGAGTCAAACCCAAGCTGTCCATGTTGCCGTCAGGCGAGCTCTCGTCCGAATCATCATCGTCGTCATTCTCCAATGAGGTAGCATCGCCAGTGGGTGCCTCAGAGATCTCCAACGTGTTGAGGTCTGGGGTCCAGACACCCAATCCAGCACCGCTACCTTTGCGACTCGTCCTGGGCTCTTCGTGGTCCTTGAGTTTGAAGGCCTTCTTCTTGTGACGCTTTCCAGACGAATAGGGTTCCGAGGGTTCAGCAGCTGCAATGTGAGAAGAAATGGCAAACCCTTCGGAAGGGGCGCGAGTATGCGATCCGAAGTAGTTGTCACTATCGAGCTCGGTGTTAACGGCAGGCGTGGTTAGCGAAGCAAGAGAGAATCCAGTTCCAAAGGTCGAGGACTGACGACGCATAGACCAGCGGTGGTTTCCAGGTGTCCTGTTGCCAGGTCCTCCAGGCGTGGCTGCCTGGGTCTGCTTCTCATTGAGTCCTAGCTTCCTGGCGTTGCGACCCTTGCGACGATCAGCAGCACCGCGGAGAATACCCAGCCAGTCGATATCCTTCTTGGTGACCAAAAAATCGAGAGACTCGATACAGGAGGTGTTGACCATCTCGCTTAGTCTTCCGAGACGCACGCGGACATTGTTGACAACACCGCTTCGGAGAGTCATGAAGAAGTTGAGAAGGTTACGCTTGTTGTCCTTTTGAGGGTTGGAGCCAAGGGAAGTCTTCCTCCAGGTGGTCAGACGTTGAGCCTCGGCATCGTTCTGTGAGGAGAATGCACGGGACTTGGAGAGACCGCCAAGCATAGCGTGGGTGAGGAGGACAACCATAGTAGGTCTACCAGGGTACTCCCAGTACTGACGGACAAAGGCGAGCTCCTGTTCAAAGATTGAGATCAGATAGTCGTTGTCACTAGTGAGGTAAAACTCTTCGTTGTCCATGAAGTGAGGTGTGAACGCATAGAGATGACCCTGGACACGGTACAGACGCGAGGTTCCGAGAGATCCAACAGGACGCTTGGGTCGACCAGATAGTCCCAACTTGGCGTTCCTTCCGAGGGCACTGTAGACCTCCTTGAGACCTTGAGGGTGACTGACGGTGATAGGGTGGACTTGCTCCATGGTCTGGGTCTCGAGTCCGTACATGCTCAACATGCTCTGCAGGTTGGTATCCTCGGCCAATAGGACGACTTGGACGACGGTATCGCTCGACTGGGTCTTGCGAGCGTTGAATCGTCTGCCGAGGGGATCGATCTCAGCGACGCTGAGAAGGTTCTCATAAATCAAGTTGCCGAGGGTGTGAAGGGAGTTGGCCCAGACCAAGGGGAGGTTGTCGTTGGCCATGCGGGCTTGGGAGTGGTTGTTCTTCTTCTCGGCCTCGACCAGATGATGAGGTACATAGTACAACTCTGGGATGAGAGGAATGTGCTCTGGCAGCTTGCTCTCGCTGTGGATGCTGCCTGGGGTGCCGAAACTTGGAGAGGTGGGAGTCTTAAGACCACGCCCATCATCACTCTCGGACATCGAGTCAGGGATGAACTGACCAAAGTCGATCAAGGTGGCAGAGTCAATGATCAGGGGCTCCAGCTTGGCGCGGTACTCCTCAACTTGATGCTCGTTGTCGCTGAAGAGACCATCTAGGATGAAATATGTGAAAAACAGGGGCCACTCACACTCGATATCCTCAAAGATCTTGAGTTCGTGGGCGTCGTAGTGGAGGCGGCTGTTGTTCTCAAGTACAGTCTGATGACCATCACGCAGGAAACGCTTGCATCCATATTTGCCTCCCAGCTTCTCTATGATCTCATCCCTCGTCTTCTTCACCAGCTTGGCGTCTCCGACAGCAAACGCAGGGAATCCAATGACCGAGAGCAAAGCGGCGTCAATTTCCTTCGAGTTGGATTCTCTGGGAAGTGCAGAATGCAGGGTGGTGTAGTTGCGTGTGATCTCGTCAGGCAGCACATGAATGACCTATTAGTGAAAGGCACTGTTAGAAATGGGATCTACTTTCAATTCAAATACGACTATAGGCATCCAGACAAACACTTACCGAACTGGGTCCACCTCGAGAGCCAAAGAGATTGATACCGTTGATGGCCTGGAGGGCAGCGACGGCCATACCGATCGAGGAAGAGTTCAGCTCGGGCTCACCATGGTTGATCTTGTTTCCACGCTCCCAAATACCATAATCGGGAGTACGATAGGCACGCTCGATGTAGAAGACCAAGTTCTGGATAAAGTCGACCTCGTCTGTAGTGTAGACGATCAGTATTCCAGAAGCGGTCATTTGAGCCAAGGCGAGGAGGAAGATGGACGTGGCATCGATCTGCAAGTGTCCCCACTCGGAATCTCCTACTACGGTGTCTCCTGTGGCGGTGTTGTATTTCGCGTGCAGACAGTCGTTCAAACCCTGAGTCTTCTTGAACTGCTCGATCTTGGGTGCCTGGCGCATCATACAGAAGAGGAGTCCACGCATCAGCTTGACCACAGAATGCTCGAGTTCATCTGTGAATAAGTCGTATACAAGTAAGAAGCAGCGCCATATTAAAATAAATAATCCAATCAAGATAGTGACCTTCCCTTCCTCCCCAACAGTTTCGCAAATCCCTTTTCTCACTCTTCTTTGTATCCCGTTGACAATTGTCAGTTTCGAAGGGAATAACAACCATCCTCGGTTTATGTTCCCTTGTTCGCAAACACGCACACGCAAAACGTACATCATCGCAAAAACATGCATGTGTACGTCAGGTCTAGAAAAAAAGGTCAAGGAGGCAATGACGACAGCCAGGCCTTCAATTTCACCAGCTTTTGTTCTTTTCCCCCTCCTACTTCTTCCTCATCAACACCACTCAATTGCCCTTTGGATCCCTCAACCTTGTTCCAAAGGAGAGAACGAGAAGGGGATACAATAATTGAACGTTTCCCACCTTCAATTGTACCGTGTGCGTATGTGTGTGTCATTGTGAAATGCGAATGGGCAACAGAACCTTGTCGCTATCATATCAAGTTATCATCCATCACCCGAAACTTCCTCTTCAAGGATCGACTAGAGTTAGATGCCAAACTTGAACAGCCCTCCCTCCCTCTTGTACTCCAATATGTGAAAAGTCCAGTCTAGATCAACTTACAAGCGCGACCCTCGTCGTCATCCACGCGGCGGTAGGCTAGAGCCAGGCCAAAGACAGCCATAATCGAGTACACATTATCGCTACCATGTAGAACATGTCATGCAACATCAGTTAGCCTTCGCATCATTTGTGCCATTCATTACACGCATACACGCAAAATGCATTCCGTGCTCGTCGCTGCCCCACTCAAAATTGGCTTTCTCTAACCTTCCCTCCGAACGAACGCACTAGCCAACAAAATAAAATTCACACACTCTCTCACACTTTTTTACTTACCGAACCCATGCGTCGCGATAGTCTCCATGTGTAGTAACAGCGACAGAGGCAGGGATCAGACCCGTTGTTGGGTTTTGTCTGTTAAGAATGACAGCATTGACGGCCCGATAGTAGTAGTCGAGTCTCTTTCTCACGCTGGACTGAGAATGGTACTGCATGGATTTGGGGTTTCTTTTTCTTGTTGGGTCAGGAGGGGGGTGCAGGTACGTCAGAAAAGAAAGTGGAAAGGTATGGAAATGAGAAGCACAGAAGAGGAGAGATGCAAATGAGTAGAAGAGTGAATGACTAAATGTAAGAAAAAAGGATGAAGAGAAGCGTGTGGAAGTGAAGGTAGCGAGAAAGTAAAGAAGGAACGAAAGAAGAAAAAGGGGGAAGGGAACCAAAGGGGCAGATCATGAAAGGCGCAATGCGCATCAGACCCACTCATAGAGAGCGCTTGTGGCTTCAGATACTAAGGCACACAGCACACCATCGAGTACGTGGGTCCCCAGGGATGGATTCACTTTTCTTGGGAGGGTGCACGAATCACTGCTTTCTACTTTTCACTTCCCTGGTCCGTTATCTGAACCGTTTTTTCTTTTTCTTTGCTTATGCGCCCCATTCTTTCCATTGTTATCTCTCTCTTGCCCCGATCTCGTGCCTGTGTGAATATGACGGGGCGCACGATAAGAAGACAAAGGAAGTCTCGTTATCATGATGACATAGGGGTAACGAAGAAAAGCACTGGCCCCTCCCATCCAATCAAATAGCAAATGCACTGGCCATGCTTCTCGACTTCAGTAAAACAGACTGCAGGAATGTACTACTAAAAACTATTGTGCCTTTCTTACAAAATGAGGCAAAAAAATTAAAACTAATCCAACAAAATTCAGTGGAGAGCGGAGTGTACACAGGCGCGGAACAAAATTTTAGTTGTGAACAGCAACTTAATCAGGGTTTAGTTGTTCGAATTAATTATTTTGGTTGCAAGGCGCAATAACTAGACTTTACTCTTGACGCGTGAACGTATATCGCTGATCTGATCTGATCTGATCGGTCTCGAAATCTTGTTCCTGGTCATGCTTGAACATGAACGACGATCATGCATGTCTCGCAACAACTGCTGCCCATCCCTCACATATCCTGCACCCCAGCTACTCCTATCCCCTCTTTTCCTCGTCCCTTTTACTTTCCCTCTCTCTCTCTCACTTCGTGAGTCTTCGTTATGAGGATGCCTTACCGAAAAGAATTGCGCTTTAGTACTTTTCATCCTTTCACTTCCCACCTACCAAGCCTTTTTGTTCGGTCTACAATCCTTATTATAATGCTATTTTCCCATTTCAACCTACACTTACCACCATCTTGGGTTACTCCACATCACGCTACCAAGGTGCAAAGTGTCGTCTCACTTTTATTCCCAAAGAACCCATCCATTCGAGGTGTTTTCGGAATGCGCAAGGATCCACTTTACCTCGGTAAAATTTCTTTTTCTGTTCTTTTTCTGTTTCATTAGATGGCACCTACATTACCCCAACCCTCGCTCATAAACGTTTTTTTTCCTCTCTCTGTTCGTTCACCTCCAGATCCTTCGCCTAACTCATTGCCACTCTCAAGAAACACATCTCCCCCACTTTCCGCCTTTTCACTCACCTACCCTCAGTCACACATCGCACCGATTTCGTTCAATGAGGATCACGAACTTTGTTGCCAGCATCACCCTGGCGTTGACTCTGTCACTCCCCGCTATCACACGCGCCGAACGCGTCGTCGGGTACTATGGAAAGGTACTGAACCGATACTGAACACTCTACAGTCAAACCTCCCCTATAGCATAATCCCCTATAGCATATTCATATGCTATTCCCTCTCCTATTGCATATTTTTTTTGGGGAAATAAGGTTTGGGTCCATGATCCTGAATCACCCCTACTACGTTACATGGGTGTAGCACGCCTTCTTAATAGCATAACCTCTCCTATAGCATACTTTTACTTACAGCCCAAGGATATGCTATAGGGGAGGTTTGACTGTACTCACAATTACCCATCGCTGATCAAAATTCATATCAACGCGTACGAAAACAACGCACACGTAAAACAAGCCTCCTCGATCTTTCGTCCATTCTCTAACCCTCTGAAAAAAATATGTACACCAAAAAAGACGGCCGGAGGAGCAGGTTGCCCAAACTACCCCCCTTTCGAGCCATCAGACCTCCCCGTAGATCTCTACACCCACCTCAACTTTGCCTTTGCCTTAATCGACAACTCCGGACTCATCGCCAGTCAGGAGGCAAAGGAGATCCCCAGCTATCAGCTGGTGAACGACCTCAAGAAGAAAAAACCTTCCCTTCGCACTGCGGTCACTGTTGGAGGGTGGGATATGAACATGGCGCATTATTCGACTATGGTCTCGACGAGTGAGAATCGCCAAAAGTTTATTAGATCCGCGATGGCGTTTGTTCGGAGATATGGGTTTGATGGTCTTGACTTTGACTGGGAGTAGTAAGTGCTTCATTTCTTACAGCTGTGCATTCCCACACCATGACATGTTATCAAAAAGAATGTAGGAGCTACTTATTTTTTCAAACTTTTCCTCTTCCTCATTCTACATAATCCCTATATCAAATAGCCCAGGTGACCCAAAGCGTGGAGGTCATCCACAGGACCCAGAGAACTTTGTCCAGTTCTTGAAGGAGATGAGGGAGGCTGCGGACGCAGAGGTTCTCGAGAACGGCCAGGAGAGGTTGATTCTCAGTATTGCCCTCCCTGGAGGCCCCTTCCACGGTGACAACTTTCTCATCCCCAAGCTCGCTCCTAACGGTATACTATTTGTTTCTCTTGTTTGCTGCGTTCAGTACATACACGTTTGCTCTTTGTGCATTTGTGGGGACTCTAATCCAGATCGTTGTTTTTTATTCTTTGATAGTCGACTGGTTCAACATCATGGCCTACAATCTTCACGGGTAAGCAAGCTGCCAAAACGAAAGAATGCGTCTCCAACAATCCCTCATGCCTCAACACTCCCCCTTTTCTCTCCCGCAATCAACTAACTCTCCTCTTCCCATAACCCTCCTTATGAACAATAGCCAATGGGAATCCCAAGTCTTCTGTGCAGCCCCCCTAAACGATCCAGCAAGCGACACAGAGTACAACGGCTACTCCCTCATCCATGCCATCCAATCCATGGCCCCTTCAACCGTCAACCCCCAAAAATTCAACCTCGGCCTCTCTCTCTCCGGTGTCACCTTCACCCTCAAAGATCCCTCCCTCACCGGCCCCGGTTCACCCGCCCACGGACCCGGCAAAGTGGGCTGCCAAGAAAAGGGCGCCATGTCCTATTTTGAAGCCTCGAACCTCATAGACCTCTTAGGAGAAAAGTCCGGGGTGGTGGATTCCTTCCAGAGGAAGATTACACAGGCTCCGAAGCTGGACGAGGGAAGTCAATGTGTGTATATGGTGGTGGATCATGACCAGTGGGTGGGGATTGATACGCCAGAGACTTTTGCATACAAGGTGGATTATTTCAGAAACTTTGGGTTTGGAGGAGTCAGTATCTGGTCGATGGATAGCGATACTGAGGATCATCGTTTGACAAGGTCTATTTCCAAGGCTATCAATGGCGGCGGCGGCGGCGGCAACAGCACGGCTTCGGCGCCCAACAATATCGACAAGTTGGTTGGCGGCGACAAAACGAACAACACGTCTCCTTCACCCAACAATGTCGGCAAGGTGGTCGGCGCGCTGCCAGACCACACCATCCCCAAGTCAACGAGCACTGCCGGCAGAGGACAGGACGTCAAGCATCTTACGATCACCACCGTCGCCGCCATTGTGATCGCGTCTGTTGTCGGTGATCTGTTCGCTTAAAACACAAACTCCATTCTACACTTTAATAAATCAATACTGTAATAATTTCTTGCCAAATAACGCTGCATGCATGTTTATTTTTTTTTTTTCCCTTAAAGCGCCCCATTGACAACATTAAGGTCGCTTCTGACAGGATATTGTGCAAATTAGAAAAAAAAGAAAAGAAAGAAAAAGAATAGAAAAGAAAAGAAAAAAAAAGAAGGTCCAAGCAAAAAAAAAAAAAAAAAAAAAAAAAAAAAAAAGGAAAAAAATGTAGGCGCGAATTTCCGGTTTGTGTGTGCTTCGGATTTTTTTGTATTTTTGAGTTGATAGGTGAGGTGGCGTCTGGTCACAGCGGACGAACTCACTCGACCTCTACCATCTCTTCGTCAGTCTCATCAAAATCTTCATCATCATCTTCGACATCTTCTTGTGTCGCAGTCTCACCAGAGCCAACACCAACAGCTGCGGGGTTGAACGTCGTCTCCAATTCTGCATTGACAACACCGGGCGCTGGTCGAGAAGAAGATGACGACGAACCGCTTGACGGGCGTCCTGCACCACCTGCAAACTCTGGCTTGAGCTGGTACTTTGCAGTGTAGGGACCCTTCTTGATAAAGTTGCAGATCTCTGCCAGAACATCTTTCAAATATGTCTGGGGCTGCTTCACGTACTCAACCAAACCCTTGAACGACCAGTAAGGATATTGCTCGAATGCAGTGAACAACAGATCCATGAGTTCGTTCTTGGGCATACGAGTCGTCTTTTGATCCATCTGCACCTTGACCTTCTTTTGCTATTAACCGCGACAGCAAATAATTGAGGTGTCAGAGCTCAGGCCAAAATACATACACATGCTTCTACCAAAATCGCCTAGCAGTAAATAGACATCGTATTTCACTTACAATAAATCCATTGCGAACACCCATTCCGGGCAAGAACATGCCTCCACGACCCCCTGCACCATCCGCACCTTTGTTGTTGTCTCCCAAGATCTGGACGTGTCGTCCTCCCTTCTTATTGGCCTCCAAGGTGCGCTCACGCATAATCTCGCGGTACTCTGGGCTTCCTGGGTTTGGAGTCACAGCGCACTCGTGCTTGATCGTGGCCAAGATCGACGTGGCCTTTCCAGTCGGGTATCCAGGCGCATGAGGTGGTTTTGGGTGAGGTCCTGTAGGTTCTGTGAAGACAAAGGTATTGTTAACTGTGTTGGGGTTCATGTTGAGGCGATAAGTCTTGGGCAGACTCTGGGTGCGATCGTCGTCTGGGAGGATGAGTTGGAAGGGTGCAGCATTTGGGTCATTTGGGTTTGTCCTGCGCGTAATAGATAAAGATGAAGGAAAAGTTAGTTCTTCGATCTCGCTCATGCTTTAGAAGTATCATTGGCGATGGAAGTTCGTTCGTACTGGGATCTTTCCAACAAGACGACAGAGCGACTTACTGGTTAAATATCCTAACCTTTCCAAGGTTGACACCCTCCTCGTTGACGTTTGACCACCTATCCGCCAAGAATTTTGGGATCTATTTACAATTCAAGTTTGTTGAAGGACAAAGGTGTAAGTCTCTTTCTCGTAGGAGTGGACAATAACGAACGTCAATAAGGGGCCCTTGCTGGGAGCAATCAATCCTTCGGCAAGTACCTTGACAAGCCAAGCCTGTGTATCGGCCTTTGTGAGGTCAAGGTCCCCGACAACGTTGCCGTCCTCGTCGACCATTTCGTCCTCGGACTGGACAGCCTCCTTTGTCCCTTCGCCGTCGTCGAACAGCTCCTCAAAGTCTGCGGGGCGCTTGCGCGAGTTTTTTTCCGTGTCACTCATGGTATTTGCTGTGCTTTTGTTCTGAGGTGAATGTGACGAGTGTGTGAGTCGTTTGGCTGTCTCTGGCGAAGAGCGTGCTTTTTTTGGTAGTTGCTCAGGTCGGTTCTGAGGTATTAAGAAGAAGAAGAGGAAGAAGAAGACGAAAGGAGTAGGCTTTGACCAGGTGTTCGAGCGTTGAGCGTTTTGGCGTCTTCTGTGATTGTGCTGAACAATAAGAGTCAAGAGAAGAGATGCTCCAAGTTCAGTTGCGCGGCTCTTTCTTTTTATCTCACACTTCTCAACAGTGCAAGACTGAGTTTGGTGGCTTAGCTAGAATTGAGCCCCGAAGGAGGAAGTCCATTTTGATAATGTAGCACGCGGCACGGACTGGCTGGATTCCCTCTTTCGAAATCTTTTTCCGTATGTGAGGATACTTCAAGCTCATGAGGAGAAAGAAGAGACAGCACATCCATCGATGGATACAGCATCATGCAACCATCCAACACAACAACCATATCAAACCGTCGCAACAAACACTCTCAACCCATCCACCATCCTCATTTATCAATTACTCGCCGTCATCAGGATCCATATCGCCACCGTCATTTTCACTATTCCTGTAGCAGGAGCTATACTTCGACTTTGCAGGATTGTCCCACCTCCATGTGGACCCCATGTGTTTGAATGGGGTCTTGACACTCTGTCAATCAGGAAAACACTGGATCTTATTTCCAGACATCAGCGATGGAGATCTGATCCATCAGCGTCACAATCTCAACACCTACGACAGACCCATCAACTCGTGCCAAATCTCAGTATAGAACTCAACATCAGTCTCTGTCCTGCAACGTACAGCATACCTTATACCCAACAACAACTTCTCAGGAAACATAGTATTCGTTCAGAATACCGCTCAGCTGTCCTCCCTTTTTTCTCGGGACTCAGCAGCCATCACCTCTTAGCTGGACCCTTGATCGATCTCCAAACAACGACAAAAAAGAGCAGAAGAACTGATCAGCAAAATATGTGTTCTTCTTTCTGCCCATAGAAAATGGTCACTCCTCTCAAGAAGCACACCATCGTGAAGAAGCACACCGCTACCTTCAAGCGTCACCAGTCTGACCGCTACAAGACTGTCAAGGTACACCTTCCTTCAGGACGAAAACAACCGAGAGAGAGCTTTTATGAATGAGACGGGTCTGGAGGAAGCAAACAGGAAAACGGCGAAGTCAACTCAACACAACAGGGATCTCAGCAACGAGTGACAGGAGCGATTGCAAGCAACCTGGTTCTGTGTAGTGATCAGTAGATTGGAGGAGATGATGCGCGAACAACTCATTCTTCAGGAAACAACAAAACGACCTGATCGCTTCCCACCACCTCACTCAACAACGAAGTCTACTTCAGAACCGCCCCAATCACATTAACTAGAGGAACTCTGTGACAGGGACTTGCAAGTGATATTCAATCTTCATGCCACTGGTAACTAACACCGGACTTTCCTTCAATTAATATGTGCCATCTCGGTATAACAGGAGTCATGGAGAAAGCCCAAGGGTATTGATAACCGTGTCCGTCGTCGCTTCAAGGGCCAGATCGTCATGCCCAAGATCGGTTACGGTAACAACAAGATTACCCGCCACTTGATGCCCTCCGGTTTCAAGAAGTTCGTTGTCGCCAACATCTCCGAGTTGAACCTCTTGTTGATGCACAACCGCACCTTCGCTGCCGAGATTGCCCACAACGTCTCCTCCCGCAACCGCATCGCCATCGTCGAGCGTGCCCAGCAGCTCAACATCCGCGTCACCAACGCTAACGCTCGCGTCCGCACCGAGGCTTAAATCATTTGAGCGCGATTTCTTACTTGTATAACGCGTTTTTTGATTAAAAACTTCAACAAAACTTCACCCAAACCATCAACTTCCCTTCGACAAACTCATCTTGCTTTAAAGAATAAATCATCTAAAAACGATGAGAGTGTGTGTTGCTTCTTCCAATCCTCCCTCCCTTCCCGCCCTTTGACAATGGCCATCATGGCATCAAGTTTGAAAGGCATGTTCAGAATAGGATATATAACAATCTATTTCAATCCTAGGATGAGGGTGACTCGTTGGATTCTACGATACGGAACCGATCAAACGACTCGATCAGGTTGTAAAGACTCGACTCTGGACGCGACTGGTAATACACCTCATCCGGATCCACAACCTGCTGTTGCTTCCTCAAATTCTTGCCACTGCCTTTCTTTTGTTGCTGTCGCTGTTGCTGGCCCTCCTGAATGCCCTGGATCAAATCGCGTTGCAACAGCGGCGCCAACGAAGGATCCTGTTGAGCAATCCTCTTAACCTCATCTTGCTTCAACTGCTCACCCGCCTTCTTGAACAGTCGACCGCTATGCCCCTTCATAGGTCCTGTCGCCGTGGTCCCTAATCTTGGTTTACCAGGACCAGAAGAAGCGGGGGCGCCTTGGCGGTCCAGTCCAATCAGGGTCATATAGATCGTATGTCGATGAGCGAGCGATTTCTTGAGTCTCAGAGCAACCTTGACTTTGTCAAACAACCGGAACTGGACAAGACTCGACACGTTTGGTGAAGACGCATGGGATCCCAAAGCCTGTGGCGGGACCTTGACCGAGATCTGTGTCATCAAATCCGTATCCATCTCACACCCGGCAATCGACACCAAATGGTCCTTTCCTCCACTACCGCCATCAAGCTTGAGCGCCGAAAGCGGGATCGAAATCTCACCGGACTTCTCCTTCAGGTACACAGGCCCCCTAATCCCAAACCTGGGCACAAACACAAAGAACCCATTCTCCCGAATCTCAGAGACAATTCCCGTCTCGGTGAACGGCAGATCCTCCGCCTCGGGATCATCACCCCCATTCTCGACCGCCGCCGGGTTCCGCGTCTTTTGGAGTACGTAGAGGGTCTGGAAGAGTTCGGTTGAGTCCTTCTGGGCCAGTTTGGATTCTCGGTTCTTGTAGTTGAGATGGCCAGCCACTTGTTCCATCTTAAGACCGTTCTTCAAAAAGTCGGACGAGTTGTCGGTCGTTTGAGGAGTTGATCCCATAAGACATGACATCAACTGTCGATGCACCACCAGATCTGCATATCGACGAATTGGGGACTAAATTTTTGGTCGCAGTTCACGCAGGAACAGAAGAACAGTTAGAGAATCACTCCCTTGGCATATCCGGTCATGATAAAAGAAAGACGATGGGAGCACTTACGGTAAAGTGGGTATAAAAGTCAAGGGCAAGACCATAATGGGCGTATTTGCTGGCGTCCATGGATCCTGAAGAGATATAGCTTGCTTCAGACATTGCCATCGTCGCCATGGTCTTCAACAACTTGACAAACTCGATATCATTTTCGCTCTTGGCCGCACACTCCCTCAGCGAATTAGCCAGGGCCAGGTTCGACGTCGTATCAATGGAGAAACCCTATCCCACAACAAAGTGAAAAAAAAACGCCCACAGTCAATAGACAAGATCGTAAGATTGCATACTCCTCTCAATACCAACAAAGAAGGGAGTTCATACCCTGCTCTCAGCGGCACGGAGCAACATCTTGAAGTGACTCTCAATAGGGGGAGGATGGTGACGGAGCATGGCCGACTCTCTGAATCCTTGGTAGATCCGCTGGGCGACATGGCCGTTAGCCATGACCATGGCCTCCTCAATGATCTGATGCACCTCCAGAGGCTGCTTTGGCAGGATGTCCGAGATCCCTCCGCCTTCCTCCTTGAACTTAAACTTGACCTCTGAGCTCTCCAATTCCAAGCCTCCCTTTGCCATGCGGCGAGCCTAATATACATCATGGAAAGCAACGTGTTAGGACCTGCGCCACCAAAATGTACACTTCCTCAAAAACAAAAGCTGGGATACAGACAAGGAGAACGTACTCTGACTTTGCGCATGGTCTTTGCGAGCAATACAACAAACGGCTTGAGCTGCTTGCAGAGCTTGGCGTCCAGTCCTGGTACAACATCCTTGCCGTTCAACAGACCTTGTGCTTGCTCATACTCCATCTCGCAAGCAGACCGAATCACTGAACGTCCGTACCACGTTGTCAATACATTTGCCTCCGAGTCCAGTGTCCACATCACCGACACTATTGAGGAAACCAAATAAAAAAAAAACAAGCAACATGTCAATCATCTGTGAAACCTGCATCGTCCCTATCCTAATCTCCAAGCAACCATAATAAGGACACTTACTGGCGTATCGGTCAACATGGTGACGAAGTGAGCAGAGCTGTTCACTGAGCACTTTAGGCAACATGTCGAAACGACGGTCAGACAAGTAAACTGTCGTTCCACGAGCCCTTGCCTCTAGATCTGTCAACGAGTTCTCTTTGACAAAGTAACTGACATCGGCAATGTGTACTCCAAACTCAATCTGTCCGTTCCCGATCTCCTTGATAGAGATGGCATCGTCGATATCCTGACAGTTGGGAGGATCGATGCTGAAAACGGTGTGATTCCTCAGATCCCGACGCCTGCTCAACTCTGCTGTATCTGCTACCCAGGGACGCTCCTTGGTATTGATAGGCATCTCCTTCAATGAGCCCTCGCTGAAACCTTGGGTCGTCTGGGAAACAGAGATGCCGTGCTCGATCAAAATAGCAGAAATCTCCGTGTCCAGATCGTGTGCTGGTCCGATGCTCCTGACGTAATGTCCATTAGGGTATTGTGAGTTGACAGGCCAGCTGTCAATACGAACAACAATTCGCTGGTTGGCGAGGACCTTGGCGTCGTGGTGTCGAATCCTGATTTTAGGGATGATGGGGTTCAAGGGCAGAACCAGATGGAACGATCCTGTGTCCTTTTCAGAGCCCTCCTGCAAAGTGGCGACATAGGGCTGCCAGTTCCTAGACATGATACCGACCACTCGACCGGTAGGCTTCACTTCACGAGTGCGAACCCCGCTCGAGCTCTCTTCTTCATCCTCTGCTGCCGCATGGACTTCTTCAGGATTGTATGAGATATGTGTGGAAGGGGCCACCCAGGAAGACTTATTCAAAAGCTCAACAACAACGACATCGCCGTGAACTGCTCGGTTCCTGTGCTCCGATCCTACAATGACAATCTCGCCGATGTTTGCGTCTCCCCGGATAAAAGCCTGATCCCGATGGTTGGCGCGGACTCGCATCACTCCCTGGAAGAACCGTTCCGACTTGACACCTGCCTCCAGCTCCGAGAGTGGTTTGTACTATTTCATAGTGAGTGCAAGTGCAACTGTCAGAATATTTATCTCCGCAATATTTGTGGTCATCGATAACAGCTTAAAGACGTAAGCTTACTTCCTGGTATCCTGTTCCTCCAGATGACTTCTTTGAACTGGTCGAACCATGGGTTTTGTTCTCGAGGTCCTCCTCCAGAATAGCCTCCTTTAACGACGTCAAGAGCTCATGCAATACTGCGGTCTTTGGCCAGAACTTTGTCAGGTATTCCTTCAAACTCATAACTGTAATTCCTGTAGTATCATCAATCCTCAAAACATCCTCCTGCTTGAACTATTGGCAGGAAAGATAATATCAGAGTTAGCGGCTGACACTACGCCATACCAAAAGAAGACGATGTATATGCAAAACATATGTGAATGGTTACCTCTTCTGAGAGTAGAATGATATCAGCGCTTCCGTGCAAGTGACGCCGATACCATGCCGCAGTTTGCACGAGCGCTCGCCAATCCCGGTGCTCAACCGATTCCTCGGGCTCCCGTAGGACGTTAGTTTCCTTGCAGTGCTCGTTACTGAAGACAACACTCCGACGCCGAGGATCCTTGGCAACCTGACGCAAGCTCTTGTACGTTCTTGACTTGTCCTCGCTCTGTAACTATTTGTTAAAACAAAGATTGGAGTCTGGATTAGCCACGAGAGGCCTTTGCTGAAAACAGATCGCCCCGCCTTGCCTTTTCATTGAGGAAAAGAAGCCATACCCGTTGAAGAATCGTCTCCGCGAAAATGATGTTTGTTAGCTCCTCCTGCTCCAACAATTCAACATATCGCAAAGCAACCTATTAAAAAGTGAGATGATAAGACCATTAGTTTGAGGATGTGTGTCAAAAATCCAATTGATCCGCGTCAAAATAAGAAAATGAGCAAACAAGGTCATACAGAGTAATCCGGGATCAGGTAGTATTCCTGCTCAGCACTCAAAAGACTGGATTCGACCTTGACTGCTTCGTGACAGGGTGGTTCCTTGGGGCATTGCGTTGACAGACACGGGATATCATTGCGGAGGTAAACTGTCGGCAAAAAGGAGGGCACAGCAATTCAAAGCAGAGTAGAAAGGAGTGAGTTCGTTAGGAGGGGGCGTTCATATTTTTGCTTTCCATTTTATTTGTCCGTTGAATAGTGAGGAAGAAAAGGAAGCGTACCTTCGCGTACCCGCTTGACGACGGTGTTCTTGTTTGTCTTTCGGAAGTGGATGTTTTCTTTCCTGAGCATGGCCGTGAGTGCGAGTGTGTGTGATGAATTGGGAGCGAGTCTGGACATTCGACCCTCTTCATCTCACTCTCGCACTTCTGACACGAAATGGCGAACAGTCACACGCATCCATTGGTCCAACAAAGGCCGCAATTTTGACAAGGACCTCCTTGTTTTTTGGCACATTGACAACATCCTAGTTTCCCACCACCCTTTTCACTCTCTCTTCTCTACACACCCCTTGCCCTCTTCCACTCTTGTCCACATCCTTACAACCACAACCAACCCAAGCCATATCCCTATCAACATCTCTACAATGGACCACGGCGGCGGACACGGAGGACACGGCGGTGGCGACGGCGGTGGCGGAGGAGGCGGCGGCGGCCATGACGGAGGGCACGGAGGAGAAGACGACGCTATGTGCAGTATGAACATGCTCTTCAACTGGTCGACCGAGAACCTCTGCGTCGTCTTTGAGTCCTGGAAGATTAACACACCCTTTGCGCTCGTCGTCTCCTGTATCGTCATCATCGGACTCTCGGCGTCGTACGAAATGCTCCGCGCCTACTCTCGCAAGTACGAGGAGCGTCTCTTGGAGGGCGCCAGAAAGAGACAAACCAGCGATGGATCCTCGCATGCTGTCGGTGGAGCTACTGAGGACCAGACCCCACTCCTGTCAGGCAGACCTTACACCCTGAGGTGAGTATAGGGGCAAAAGCAGAGCGTGGTCGTCAGAAAAGTCTGCATGCTTTGTTGTTGGAATGTTGTTTCTAAGCTAACCTTCTCGCATCGTTCTCTGTTGTTATGTTGTGGAAATGTAGACTGTCAAACCAGCAACAGCTCACACGAGCACTGTTCTACATGGCACAGGTCTTTGTCGGGTTCTTCTTGATGCTCATCTTCATGACCTACAACGGATACCTGATGGCTGCCACGGTCATTGGTGCTGGTGTTGGTTTCTTTTACTTTGGTGGGGACTCGTTGTCCTCCTCCACCAAGGCACTGAGCTGCCACTAGTGGCCTTTTTGCCCTCCGTAAGGATATTCGACTCGTAGAATCGCGTCTGTTATCTTACCACCAGTTACTCCTTTCGTTCTGGAATGAACTTGCAACGGCTTGGCAAAGTCTTTTATATTGCAACAATAAAGATATTGCTTGTCCCAATGACTCTTATGCTACCATTTATTTTTTATCCGGCCCCGTTGATTAATCGCGATGATTGTGATGATGCGAAGGAAGCATTCTACAAAGCCTACTTGTCCACATTGAGTAAACTCACTTATCCATGGCAAGGGATGTTTATCGAAAGGGGGAATGAGCGGTGTTGACGAGTAGAGTCCTCCTGTCTGCTTTTGGTGGCGAACCCATGTCTCGCTGGAGGAAAATTCGGACGATCTAATTTTGAAAACTTACCAAGGATTAACCCGCCGTGCCCATTTCATTATCCTTGTCTCTGGAAAAAAAGAGACTCTATAATCTTGCTCGGTGACCACTGCCACCATCCCCACAGCCATCGACACGTTACGGATGAAGTGATGAATAGGGTGACGAGAAGAATGGGAAGGAAGAAGAGCCCTTGGCATCATTTGGATATCATTGGATCGGAGAGATAATTGACCGGGACGATACGATTTGAAAGCACAAATCGACCATCTTTGGGTCTGAACAGGGCGATGATGACAGCCATCCTTGTTTGCAATTGACACCGTGCACACAAAAGTGGCCACTCAAGCGCGCAAGTATGCCAAGCAGAGTCTCCTCCTTCCCACACACCCCTTTCTCTCGTCGTTATCTTTTTCGTGCTCGCTACAGGGCGTCGTCGCTAGTAGGCCAGCCAACCGATCGATTGTTCTCCACTAAGGATTTGTCCGAGAAAAATAAAGAACAAAACTCTCTTCTTTTTTCTTCCATCGACCCTCCTCATTTCACCTCTCGTTTTCTTTTTCACATTCCACATTCACACTTTGGCACTCTTATTCTCATCCTACCTTCATTCCATCCTCACGCTCTTCCGCTTCCAACATGAACCCAACGGTAGTGCTCAGCACAGCGGTGGCAGTAGCGGCGGCAGCCTACGCCTTCAAGCCCAAGAAGAAGACCGAGCTCGAGGCCAAATCTGTTCCCATCCCTGAGCCTAAAAGCTATCTCCCCTTACAGATTGACACTGTTGTCAGTTACATCTACAACCTCTTGAGGGGTCAAGACGAGCTCGAGATGTTGTTGAAGGACATGAAGGTTCACGGAAACACTATCAACTTTAAGGGATTTAACGATGACTTCATTGTCGTCACCGATCCTTCGAGTATTCAGCATATCCTCGCCAAGAACCAGCCCAACTACGAGAAAGGTACTTGGGCTAATTGCTTTGTCGTATCTTTACCTTTTCACATCGAGGGCAAACCCTGTTCTCACGCATATTCTTGCTTGGCGCCAACATATATAGGACCGTTCTTTAAGGAGATTTTTCATGACTTTTTGGGCTCTGGAATCTTCAATGCCGATGGCGATACCTGGAAATCCCAGCGCCAAATCGCGAGGTAAAGCGCTTAATGTCTCTATTACGCTGTCAATCCTGTTATTTGTCCATTGCTCGTGCGACCCAAGGGGTCGATTGCTTGAGTCAACAAACAAAGAGCTTACTTCTTCAATCCCCTTCCACCCCATTGACAAACACTTTGTTTAGACCTCACTTCCAGACATCCGAGTTCAAGGACGCAGCTTTGATCAACAAGCACGTTGACGGGCTCCTCGTCCTCATCGACAAGCACATCGCCACCAAACCAGATACTCCTCTCGAGGTCCAAGTAAGAATCTACCCAATGTTCTTATCACACAATGACCCGCAACAATGTTCTGCTGTGCCAACGCCTTCACTTTCTAATCACTTTCCCTATTTACGACGATTCATAAACAGAGCGTCTTTTGCCGGTTCACATTGGACGAGGCCTCCGAGTTCCTGTTCGGCGCGACGGTCGATGCTCTCAAGAACGAGCAAACCGAGTTCAGTACAGCGTTCAACTACGCCCAAACCATGACCGCCTGGCGTTTCCGCATCCCCTTCTGGAAATACATCCTACCTCGACGAAGGATGATGACCGAGATCAAGAAGCTTGATGATTTCGTCTACAAGATCATTGACGATGCCAGGGCGCGTCAAGCTGCGCGTGCCCAGGAGAAGAAAGAAAGTGGGAAGGAGAATGAGGAAGAAGAGGATGGCAGACGCGATACGCTGTTAGACCACTTTTTGAGCCAGCAAGATGAAGATGGGTTCGACAGCAAGTATCTTCGTGATATGCTCCTCAACTTTTTACTCGCCGGTCGCGACACGGTATGTCCACGTCTTGCCCAATGCGTTGTTTGATTATCGCGTCTGCTCCGCTTTAGCCTGTAAATGGTACATGGAGGTTCACCTAACCTCTGGTCTTATTCTTCTGCTTCGTTTTCATCTCTCTACCGACATACATGAATGACAGACGGCATCGTTGCTGTCATGGACAACTTGGAAGCTCGTCCAGCACCCCAAGGTACTCGAAAAACTGTACCAAGAGATCGTCCAGGTGATCGGACCTGATCGCGTCCCCGGATATGAAGATATCAAGAAGCTCAAGTGAGTTTACCACTACCTACAAATACCATATGATGACATACTAAGCACGTTCGTTGACACATATTGCGACCGATCCCCCTTGTTGTCGCACGTTTGTTTCTCACCCACCTGCCCTTGTCTGCCGTTGGTCAACACTAGGTATCAGAAGCAGGTTATTAATGAGGTGCTTCGACTCTGCCCTCCCGTTCCAATCAACCCAAGGTAATTGAATGAATGAATGTCAATGAAGAACGACAAGAGCAACAAATGCAATATTTCGTGCTCGCAGAATGTTTCGCATGCATATGCAAGTGTACGCCTGTTTTTTTTGAGATCGTGGCTGGTCGTGGTTGAAGTCGGATGGTAGCGAGCAGCAAGTTTCTCGCCCTCTCCCCTCTCTTCTGGTTTTCTATTCATAACTCCTCCCTTCAACCTACTTTACCTTTTATTCTTTTCATGTAGAGAGAGTGTCGAAGAAGATGTGCTTCCAAACGGCTACTACATCCCCGCAGGATCCGCCGTCTCTTACTGTGCCTACGCAACCCACCGTCTCCCTGAGCTGTGGGGCGATGATGCGCTGGAGTTTGACCCCGATCGCTGGGGACCTGAGCGTGTGGGCAAGATCCGTCCGTTCATGTTTGTGCCCTTCCATGCGGGTCCCCGAATCTGCCTGGGCCAGAACCTGGCCTACACGACTGCCCAGTTGGCTTTGACGCGTCTCCTGCAACGCTATGATATCAAAGCCTCGCCCGGGTTTGAGCCTCACCAGTTGGGCGACATTGTGATGTTCTCCCGCAACGGTGTCGAGGTCCTCATCAGCCACAAGCGACCCGCCAGCGAGTTTTAAGTTTGTTTATTCTGTTGAAAAAATAAAAAGGGTGTCTTGTTCATCATACCTCCTTGAGGCACTTCTACCGTTGGTGTTGTTTTGTTTACTTTGCTTGATTTGCATTCCCGTTTTGTTTATCGCACAACGCACAACATCGGGAACAAAAGGCAACAGCAAAAAAGCATCATGCATCATGAATAAAGGAAAGAAACAAAGAAAACAAAAAGGAAAAGCGACGTATGCTTGCATCCATCCCATGGCCTGTTGAATGAATGAATCCAAAACATGGCCGAGACAAGGGAGATAGCATGCCCTGTGTGTGTGTGTGTGTGTGTGGCATGCTGTTGACCAGTTGACCTATTACTGGACGGCAGGGATGGATGCCTCGACCATTGTAAATATTATGATATTACCCATTCACCCTTTGGGTCAAGAAGAAGGAAGGTTGATGTCTATCAGCATGTATCGTACCATCCGCCCCATCACCATCATCTTCCCTCCCCTACACCTGTCTCCACTCCTCTCTCGTACCATTGGTTTGATACATACAAAAAAACAAAAAAAGCAAACTCTCTTTTTTTCTTGATTCTATCGTTGCATGTCGTTGTGCCTTCCCTCCCTTTTTTTCTTGTTATTTTCCTTCTCTCCTACTCCCACCCCACCTCTTTTCCTTTCCTCTTCTCTCCTCTCCCCTTTCCTCTTCTTTTCATTCACCATCTCACTCTCGCCCACCCCCTTCTCTTTTCTGTCTCCTCTATTACCCTTCTCCACATTTCACTCTCACCCGTCCTCAACAGCAAATAACTCTCTTTGCTCTTTTGTCATCTGTCTCTCTCTATTCCTCATCCTACCTTCCCATCCAAACCTCGTACCACAAAAACAAAAATAAAGAATGGCTGATGTCGAGAACGCTCCCGGGATCATCGCCCCTGCCAGCCCTGCTCCCTCCAACCCCCAAGAGACCTCTGAACCCGCCAGCCCCATCGTAGCCGACGTCCACTCCGAGAGCCAGTCCGAGCTGCCTGCTCCCGTCGACCACACCACCGAGGCCGTGGACTACGACGACGTCGAGGCCGTTCCTTCCACAACTGCCCCTGAAGACGCAGGAGTCGTTGTTCCCGCCAGTCCCAGCAACAGCGCGACCTCTGCAAAGACCTCCAGCACTCCTGCCAGCCCTAGCAGCAAGCCTGGTGCTGCTGCCTCGGCCCCCTCCTCTGTCGCTGCCCGTCGTGCTGCTACCGCAGCTACCTTGGCTGCCAACAAGGCCAAGGCTACAGGCACTGCCAGGACCACCGCCAGACCAACAGGAACCACCTCCACTAGAACAGCGACCACGACCTCTCCTCGTACGCCCACCACCTCTGCCACTTCGCCTTCCACAGTCAGACGCACCACCACCCCAAGCACCGCGACCCCAACCACAACTACTTTACGAAGGACTGCTACCGCGACTCCCTCTACTACTACCACTCCTTCAACTGCAACTGCCCGTCGCACTCCCACCACTGCGACCGGAACGAGGACCACCCCAACAACTACAACTCGCACCGCTACAGCAACCGCAACTAGAACTCCCACCACCACCCGCACCCCTCTCAAGTCGACTACTGCCAGCCCTTCTACTACGCGCTCCACGGTCGTCAAGCCTACTCCTGCCTCTACTTCCCCTTCTGGAATCAAGCGTGTTCCGACCACCTCTTCCACCGGTTCCGCCTCTGGCAGAGCTGGTACTCCCTCCAGAACTGGCTCCGTCACCTCTCCTCCCGGTAGCGTTCGCTCTGTCCGTTCAGCTGGACCTTCAGAGGCCTTGGAGTTGAAGAAGGAGCTGGCTGTCATTCGTGAGAAGGTATAAAAAAAAGAACACAGCCTTAATGGGGATTAGAATGGTTTTTTGTGTGCTACAAGACTCTCTCTGTTTGGCTAATCAGGTCTTGAGCTAATAACTGTTTTTCACCCCCCCTTTTCTCGTGTTCTTCCTTCAATAGTACGAAGAGGCTTCGGCACAATTGAAGGTCAAGGAGGAGGAGCTGACCATCCTTCGCAACACATTGGAGACAGGCTCCAACTCACACGCAGACACCGTCTCCAGCGATGGTGGCGAGACGATTGTTCCTGAGGTTGACCTCTCCAAGATTGAAGCTCAGGTATGGGAGGACGAAAATAAGGAATGAAATATTGCGAGGGATTTTTTTTTTTTTTTTGGACAATTGCTGGCACGGTCCCAAGCACAAGAAAAAAATATAGGGTGAACAACAGGCAGGAGACGAGAGGAGATCTTTTTGTTGTTGTTGTTTTTTGTTGTTGTTGTGGTTTGGTTCTTTTTTTTTGTGTGCCCACATGCCTTTTCATGCGCGCGTTTGTGCCCTGGGGTATGGAGGAAGGTATTGGACCTTTTGTCTGTGGGACAGAACAAGCAGTAGGGCGACATTCCTTCCTACCCTTTCTATCCCTCACCCCTCACATCCATCATGTGTTGCGAAGACGCCCATACATGCAGAATTTAATGTCATTGATTCAAGGAGAGTCAACTCTAGACGAGAGAGAAGGCAGTGTGGAAAGCGAAACAAGTGACATCTCCGCAACAGAGCATAGTAACTAACTAGCTTTATCCCCGTTTGTTCCCAAATTAGAGTCAGGCGTTGGTCGCAGAGGCCATCGCTGGCAAGGAGCAGGAGATCGCCACACTCAAGGGCGAGATCGAAAGTCTTAGCAGCCTTGTTGAGGTAAGCGTGCTCATTCAATTGGCCACATGGTCGAGCGGATAGGACAAAAACAGGACAACCTATTTTGGTTGAACCTTGATCATTGCCGGCTCACTGTTGCTCAGCTGGAATGGACCCTGTTATTTTGCACTATTTCCAGAGAATACTGGTATTGACTCACCATACTGGCACTTGTTTGATTATTGTTGTTAGAAACTGCGTGTGGAGCATGAGGAAAAGATCAAGGAGTTGAACCATCAGCAAGCCGAGAAGAATGCTGCCTCGGAGGCCGAGTTGATCTCGCTTCACCAGGAACTGGAGGAGTACTCCAAGAAGTACGAGGAGGTTGCCGACCTTCGCCAGAAGCTCGAAGAGTCGCAGGCACTGCACTCGACCACCCTCGAAAAGCTGAACAGGATCCACGAGGACAAGCTCCAGAGTCTCGAGATTGAGCTCCAGGCTGCCAGACAGGAGCACTTGGGCGCCGACGATGACATCAACGTCAAGTATGGCCAGGATCTGGAGGACCTTCGCTTGAGTCACCAGGAGGAGTTGTCTCAGCTGTTGCTTGATCATGGTGACGAGGTCGATACCCTCAAGGATCGCTTTGAGCAAAAGCTTGAAGAGGTCAAGGAGACGGTTGAGGTAAGATACGCGGCCTCTTGTTCATTGTTGTCGTTTGCCAGTGGTACGACATCATCAAATATCTAAATTTCTTGCCAAATTAATATATGGAATAGAACGATCTCCGTGAGCGTCACACCAAGGAGTTGAACAGCGTATTGGCCGCACACACTGCTGCGCTGAACGACCGTGCAGGAGAAGAGTCGGGTGCCATTGAAGCTCTCCAGGCCAAGCACGCTGCGGCCCTTGCTGAGTTGAAGGACCAGATTGATGCCGAGAACAAGGTTCACGTCGAGGCTGTCAAGCACCAAATCCAGAATGAGTCGACTACCGCTCAACAGGCACATCAGGCACGCATTGCCGAGCTGGAAGCTGAGTTGAAGACCCTCCAGGAGAAGTACAATAGCGAGGTTTCAGACTTGAAGAAGAACTCTGGTGCTAGTACTGACTCCCTGAAAGCTGCTCACGACACCGAGCTTGAGTCCCTCAAGGCTCTCCATGCTCACGAACTCATTACCGTCGAAAACACCGTCAAGGGTAAGATGCAGCTGGAGTTGGATGCAGTTCAGGGCAAGTTCTCGGAGTTTGTGACTGAGGTGCAAAAGTCTCAGGATGCCGAGATCAAGAAGCTCGACACCAACTACGAGGCTCGTATTGCAGAGTTGATTGTCGAGCACGAGACCCGCGTCGCCGAGTTGCAGAAGGAGGCGAACGACCAAGTCCAGAGCGCCGTCGAGCAAGTGGAGAGCACATTTGAGGGAGATCGACAGGAGTTGAATGCCAGCCACACCAAGGAGTTGGATGACATCAAGTCCCTCCACGCCTCGGCCATCAAGGATCTCGAGGAACAGCTTACCAAGGCTGAGCACGCCGCCCAGAAGGCCCTGAGCGACTTGGAACATACCCAGAAGAAATTGGAGGAGGAATTGAGCTCTGCCACCGCAGATGCACAGGAACAGGCCAACGCTGCCAAGGCTTCTCTTCAAGAATTGATGGCCAAGTTTGAGAGCGAGAGCAAGGTATGTAATTTGAAGTTGGTAGCTTCGTGGTCGGGGATTGTAAGTTGGCGATCGTCAAAGCTGTTTACAATTAGTATTGCTTACAAGAACATGTTAATCTGCTGTATAGACTGCCGCAAATGTACATGCCGAGGAGCTGAGCAAATTGCGTCTTGAGGGAGAGCAGGCTATTGCAAGGGAGGTTGCCAAAAAGGAGAAAGAATTTGGTAAATCACGACTGGCATTGGAGAAGGAGCTGGACCAGCTTCGTGCCAGCCTTGCTACCGTTCACCAAGAGCGCGACCAGGCTTCTGCTGCTGCTGCTGCCAAGGAAGACCAGTTGAAAGCAGAGCAGACCGCTGCGTTGGAGAAGTTGGCTGCTGAGCACAAGGCTGCCTTGGAGGAGTTGCAGACATTGACCCAAGCCAACATGGACAACATGACCAGGATGCATGAGCAGCATGGTCAGGACCACGAGGCACGCCTCAGATCTGTCTTGTCGACCCACAAGGAGGAGATCCAAGGACTGAAGGAGCACCACCAGAACGAGAGCCAGACCAAGGAGAAGGAGTTGAAGGGCCAGGTTTCTGCTTTGGAGGAGAAGGTCAAGGCCCTGGAGGCTGCATCTCATGAGGCCCAGGAGGCCAAGGTCATCTCACTCGAGCTCGAGAATATCACCAAGGAGCTCCAAACGAGCAAGGTACGATTTGCTTGACACTTGCTGGTTTAGACATTGTTGAATGCAGCGATCAACAAACGACTAACGGTTGTTGTCAAAATGATTTGGTAATTAGGAAAAGAACGACACGCTCAAGGGCGAGAACGAGATGTTAACCAAGATGATGAACCAGCTCCAGGACTCTATGCGATAAACTGGCTAGCGTCGAAGTGGCAGTAATATCCCAGAGAAAACTTTCTAATTGACTTTTTACTTTTTTTTTCTTCTTTTGTCTCTTTGCTGAGCAAATAAACAACGAATATCATACCGGATATCCATGAATTGCTGGGAGGGAAGTTTACCAGGCGGTATTGCTGTAATGGAGTATATATTGACGTGTTTCCTTTGGAGGCACCCGATATGGAGCCCATCCATGGCATGTGGCCCCAAGGAAAACCCAACCCAAAAATAAGGCACGAGAAACAGATCTGAGTCGTTTTTCCTGGCATGATGACGCGGGAGAGGCCCGCCGTGCAAGTTTCAGGCACAACGTTAAAAATATTTTTGTTTTGGTCGGACGGGAAGAAACTGTTTAAATGCGATCCAGGGTTTTGTTGGTTCCCGCTTTCATTTTCTGTTTTTTCTTTCGTTCCTTCCTCCAACACCCATCCTCTCAAAACTCTCACAGAAACATCTCCTCCGCTCTTTTCACAAACTCACAACAACCCATACAAACCCCCCTCTCAATACAACAACAAACAATGCACAACACAACAACGCTCCTCCTGGTGACCCTCCTCGCCACCGTTCTCGCATCCTTCCCCTCGCCAACAACGGCCCAAGTTGGCACCTCGCCCTGGTGCCAATCCTACATGGCTAACTGTGAAGATCTCCGCAAAAAAAACTGCGACGCCATGGTCCCCAACGGCGACCGCAACCTGACCTGGATCTCCACCCATTGCTCCACCGTTACTCCTCCCGCAGGAGGGTGCAGATACTTTTCGCCGGATTGTTCGTGCAGTTATACCGATATTACGAATTTGAACCGGACAGTTATGGTCCCCCTGTCGCAGCCTGCTCTTGCGCTGACTCAAACCCGTAAGTTATTTTTTTTCGTTCTTCTTTGTCTTGCTTGGTTTGGTTTGCTTTGGTTTGATGTAATTTAAGGACAAATAGGGGGGGTGAATGTGGTACAGATGGGGGCTATTTTTGTTTTGTGTGGTTTCTCTCCCCCCCCCCCCCCCCCCCCACCCCCACCCAGGATCTAACCTTTTCTTTTTTTAACTGGTTTTTCATTTTTCATGCAAAACAAAAGAAACAAACAACGGATGTTTAGATGGAAATGCAAACTCAACCGCCCTGCCCACAACCGCCACCGCCACCGTCACCGTGACAACAGCTGTAGGAGCAGCAACGACTACCATCACCCCCACGGCGACCACAAAGCCCAACATGGCCGGTGATAGCAAGAAGCCCATGGCTGTCAGCCTTGCGACCATCAATGTCGCTATCCTCATTGCGCTTTTCTTGTGAGGGAGCGGAAAAAAAAGGAAAAAAAAAAAAAAAAAAGAAAGAAAGAATCGGACGTGTTTTATCATACACTATAGCGTGAACCGCAGAGAAAACAATAAACAACTATATTTTTTTTTCTATACAACAAAAAATTTACCACAATTTGAGAAAGAAAGCGGAGGAAAAAAAGCTCACGAACATTGCAGCATCTGGAACAGGAAATTCGATACTCTTCTATTGTACAATGCACAAAGGAAACAAAAAAAGGGAACTTCTCTTCAAAAAAAAAAAAAAAAACCACACTCCAGAGAACGAAAAAAAAGGGATTACTTGAAGGCGACAGCATTAGGGAACCAGACTCCAGCCTTCGCCTTCCACTCCTGCTGCCTAGCAGATTTAAACCCCTTCAACGTCTTCTGCACAAGGATCACATTCTCTAATGTCCGCGTCCGCCCAAACCTCTTTTCATCTTCGACAGAAAACAACAACTCCTCGGCCTTGGCTAGGCTCTTGGAGGGGTCAATCAGGTACACCGACATGGCCGCCGAGATCACATGTGCGACTGAGCCCTGGTCCTTGGTTTTTTCGATAAATCCTGCATTGAACGCAGTCAGATCTTGTCCGTGGGTGCCATAGAGTTCTGACCAGTGCTTGTCAATGACGGCCTTGACACTGGGTTTGAGGGTCTTGGCAGAGGATGATTTCTGGATGGCGAGGGTGAACCGGACGAGCTGCTCGTGCAAAGTAGCGTGGTTGGCGTCAATCTTGATCGACTTCAACAGCGCCTTCAGTGCCAACAACAGCTTGTCTATTTCGTGGCCACCACAGATGCAGACGAAAATCAAAAATTGTTATCGAAATGGCCTGACAGGAAACAAAGAAACAAAATTAACAAAATTGACATTGGACTTACTCTTGCGGACATAGATCTCAAAGGCCATGAGATGGGTTTCGATACGGGTATCAGCCAACTGTTGCAGTGGCTGTAAGAACTTGAGCGCCTCTCCCAGAGGGTCCTCACACTTTGTATACTTTGTACCCTCAGGATCCTCATCGCCCTTAACAGCCGCAGCTGCAGCGGCAGCGTTACCTCCAGCCTTCTTGGCAGTCTCGGCAGCAGTCGCAGCGGCCTTCTTCTTCTTTTCCTCAGCCTCCTGCTGTGCCTTGAGTTCAGCCTTACGCTGCTTGCTCTTGAACTTCTTCTTCTCGGCCTCGGTCATACCCTCCATCTCTTCCGACTCTGAGCCATCGGGCTTGTCGAACAGACGGACGTAGCACTGAACTGCATCCTGAGCCGCACGGACGTAATAAGGGTGGCTACGCAGCTGATCCTCCAAACGCACCATCCTATCGCGTCACAAAGGAAGAGTGTGAGTGTCAATTTTATATAAACAATCCAACAAGGTAACGATTTTACCAACAGCGACAATACACTTACGAGACGTAGGCCCTCAGGGTCATCTTGCGGAGACAGTAGGTGTGGAAATCGAACTGGTCCTCCGTGTAATCGTTAAAGTGCTAAAAAATAAAGGCAAGTAGTCAGTTTTAGTCCTGCTTTCTCACTCCTGTTCAAACACGACCACTTACACCAATCCGCTTTCGCGATACATACCTTGTCGATCTGATGGAAGCGCTTGAGGGCACGACCGATCTGTCCTTGGCGCACATTACTCTCTCCAGCTTCGAGCGAGAACCACTGAGTCTGCATATCAACCAAATCGTTCAAAGGGTTGGGGATATCCGCGCGCGTGAAAAGAATCGTCGTCTTCTCAGCATCGGCCATGTTGTCGGCTCGGAGCATGTACTTTGTGCACTTTGTATTGATGAATCGGTCCTGAAGATCCAGCTCACGTGCCTCGTTCAAGGCGGCCATGGCAGCGACGTGGTCTCCAGCGTGCTTGAGGATACGTCCCTTGGCCATGTACAACTCAACCAATGTGGGAGTGTGCTCAATGGCCCGGTTGATGTATTCCAATGCCTGCTCCGTCTCGCGCTTCAAGTCAAAGTGTTGTGCCAAAAAGTACAATGTCCACAAAAGTGCTGTTGGTGGCTCTACAACCGCGCCTAGTATTATGAAAGAGCAAAGGTGACGTTTGTTAGCGGATACAGTCGATTTGAAAGTAAAATGATCTTTGGGAATAATAAAGTCATGGCTTACCAGAGTGGTCAAAGCCCCGGGATTTGTCGAGGGCGATCAGGTATCCGAGAACGAGCTTCTCGACAGCAGCTTGCTTGGCACTGTCGGAGTAGAGGGTCTTGATGTTGACGAATAACGAAGGGACACCTTTCCGGAGCATGCTGCGGATGTATTCGTCCGTGACCTTGACAAAGGCCTCGCCCGTCGCATAACGCAAGGGCAAACGCTTGGCAGCGTTCGATCGAGGGTACTCCTTCTGGAGTTGCTTGAACATCTCTAGGATCTTGACCTCGTCCTCATCCGTCTGACAATCGCTTCCAAGTCCCAAGCTTTTGCCGAGTCCCTCAAAATAACCCATGTTGTCAGGGTTGAGCGACAAGAGTTCCCTGTACGCAGCCTCAGCCTCGGTCAGTCGTCCCAATGCCAAAAAGTACTTTGCGCGCTTCTCCTTGATGGCCTTGCGATCGCAGACTTGCTTTTCGATCGTGTCCAGATGATCCAGTGCAACCTGGAAATCGCCAGCTTCCTCCAGCAAGGTGTTGTGGTAGAGCAACAACTCGCTGTGCTCATAGTCGGGGGTCGAGGGAAGATCCTTGAGTGTCTCCTCGTAGGTCGTCAAGACCTTGACGCCGAGTTCTGGTTTGCCGAGAAGTTGGTATCCGATAGCGACAGCAACCCAGTATTGACGGTTTTGGGGTCTCAACTCCAGCAGGATGTGGCGCGTGTCGACATAGCCCTCCAGATTACGCATCTGAATCTGTAACAGCGACAGATCCCGAAGAATTTGGATGTTTTCCTGTCATGTTGAACATTTACAAGACTGGTATTAGATTGAAAGACATAGTATGCACTTTTCCCAGGACAGCAATTGAGCGAAGGTGGGTCCTGATTGTGGTACCTTGTCGTATTTGAGTGCGTGGGCATAGCACTTGGCAGCCTCCTCGTAGTTCTTGTCTGATCTGTACAACAGTCCAAAAACGTGCCAGCCTATATGATGGAACGTGTGAAAGGTAATAGAGTGTCAGTCCTGCCAGTGTTAAGATTTGTGGAGGCTCGGTGATATCCTCGGTACTTGTCCAGAGAAAGCATCCTTACAAATATGGCTCTTCATGTCGTGGCGGATTCCCTTCTTGACAAACTCAAACGCTAGCTCCTTCTTCTCCAAGTGGTTGTAAAACAATCCTTTCATCGCAAGTGTCTCTATTGCAAGTTAAAAAGGCCGATAGAATCTTTAGTACTCCAGTTTTGTTCGAGGCAAACAAAAACCGCCACGCACGCACACACCCTCATGTAGTGGTGGTGGTGGGGGGTACGTTATCTACAAAACCTATGTGACATAGGGGCAAAGGAAGAATCGGCTTATACCTCCATGTTCAGGGAACTTTTTCAGGATCTGGTCTGCTCCTTTAAATCCACGCTTGTACTGCTTGAGCTCGTAGCATTTCTAGGAAATATAGAACAAAAGAGAAAAGGTGTGACACTGATCAGTACACCATGCGACAAAGTAGACATGAAACAAAAGTTGATCAAGCATGCGGTGAATGAATGCGATGAATGGTGATCTCTATTTCTTTCGTCTTGTCCTGAACAAGAAGAAAAGTTTGCTCCTTACCAAGATTTCCCTGAAGAGGTTTGCTTCCTTGGATGGCAGATCTCTCATGACGGACTAGGTGGGATAGTTGGTTGAGGAAAAAGAGAGAGAGGTGTGAGTTCGTTTGTGTGTCTCATTGTCCAGGGGCGGACCAAGATATCCAAGCCACCCCATTCCCGTGCACAGCCCCTTGAATCTTCCGATCACACAACGCGGAAAAGAACCCCTGGCGTTTCTCTCCCTCTTTTTATTCCTTTCTTTTCTTCGTCCTTCGCCCTTCGCTAGACGTCCCGTTCCCCAGATGTGCGCAAAGGATACAACAGTTCATTTGTAAGACATCGAGAGAAAAAGAACCTCCACAAATGGCGACGCGCTCCTTTGATGATCACGTCGCGTTCAAAAAAAAAGAGAGAAGAGAATTATGTTCAAGATGATTGATGCTTGTTCACTTTTCTTTATGAGCAGGGGGAATGGAAGAAGGAGAGGGGCGTTATTAAACATAAGAAGGCAGTTCATATGCATGGTGGTCGGGACATTTCAAAGATAATGATGACTGACCCCCTCTGCTATCTCTGATATTGATCTCCCGAGGGATAAGATACATTGCTGATTATTGATCAAAACGATCGCCCTTGCAGGCAACTTTATGCTTTTTCCTGAAGCAAAAAGAGCGCGTTCGTATTTCTTTTCTCTTTTCATTCTCTATCCCCCCATCGCTTTTATTCTTCTCTTCTATGTTCCCCAATGCTTTTTCTTCGTGGTCTTTCTTCGCAGAACGCACTGAAATAAAGGTTGAAAGAGATGTGGGGTGGTCGTCGTCTAAGCCACCCAGCCCGTGCACCACCTTTACCCTCCGCTTCCGTTTTTTTATCTGTACATTCAACCGTTTCACACCTTCACTCTCACACAAAACACATTCACACAACCAGACACTCGCAATCAACAATGAACTCGCTCCGCCTCCTCTCCAGAAACGTGCACAACGTCGCCCGCATGAACGTCCAAGGCATGTTCCTTTCTCTCTCCTCCTTTTTTCCGGTTCTCGCTCATTGTATTCCTTATTGTCGATTGCAACAGAAACCTGTGGCATCAGAAAAATTGAACACAAACACATACAGCCTTCTTAACCAACCTTACCTTACTGGTGAAACGAATATATATATATATAGCTCGCTCGTTCCAGTCATCGGCACGCTTCTTGAACGGCCAGGTCAACGACGCTAGCGACGAGACCTTCCAGAAGTTGATCTCTGTCAAGGAGACCGTCATCGTCGACTTCCACGCCAAGTACGTCGTCTTATCATCATTTGGAGAATCCAATGCTTGTTTTTTTTCAGTGCTATGGCTGCGATCCATTGATTTTCATATTTTGCTCCGCACTCGGTACATACAATGTCTTGTTTCTAACTCGCGTACGCTCAAATCTGCTTGATGACAAATGTGATTTATGTGTACAATAGTTGGTGCAGACCTTGCCACATGTTGGACCCCATTATCCGTGATGCTGTCAAGTCTACCAGCGGAACCACTCTTGTCCGCGTTGATGTCGATGAGTGCCCCAAGATCGCTGCCAAATACAGTGTAAATAACCGTTGGATCTTTTTACTCCATTTGTATTTCCAAACGATCATTTGGTTCGGACGCGTGTGGAAAAGGAAGAAAAGTAATAACAAGGATGCCTCTTTGTTCAATTGACAAACGAAAAATAGATTGCTAGCATTCCTGCCGTGTTTGCGTTGAAGAACGGTGATGTTGCTGGCAAATTTGTTGGCGCCCTCCCCAAGAACGCTGTTAAGGAGTTTGTCGAGTCCCACGCCACCAAGGCATAGATCCTTAGATCCAATAGATCGTAGAGCGGGCTAATCGAACCTCGTACTGGCGAGAGAAAACCAAAGACAAATAATTGACCAATGTTTTTTTCCGTTCATGTGTGATGTGTGTGGGTTGTTAAGAGAGCGACCGTTGTGTTTGTTCCCCCTGCATCCGTGGACCTCGATCGCAGAAACAGAGAGCACCGAAATTCCACGGTCACTTTTTTTGCTCCTTCGGCTGACTGATCAGATGCCGTTCTTGACTTTTTGTTCCTTTCATCTCCATCATCACTTTTATTCTCATCACTTCACATCACTTCACTTCACATCGCATCACTTCACCCACCAAAACTAGTCTTTCCTCACTCACCTTCACCTCGCCTTCACACTCCTTCTATAAACAACACAATGTCCGTCAAGGCACTGATTTTCGATTTGGGCAATGTCCTCCTCCGCCTGAACCAATCCGCGACCGCAGAAGGCTTCAAAAGCCTCGGTGCCACATCCTTCCCCACCCTCTCCCAACACCACAACTCCACTGTCATCGTCGATTTCGAAACTGGCAAGATCTCCCCCGAAGAATTCCGTACATCCATCCGAACCACCATTGGCCTCCCCGAGTCTGTCACCGATGTCCAGTTTGACGTCGCCTGGAACGCCATGTTGCTCGATTTCCCCAAGGGCCGTCTCGAACTCATGCGGACACTCAAGAATGACTACGAGTACAAGGTCTTCCTGTTGAGCAACACCAACTCGATCCATATCGAGTATATCGACCAGGTGTGTTTGAAGGGGTATAAGGAGTCGACGTTGGATCCGTTCTTTGACAAGGTGTATTACTCGCATGGGATTGGAGCGAGGAAGCCATCGAAAGAGGCGTTTGAGTTTATTTTGAAGGATCAGGGGTTGGTGGCGGGAGAGTGTTTGTTTTTGGATGATATGCCTGAGAATGTAGAGGCTGCCAAGGCGTGTGGATTGCAGGCTGCGCAAGTCGATGCCGAGACCGATCTTGGTTTCCTGCAGCTTCGCTTTTAGTTTCTTGGTAGCGCGGTATATAGACCTTCACTTATACCTTTGTAGGTGTGTCATTCCTCCTAAAGTATATATGAGCGACACAATAAACGATTAGTTCCTACGAATCCTCGACTAGTCTAAGATTTCAGAGGTCGTGTGTAAAGCACGACAAATGCTGTAATCGCGAAAGCAAAGAACATGTGTCAGCGTTGGACGTGCTGTGCTTGTGAATGATATGTAACGGTGTGATATGTGTTGGTGTGTGTTGATGTGTATCTTAGTCAAGGCAAACCCTGTTTTGTGTGCACATCTGTTGTTGTGTGGTGATAGGTCAGATAATGTCTCAGAAGGAATGATCAGCCGCCAGGGCTGGATGCCACCACCTGAACCGGGGACCACAATCCTTTTTTTTTCAAAATGCCTTTCTTTTTCCCGTTTGTTCTGTTTTTGCTCACACCCCTGTACTCCGCCCCTCAGGAATTATGTAAGTTGGGTTCAACCAACCTACCGATCATTCTTTGTTTGCAAATGAAGGAAAGGGAACAAGAAAGCAAAGGCACAAGTGAGCACGATCTAGGGGAAAGAGAACGTTTTGCTTTGTAGCAAAGGAAAAAAGGAACGATCGTTGGTATAGCTAGGCTGGGTTGTGACAGGGTGTGAGTAGAGTATGTGGGATGTGGCATGAAAATGAATCGAAGATGACGATGGCCGATAGAGAATAGAGAAAATCGTCTAAAAAAAGACAATAAAAAAGAACAAAATAAAGCAAAGGGCTTGTTCATGCACCATCGTCGCCTTTTGGCTGTGTGAATGTCCTATTGGGGAGATTGAATCATCTGTTACTCAATGAGGGAGCACATCATCCAGTCAACAAGCCCAGCCCAGCCCAGCCCAGCCCAACCAACCACCTGGTGCACCCAGCTCGTCCTATTCCACTCAACCAGCCACCACCTGGTGTACGAATGGCGTTTTCATGAAACCGGTCAAATTGACACGGCCGGTTGCCAACCTGGGACCTGTTTACTAGATACAACAACAACATACCACCTTCCTTCATTCCAGTCGTTGGCACTCTATTTTCTTCTTTCTTGAGCCTTTCATTCCTTCCTTCCTTTCCTCCCTTCCTTTCCTTTCCTTTCCTTTTCTTTCCTTCCCTTCCTTCCATTTTATTTTTCCTTCACATTCATCTACAATAACCAATCCTCTTATCCTTCTTTGACAACTTACTCACTCACCCACACTCGTAACACACAAACACAACACAAAAACAACGCACCTGATCTCTCTCGATCCCCTTTTTTCTTTTCATCCCCCTCTCTTTCTCCGCCACCCTTCCTTCCCTCCTCCTTTCACTCACCCATACTCTCACCATCCATATCCATCCGCACCTGTACATATTTCTCCATTCCTTTCACTCCTCTTACCTCCCTTCCTATTTTCACCTCTCTCCAACGTTACCCAGGGGTGGCCAAGCACACAACAGCACTTCTGCGAAACCGCCAGGTATGCATTTATACCCTCTCTTATCTTCTTCCCTCCTTCTCGCCACGCCTTCATGTGCCTTTTATTTTCTCTTCTTTTTTTTCATTCCGGACCAAAAGGATCATTGCATTCACTTTGTTGAATCTCGGACTAATGGTGCACCAGGGAACAAATACGCACTCACTCATTCACAACAGCAGCAACGACCCTATGCATATTCAAGCACAGTTGCTACTCCCTCTCTCGCCTTATTGTTTTCACCTGGTCACCCACTCCCCTTCCCTTCCCCCCTATCTATGTTTTACCACGGGCATATGGCAAAACATGGCAAAACATGGCAAAAGGAGAGAGACCGAAACCTGACACAACCCAAAAAAATGAACGGGGATTTACCTTCACCCATAGTGGGCCACAATGCACCTATTCAATGATTTCATTTTTAAGACGGAGCCCAAAGGGGGGACAAGAAGATCTGAATGGAGTCGACTGGACAGCACCTGCCGAGGGGGATAGGCAGGGGCGGTGAGCAAGGCGTTGATTATGTTATCGGCGTACACTTATTGTTGTTTTGTGGGTCGATTGGACTGGAATGGAAACATAACATAGCAATACGCCCTCTCAACCAACGGGTGGGTTGTGGTGGGACAATCCATTACACAAGAACGCCATTTCATGGAATACATGAGAATAAGGGAGTGAACAAGGGATGCACAAAGAAAAAGAAAAAGAAAAAAATGTGACCCATATCAAGAACGACCGCAAACCGCAACAACAAACAACAACTAGGCAGGGCAAAGCAGAGCAGAAAAGAGCAGAGAGACGCATGGACAAACAACAACCCCGGAGGGCTCTCAATGCTTGTAAACGTAACCTATTTATTATACACGCACCCTATTCTATTTTCTGGGGTACTTTTTGTTCTTTTTGTTCTTTTTGATGGAGTCATTCCTCTGACTTGGTTCTCAACATCACATATGAATTCTTTATCTTCATATCTGTTGCTCCGTGTCTTCTTCCGCTGGTGAACCCACATTCTTGTGTGTTTGTGAAAGATATGCCAGCAAGAAAAGAGAGGGAGAGGCAAACAGCACAAGGTCCTCACACACACACACACACACACACACACACACACACACACACAGAGATATAGTTCATCGACCTACTCCCGCACACGCACATTTGTACACAGTCCACATACTTGGCAACAACAACTAAGGCAAGCAAAATAAACGCCTTTGTTTCAATCTTGCCCACTCGCTCCTACTCCTCCCAGCCAGCTGTGGCTCAGGCCTTCTTGTTCACCTCAAGCATAACCGAACACGTTACACCCCGCCCCCTTTGTTATTCCAAGGTGCCATTGACACCACCTCCTGGTGGATCTATTTTTTATACCATGGTGTTTCGTCAATTATCGTTGCCATTATTTTTTTCTTTTCTCCGTTCAACTCATGGGATGCTCCTTTTTCATGCCTGACCCTCTTCCATCAATCCCGATGCACTCTCTCTCACACCCTCCCTACCCCCTGCTTCATGCCAACAACCCAACGAACATTGGCCCTTCAAGCATTAATGCTTAATTGCTTGTCTTTCTTTTTCCTGTCCCTCGTGATTGCGCTCGACACTCCGTCCTCTCCTTTTCCTAATGTGTGAGTGCGTGTTTGTAGTGAACTGAGAAAAGGGAGAGTAATCGTGATGGTCAAAAAAAAATGTAGAGGGATTGTATTGTGGAACGAATAGGCAAATGGGAAAAGGGGCGGTTAGGCCAGCTTTCCATTTGTTCATGGGCCATTCGTGATCCATTCAGACAAACAAAAAGTAACGTAAAGGCCAAGGCAGTCATCTCTGGCTGACAGAACTGGCAAAAGGGGCCAAAAGGAGGATAGGATGGAAGGGAGACAGAGAAAAAGGGTAGTGGGAGGCAAAACAAAAAACAACAGGGAGGAAGAAAACAAAAAGGAGATCAGGACAGACGAGATGGAAGCGGTAAAGGAGGAAGGTATTATAATTGTTGCATTTGGTTATGTTCGACCGTTTCGCAATGCAAAAAAAGGGTCCATTTGGCGTTTTGGTTGGTTTTTGGTTGGTTTGGAGTGGACATATGGGTGATTGGTGAATGTTGGTATGGGCAGCCATTCGATCGACTTTTTTTTTTTTTTTTTTGTTGTTGCTCATCTGGGTTGAGCCTGCCTGTTTGAGTGTCATCAAGAGAAAGAAGGACAGGGGAAAGAGAAGGGACCTGCATCCATCTTGGAAAAGACGGACGCATTAGACGAATGGCGATGTATTGTTTGTCGTCGTTGTTGAGTGGTTCGAATCAATCAAAGGGGGATTGAGATTGAAAATAAATAAAATAAGAGATGATAATGCGGACATGCCAAAGGGTTAATGTTGCTTGTTCCCTTTGCCTTTTCCTTCCTTTTCCGTTTACTCGATGGTCCTTCCTCCTTTGCTGTTGTTTAGTTTGTTTGTGTGTGTGTGTGTGTGTGTGTGGGTGGGTGGGTGGGTGGGTGGGTGGACTTGTGATTCGTTGTTGCTATACAATTGTTTACTTTTATTATTCTTTTTTGTGCAGCGCACACACGCACACGCGCCCAATAAAGGGAAAGAAATAGGCACAGAAGGAAGAGAAAGAAGAGGAAAAAAAATGCAGCAACGGGGTACAGAAGGTGGATGAATGTCTGGCTGGAGGAATGGGTGGAATAGACGTATCACATCACTCATTTCTCATTTTCCTTCCATCTTTCAAGTTTGCTTCACTCTCTTTCTTCGTCTTCTCCTTGTCCTTTTGCCTTTTGCCACCGTCACTTCCAATTGAGCCAAGTCAGGCATTCAAACCAGGCACACAAAGGAGTACCATATCTGTCTCTCCCCTGTCTTTCCCTTTTCCTCTCATGTGTGTGTAGAGGTCGTGTTTCCTCTCCCCTTTACAAAGAGAACATTATCCAATACCTCTGTCACCATTCCAGCAGTACCCTTTTTTTTTTTTTTTTCCTTGGCTTGATCAGTTGGACCATGGGACACAACACGCTCTATTTTGGTCCATATGTTCAGTCAATCCATGCATTGGACATGGACATGATGACTACCCTAACACCCAATTGACCAATGTGGTTGGAGGATGGAGAGAGAGAAGAGAGAAAGAGAGAGAAAGAGAGAGAAAGAGATCGAAAGAAAGAAGCAAAGAGAACACGAATGACCGACGACTGAATGGTCGTTGAAATATTACTTTATTCTTAATATTTGTGTATTGACCCTAGTTTTCGTTCTTCTCCCTTTTGCCCGACTCTGTCTACGGACTCGACCTTCTATCTTTTTCCTCTTCTTTTGCATAGCGTCACGCCTTTTTTTCACTTCTCGCTCTTTCACTCAATCACTACTCTCACACTCTTTTCTTTCTTTCTTTCTTTCTTTCTTTCTTTCTGTCACTTTTCTTTGATTACCTTTTTTCTTTCCTTCCTTCTTTGCACTGTCCATAGCCCATCCATCCCTCACATCCTCTTTCTCTTCTCCCCCCTTTTTCCACGTTCCGTCTCTCTTTT